AGCTCAACCACTTCTACGCACAGGCACAGCAGTCGCCCGCATACATGTCCCATCAGACCATGGGCCAGCAGAGAATGTCCCCCAACGCAGCGTCATCGAACGGGCAGCAGACGGCTACCGATCGGTCCCGAACCAACTCTTTTGACACCGGGCCCATTGGCACCACGTTACGGCCCGATCTGTATTCCCTCTACGGCATGGGCATAAACCAGCAGTTCTACGCGCAGGCGGCAACTGGTTATGGAACGTATCCCTCGTCACCGGTGACGTCCAATGGCATGGGACAAGACTTCCGCCGTCCTCTGCAGCGATCCACCGTTGCCTCGGATAACGGCATCTCGGCATCAGCAAGCTCGCTGAGGTCGCAGTCCCAGCCTCCTTCCCGATCTCCATCCGGAGCACACAGCCGGGCAGCATATACCTCTGGAGCTGGCCCCTCTAGTGCGCCGGGCTATGCTCAGAGACACTTGCATGGCGTGCCTGTTCCTGCCTTCGTCTCCGACGATGCTGATCTCGACGATCGATCCAAGGCCGCTTCGGTCTCCCCGCCGTCCGACGCCGGGCTCCTGGGAGCGCGGAGCCCGCGTCTTGGCCAGCCGCCGCTCGCCCAAAGCCACAGCCCAACAGCAAACGGTCTCGGCTTTGGAGATGTCGTGACCCAGTCATCCAGCCCCAGACGGCGTCGGCTCTCGACGGATCAGCTGCCCCAGACGATCCTTGACAGGCGAATGAGGAGGACGTCGCGGTCGCCCTCGCCCCTCGACCATGGTAGGGCGGTCACAGCCGGGACGGTTGCTTCGTCGCCTCTGGCTTCGGCTCCCTTCCCACCAGCTGGCGCGGCGCAGAACAAGAGTTCGCATAGACCCCTCATCGTGAACGGATCCGGGCTCAAGACCAGCATGATCGTTGCGTCAAGCCAGCCTCCGAAGGAGACCCCGGCGCCGGAGGATTGTGCCATGGCAAAGATTGACAACGCTCTGCACATTAGCTCAGCACCGTCGGCCAACGGCACCCTTGTCGCGGAGGCGCCGGGCAGCCAGCCGATTCCCTCGCTTGCACCGGCCCCTCCTCTGCCTACGGCCCCGATGGATCGCCCTCCCGTGATTGTGAACGGCTCCAATGCCAAGCTGGCGATCCCCTCTACCGAGGATGCCTCCTTCAGGGACAGGGTTGCGATGATGGGAACGTATCCGGCAAATCCATACCCCATGCCTCACGATGTCTTGCAAGCCAACGGAATGGCGCAGCTTGCAGCTTCGAGCAAGCAACGCCTCATTTCCAGACAGCCCCAGAATGGTGTCATTGCTCCGCTGGATCTCGCCATAGCTGACCATCGGAAACCCCTGGGTGTCGAAATGGCCCATTTGTCGCCTGTTTACGAAGCCCAGGCATCGTCCCCGACCGCTTTGCGCAAGCCAGACTCGTCAACCCCCCCTGTTGCTGGCAAGGCTGCTCGTGAAAAAGCAGATGCCAAGACAACCCTTCAAGAGACAGCCAAACTGGTGACCAAAGCGGAAGAAAAGGCTCAGCCAGCTCAGGATGCTCAGAAGTCGTCCAAGGCGCAAAAGTCGGCCGGCCAGACTCAGCGCAACAGCACGCAAACGTCACGGGAGCCCGGCAGCCATGTCCGGAGCGCCAAGAGCGAGACTGACAGTGGCTGGCAGCGGGCTGTCAAGGGGAAGAAGAAGGGGTCGAGTGGGCTTGCACAGGCCTCGCACGCGGAGCAGCCGCCAAAGAGCGATTCTGAGCGAAAGGGAGGCTAATCACTCGAGGCGATGGCGATGGCGATACGGTCTGATCTCCTGTTACACATGTCACGTTTGTTTCTGGAGACTATGGCTGCGGTCGCCAGCACGAGGTCGTCGAATATCTGAAAACGATACCAATCCTATGGGACCTTGACAGCTTACCTCTTTCAACCATGAGGCGGGGAAGGATGTGAATAGTGGCGATGTTGGATAGGGGATCGCCTGCGGCTTCGACTCTTCAGGCCGGACATTTTGCTTGGAAGGAAAGGCATGAATGCAATGCATGCTTGATGTTTCCCCCCCGGGAAAAGGAGAGCACTCTGTGGGGTTCTCGACTCGGCAGCATCAAAGGAAGAATTGGACATAATTCAGAATCTTCCTGTGTGGGATTTGCATGGCGCCAGAGATTTACTTTTGCCGCGTGCGTGTACGTGTGCCCTACGGGATGGGATCTTCGGACATGGGAAGCCGGGCATGGAAAGAATCCAAGAAGAAAATTGGGAAAACAAGAAAAAAGCAATGAAAGAGCACGACGATAGAAACGCAACAGGATGGGATTCGCGGCTCCATGAATGACATGTCACAGCAAAGATATGAGATGCGCTGACGGAAAGGAGGGCTTTGGGGGATTGATACATATACATGGCCGGGTGGAAAGGCGTTTGCATCAATGAGAGCTCATCTGGGAGGAAGGGCCGGAACCTCGATTCGATTTTTCGTTTTCATTGTTTCTATTTCCCATGGTTTTTGCAGGAGCACACCCAGCGGCATAGATGGATGTTACAAAAGCATTGAGAAAGATCATGGACCAGCACGAATGAAAGCGTAAATCAGATACAATGGCGAACTAGTATAATACACTGTATGAAAATCGAATGGTTTGTTGATCTTGATGATGGATGGGCTCATGTGGAATAGTGGGATGGATGGGAATAGTACCTACTAGACTTGAGTCGGTGCCTTGGAGGAACAGAGTACCGAAAGGATTGTTCCTGCCAGGCTGCCGGCTGAAGCTGTGGCAGATCATCTCGTAATGATTCAGGCATCTACGATTCTGCCATAGGTGAGATTGGCCAGCCTGGTTGGTTGCCTGCCTTCATGTTGCCTTTGTCAAATTTATAGAGGTGGCTGGTCATGCCGGTTGCGAGTGTGTCACCATCACCTGCAGTTGCATCTTTTCGTACTGCTTCCGCAGCTCTCTACTTGAGCCCATTGTATTCCGGCCCTTTTATTGTTCGTCTCGGGACATTCTAGTACTAAGGTATAAACAGATTTCGATGATAGTTGTAATACTGAATACCATTAGAGGGGGGGTCCAGAAAGAACTGCAAGGCAAATCACCTCGCTCGAAATGAGCTTGTTTGGTGGCCCCCCCCCCCTTCTCCTCTCCTCTCTTTCCCCCCTGTTTCCTCCTACCTAGTACTAGCGGCTCACGAGTTGTTACGCATCTGTTTTGCTTGCTATTACTATCTCCTACTAAGGTAGCACTACTAGCCCTTTTGCACCTCTTTCCATTCGTTGCGCCATTGACAAATGAAATCGGTACTCGCGTGCCGTCTCTTTCCCCCCCGCTTCTTGACAAGTTCTAGATACATATCGCCTTTTGCGTGTGTCCAATCTGCTTCCATGCCCAATTACCTATCTGCTGCAGTGACCCGTAGCGTTGGGACCGTCGCATCGAGTGCAACAGCAGCGCACATCAGGGTCTTCCTATTGCCTACTGTAGGTCGTGCCTTGCCCTTGCAGGTCCACCCGACCTTTGTTTGCGCCTCCAGCTGCGTATTACTCGTACCTTACCTAGGTACAGACACGCACACGCACACGTACACGTACATACTACATCGACCTGGACCACGTTGCGGTTGATCTGCCACTGGGTCTGTGACAGACGGCTGCATGTGTCGAATCCGCCTGGAGTCCATCATTGAGTGCTCCCTGTGAAAGCGAATACGGTCCGAGGTCCAGTGCGTGTCCCAGATGCCCTGTGGCGCCTGCGAGTACTGTACCAGTCTTGTACAGCGCCATAAGGCCCCCCCCCCTGTGGCTGTCCGCCTGTCCACTGTCCGCAGCCCGCTAGTGGCTTCGTTAGGCGGCTCGACCGCCCCACGCTCCACGTTCCAGGCCCTCCGGGTACTGCTGGGTACTCATGTGTACTGCTGTGTACTACTGGGTACGTACCCTGCCTATGCTCACCAAGGGCAAGAGCCATACGCCCCGGCTGGAGAAAATCAACCACCAGGTCCTTCCGAGTTCTCGTTTGCGACATCCCGCTTTTTCTTACCCCAGATTCCTCCCCCAGCCAATTCTGATGTCTCCGATCTCACGACAACCACCACCACCTGCGCCAGCATAAGAAAAAAAAATCCTGCGTCGCCACCGACATTTGCCCAGCTGCGACTCTTTTTTCTTTCTTTAGCGGACGCGCAACAGCTTTGGCGACACAGGTTCTGGAGGGCCTCTTCTTCTTCTTCCTTTTTCTTTTTTCTTTCTTGTCCGGCTGGGAACAGGTCTCTTTGTCCACCGACTCGTCAATTCGAACTCGATTCCGGATTCTGGGAGGGAACGGGACGGCGAGGAACGATGATGCCGATGGATGCGGGCACCGACGCTGCCGTGGACTCTGAGGCTTGACGCGAGCATCTGTGCTGTGCTGTGCTGTGCTGTGCTTTGCGAAGCGACGCGCATCTTGGCCCTTTGTCGGCATCTTGCTGTCGTCGGCACTGATTTGCAGTCGTCAGCAGCATCCTGTCGCTGCTTCTCCTCCTCCTATACCTCCTCCTCCTTCTCCTCTACTCTCTATACTCTCCCTCTCGTCGCCATACTCGTCCTCTCCTCCCTCCGCTCTTCGACTCCCGCCATCGATCGATAGAAACGACAAATCAGCGTCACCCCGCCCATGAAGAGCGACATGATTCACAGAACCAACAGCGAGGGCGGCGCCTCGTCCACCGGCTCGTCGCCCAAGATATGGCGGATTCCCGCCGCCATCCGCAAGCCCTTTCGCAGCTCCAACAAGGACGACAAGAACTGGACTGTACGTTGACCCGACTCCCAAAGGTCCCTCTCGGAGAAACTGCCATCTCTGCTTTGGGCGAGTCGCGGCCCGCATGCTGCTGCTGCTGCTTGCCTCGGCCATCCATCTTGAGCCAGCATTGCCAATGCCAGAACTAACGAGATGTGCAGAACAAGCCAGGCGGCCCTTCTGCTGACCCCGAATCTCACGAACCCTCCATCCACCACGAAACCAGCTCGATGCATGAAACTGTCGAGTCCAGCTACCGTCAGCTCCAAACCCTCGTCGCGCGCATGCGAGCCGCTCCTTCGGGGCCCAGCCACGTCGACGGTGCCTACAAAGAGTTTGCCAAGATCAACGAGCGATGCGTCGCTCTCTGCGATGCTATAATTCGGGAGGAGATCAGGACGCCGCGCAACCTCTCCAACGCCGGTGACACCGGCTCACTGACTCGCCAGGACTCCGCCGCAGACACGCCTCGCAGCCCGGGCGCGCCGTTTGATCAGAGGAGTTCGTTTAGTGGCCGCAGCTTAGCCGAGGTCGTCACGGCCAGTGGCAGCAGGAGTCATGGCGGCGACCACTGGCTGACGCCTGTTCGGGACTGGAAGACGTGTCTCGAGGTGCTGACCGAGCAGTTCAAACAAAGCCTTGCCGAGACGTACATGAGCTATGAGCGGGATGCCACGCCCGAGATGCTCGAGGCCTTGTTCACGAGCAAGAAGTTTAGGAGAGAGGCAGTTCACCGGATGCGCAATGCGAGCGTCACCAAGATACTGTCTGCGGATCCTCAGTTTGTAAGTGCCTTGTCCGTTGCGTGCAATGGCACACGTAGGGTTCTAATCTTTTTTGTTTTTTTTCCGCAGTTCCCTCGGTACGAAATACGGTTCAGAAACTACGAAAGAGTCAAACAGGAGCTTAGGGAAGTCCGAAAGCTCCTCCAGGCGGGCGAGTCTGGCATCTCCCCAGGCAGAGTCATTCAGGAGTTTCCCATTGCCCCTCGCGGAGATGCCGTTCTCGAGTTCGCCAACTTGGGGCCCGATTGCACGGGCAACGAGCCTGCTCTGCGATTCCGCGTCTCCTCCGCGCTGCTGGCCGAGACATCGCCCGTCTTTGCGCGCATGTTCTCCGGCAACGCCGATAGCTACTATCTACACGAGGCTGACGATGTATCACATCTGCTCCCGCCATCGCCGGTGCCGTACTTTTGTGATGACGGCTCCGAGGTCAAGCTGTATCGGATGCCGCAGCAAGAGTTCAACCACCACGGCGCGCTGGAGATTTTGCTTCATGCTGCTCACATGCACAACGACAAGATCCCCAGGGACGTGACCTTTGAGCAGTTTGTCTCCATCGCCGAGTGCTGCCTCAAGTTCAAAAGCACATCACCACTAGAAATGGTTGTCGAGCACAGATGGCTGCCGCAGTGGATGCATAAAGGGGCCGATGACATGCCGGACGGCCTGCTCATCATCAGCTATGCCTTTGGCCTCCGCCAGCTCTTTACTCGAATGTCCAAGAGCGCCATCCTAAACCTTGCTGATGAGAAGGACTTGCATAGCAAACCGTGGCCCAAGAAGATCAAGGACAAAGTCTGGGCAGTTCGCTGCGCCAAGGTAGACCAGCTTTATGCCAGCTGCGCCAGCACGATTCAAGAGTATCTTCGTCCACCAGCGCAGGACTCGGCTTCATCTGAGGCGAAACAGCACATATCCCTTTCCGATCTCGACAGCCACCTCTCCTCGCCGATCCAGCCTGCCATGACGCTCACAAGCACCCCAAGATGCCCCAAGGGCAATCACTGGTGCGATGCCTCCAACTTGGGGTGGATGATGCTCGTGTACAATGAGCTCGGCTTGCTGCCAACCATTGTGCAGCCCACCGTGATGGCGCACGCTCAAAACTCACAGGTTCCGTCGAAGAGTCTGGCACAGATGATGGAGACGCTCCGCTCAACACCGAGCCCTCCTGCACCGCTCCACCCTGGCAGTGTCTGCGATCCTGTCCCCGCATTCCGAGCAGCCATTGCCGACATTTACAACAGCGTCACTGGCTTGACCCTGTTTGACATTAGCGGCAAGAGCCATGGCTGGGCGCTCTCAAAGCACAAGATGTCAGAACCGCAGCTGCTGCTGACCGCTGGGCTCAATAGAATGGCTGCGCATGAAAAGATCCACAGCGTCGTCACCGAGTTCCCAGAGGAGATTCGCCTGCGGATATTGAGTGAGCTGGAGGAGCTGGAGGATCTGCAGGCCGCGGCCAGAATTAATCGTGGCTTTTACCAGACATACAAGAGAAATGAGCTACAGCTCATGCGCAATATTCTGCGTGCCGACCGGATGCGCTGGGGCAGCATAGGGCGCCACTCCCTAGATGATGACAGGGCTGAGAGCAAAGTCTTGAAGGAAGAGGCGGACAGGCTCAAGGAGAGGGGCTTTGGCGACGGCGCCGACGCGATTACCTTGAGGAGCGAAGAGGACGAGGGGCTTTATGACTCGGACGAAGATGACGATTCTAGCGTTGATCCGCTGACTCGGCATGGCTCTATCTCGTCTCAAGGAGGGCGAATTCAAACTAATAACGACGACGAAGACGATATAGACATCCTGACTCACGATCCCCCACCACCCTTCCGGCCCCAGGAACCAAATCCTCCGCCGCCTCTGCTCCCTGTCACTACTGAGGACCACGAGGGCTCTGACGACGATGATACGGCCACTCCGACGACGCCTCGACAGCGCCCGTTTGATCCCTCGGACGAGTCAGCCACTCCCTCAGACGAAAGCAGTCTTGTTTCAACAGAAGACATCGAGGAGCCCCCGATGACGGAAGAGGAAGCACGCAGGATCCTATGGCCGGACCACGTGGTTGTCACTCCACCACCGCCGCGAGGCGCAGTTCCACCCGGCGTGGAGGGGCTGCGGGAGAAGTTCCGTGTTGGCGACATCTCCTTCATCGAGGGCCTCGAAGACAAGACGTTAGCCAAGACGGAGACGAAGCTACTGCGGAGCGACCACGACGAGCGGGCGGGCCTGCTCAAGCAGGACGGGCGGCCGACCTCGAGCTCTTCGACGGCCAAGGGCGCGAGCGGTGTCCAGCATATAGAAGAGGTTGGAGGCCGGAAGGGGAGCGAGGACGAGTTGGAGTCGGCTCTTTCTTGAACCCTGTGGCCGAACACCTGGATACGACCACAAATCAAGACTTGGATACGACTTTGGAGACATGTGCATAACTGCATCTACATACCCCTAACGCAACGATATGCATCCTTCACATACGACTATAACTAACTATCAACTACTTCGCCACAACTATACCAGAGTACTTGACTTTTTGTGTTCCTTTTTCTTTTTTTTTTTTAGTTCTTTTTTTTTAAATGCTTGGGGCGCAGATTGGGGACAGCGGGATCTGTTATATCAAGGGACGACTTGATGCGTTTTAACCCCCCCGGGAATGATCGGGACGTTTACTGAGTTGGAATTTGGATGGATGGTTGGGCACTTGGATCGAAGGGATTTCTTTTGCCTTTTTGCCTTGTTAATTGCGATCTTCTTGCGGGTATGAGCGTCGGTTGTGCTTTTGATCTAGGAAAGGGGGTTAATGTTGGAATATGCATATAGTAATGTATATGACATGCCTGATTACGCAAACAAAGCATTTACAACAGACGTATTCTCGCGATCTGCTCAAAGATGTGTCCAAGAAAAAAAGATTGAAACAGCTCATGATACATGTTCGTTTATCCAATATAGACTGCCGATATCTGGAGGCATCTCCTGGGTATCTCTGCCTCCTCTTTACATCTCCTTATGCAACTCCCTCTTTTTACATACTCTGTGACATCATTCATTACTTCTCTCCTTTTCTACCCACTCTTTCCATTAAACTCCCCCTTCACACAATAAGATCACTGAGCACCAACAGCGGCCTCGGTGCCAGCCTCCGCCTGGGCCTTCCGGGCGGCGTTGAGGGCGCGGAGCTTGGCCGTGCCGAAGCCAGCCACGCCGTCCTCCTGGTTCTCGCCCAGCCACGGCTTCTTAGAGTCGCCCAGCATGCTGCCCGAGAGGAAGTAAATGACAAGACCAATGATGATGCAGACAAAGGCAATCGGGTACAGGTAGTGGATGACGTAGCCAAAGACATGGATGCCGATGATGACGCCCCAAAAGTTGGCCGTCAGCAGCGAAATGTCAAAGAAGGCGGCGCTGCCCATGCGCAGGATGAGGGGCGCCAGAGTGTAGAAGATGCACAGGCAGATGGTGTAGCCGGCGAGCCAGCCGCCGACGGAGGCGTCCCAGTGGGCGTCGCGGAAGGACTGGCGGTCAAAGATGGCGGCCTGGACGCCGTTGATGAACATGCCGAAGAAGCCCATAAAGGCCAGGACGTGGTGCATCGGGCGCTTGGACACGAGCCACTCCTCAAACACGTTGGAGACGCCGTAGAGGGTGGCGCCCAGCAGGCCAAAGAGGTCGCCCTTGACCATGTCGACGCCGGGGCCGCCGTTGGAGCCGGTGATGTGGTCCGAGGCCAGCAGGATGCCCATGCCGCCGCAGCAGATGAGGATGCCGAGGACCTGGAACAGCTTGTAGCGCACGCGCAGCAGCAAGAAGGAGATGATGACGACGCAGACAATGGACCAGAAGTTGAGCAGTTGCGCGGAAAGCAGGTTCGTGTAGCGGTAGGCAAGGACGGTAAAGTAGTTGCCCTCGACGTCGAGGAAGGACATGATGAAGTAGCGCCAGCCGTCCTTGAGGAGGATGTCGAACCAGACGCGGGGGCCATCGCGCCACAGGGTGATTGTGGTGTAGATGAGGAAGAGCAGGATGTAGTTGAAGACGGTCTGGAAGGCGGGGATGTTGGTGCCGGCATTGGCGAGGAACGACGTAAAGGTGTTGGTGCCGGTGATGCAGAGCGACAGGACCTGGCCGACGGCGATGACAATCCAGAAGTCGACGGTGGTGAGGTAGGACCACCAGTGGACAGACTTGGCCTCTAGAATCTGGATGCCCTGGGAGAGGGTGGCTTCGTCGGCTGTGCCGTTGATGGTGCCGTCATTGTTGCCGTCGAGGTTGTTGCCGGGGTTGCTGCCCTCGTTCTTGTCGCCGGAGCCGGATGAGATGACGGTCGAGGTGAAGCCGAGCTTGGAATCGGCCTCGATGGGGTTTGTGGGGGAGGTCATGTTGGCGGCGCCGTACGAAACGTGCTGGCCGGAGGCGAGGAGGGGTTGAGAGGAGGAAGACGCTGCCGAAGCCGAGGAAGAAGCTGTAGCTCTAAGTGAAGCTGAAGCTGACGCTGTTGGCGATGCTGATCGACGGCGGGGAGTGTGCTTCGAGGGGTTCATCCAAGTGCTGGCGGTGGCGCTGGGAAGTGTAAAGTCTATATCGGAAAGGTCGTTAGCCGGATCGCGTCAAGAATGCGATTCAATTGTTCATACCTGAGTATGACCTATTCTCGAGTCCCTTGCGTGGTTGTGTGTAGGCTGCTGATATGATACTGATGCTGATGCTGATGCCGATCGACGGAGTCTTTCTTCGTCACCTGAAGTAGTACAGCAAGCGCAAAGACTCCAAGTCGCTTGCCGATAAGCCTATGATTCCAGAGAGCACATAAAACCTACTCGTGAAGAGCAGGATTCTGTGTAGAATTGAGGAGAAAGGAGGACGAAGAGGGTTGAGAAGCCAAAAGGACTGAGGAGAGGGAGGAGGAGGAGTAAAAGGGAAAAGGAAAAAAAAAAATCAAAAAAAAAATCGAAAAAGAGGCTAGTTGGCGGCGAACGCGACCAAGAATCGATAATGGCAGTCACGATCGAGGCGGCGGAAGGTGCAGAAAAAAGCAAGTGATAAGCTGATAGGGCGGAGGAAAAGTACATACTGGGCAGTAGCGGCGGATCAAAGCGGTCTAGGCCGGGGGGGAAAAGCTTTGCGGGGCTGGAGGGTGTAAATCGATAGTTTATTCTGGGTGTTATTTTCAGAGTATCTTAGTGTTGAAGCTTCAATGAGGTGGAACAAGATGTAATATAGATAAAGTAGAGCGAATACTCGTGGCAGGAAGGGAAGATGGAAGAGGGAAGAGGGAAGACGAGTCCAGAGGAGGGGACAAAGGCTGTGAGGCCATAAGACCAGCCTCGCCCCCAAATCATCAACACAGCTACTACCTAGTATTAATACCAATTGCACATGACAACCTTAGTAGGCGAGCAGACACAGACAGACACAGATACTGCGCCAATAGCGGCCTGCAGCACTCCAGTACTGTTGTCGAGGTGGTCAACTGTATCACAGGCGTGTGTTACTGCAGACAACCGAAGGGATATGTGAGGGAAATTGTCGTGCTAGGAGCCTCGAACCCCTGCAGCTGAAGGTCATGCGCCAACTGGGCCGCTGTGATTGGAGCGGGCTGAGTGCTGGGTTGGCCAGCAGCTGGAGCAGCAGGCATGGAGCGCATTCGCGGGAAAAGAATCCATTATTATCATCATCCCCAAGTGCTTTGGTTGGCTGTTTGGACGCAAGAGCTGAAGAGGCTTGGGCTGCAACTTATATTGCCATGTGGCGAGGTGGCAACGGCGTGGGGGGGGTGAAGATGGGGAGAAGATGCGTCCGATGGTTGAGGGAGTGCAATGTGTCCATCTATCCAGCTCTTGTGTTCGATGTTGAGACGTGCAACTGGTCACCAAGGTCCTCTGTAATAAGGTAGCCCTCGTACAGAAATCATGCTCGTGTAAGTGGACACAGAAGTCGCAACACGGAATCGATCCCACGCCATCTGCACCACCCAAGAGCCGCCTGCGTGGGGGCTCACCAGGAGGAGGCAAGCAATTGGAAGCCAACAAAGATCCTACTGACGGTCTCTGTATGACACACAGTCGAACAATTTATACAAGCCGCATGTCCAACTTTTCCACCAGAATCACCGCAAACACCGAAAGAGACAAAAGAACCGAAAGAAACGAAAGAAACGAAAGAACGAAAAGAAAAGTGAACCAGTCGTCTGCTGCCTCGCCAAACCAGTCACTTTACATTGGAGGAAACCCCCGCCCTAAGCCGAAGCCGAGCGCCGCTCCCAGTCTCTCTATAGTGGGTGTGCTTGTTGCTGCTGTGAGTGCTGGATACACGCGACTACCGACTACCTCTGTCCCGGTAGTTGTACCTCGGATAGCCATGATGTAGGTACTTTGCCGAGTCGACGAGAGCGCTCTCAACATGGGATGAGACATTGTGTACAAGGCAGCAGAATCCGTCTGTGTGGTGTGCACTCCCGTACGTTCTATATAGAACACAGCCGGTATTATCTATTCTATTCTATGTAGTGTATATATGAACATTTTTATATTTAAATTATAGGTCTCTAGCATCTTTGTTTGTGTAATAAAGTTCATGTTGTATCTGTTGCTCTAGCTCTTTGAGCTGGGCTTGATTTCTGCCATGGCCGCGCGGATCGTCCTCGCAATCAGGTTGTTCGTCGGTGTATTAGGACTTATTGCATGGCCTGGTACCGCTGGAGTTGCTGTTGTTCAGAAAGCCTCAGCCCAAAGCTATTCTATACGAGTAAGGCGATGGCATCAAAGGGTCTCGTGTGTGTGTGTGTGTGTGTTTTTGTGCTGTTGTGATTGACTTACACGCTGGCCGTGAGAACTGCTGCTGCTGCTGTAATGTTCCTGCATTGGAGCCTTCTGAGGGCATTTCGCGGTCTGGAAGCGTCGAGAACTCTAATGCGAGCAGCTCAAGGCAGTCCTGTTCTGAGTTGGCATTGGCTGCAGATGTTGGGCTTGTTGGAGGCATGACGACTATTGAAGAGGGTTTCGTGAGCATTAGTCACCATTTTGCCCAACACCTAGCAGACACGGCATATCTAACGACTTTTCTAAGTAATAATGGATAGAGATGATATATAAAGCTAGAAGAAAGAGATAATAGAAAGAGATAGCATAGAATATCAGGTAATCGTAGAGAGCGCACACACCTGGAGTTGTCCTCGAACTCGAGCTCTGACTCACATGCTGGCTCTGTGCCTGACCAGAATTGGTAATTGCATGATGGGGATGACTCAATCCCTGATGTTTGGGATACGGAGTCTTGCTTTGCTGGTACTGGCTCCAGTACTGCTGTTGACTCTGGCTCTGTTTTGGGTGCTGCTGGTTTGGTCTTGGATAAGGATGCTGGCGCTGCTGGCTTTGACCCTGGTTCGATGACATTGTTGCTGCTTGTGCTTGTGCTTGTGCCTGTGCTTGTTCGTGCCCTAAAGGTCCAAGGCTCATCAACCATCTATCTTCCGTCCTCAAGAATTGCAGCCCAGATGATGATGGATGCTGCAATTGGCGACGAATGCCATACATATCTCCCGCTTCCGTAAGGCTCCCGCGGGAAAGGGGGAGGATACCTATGTCGCCTCTTATAACAAGTTGCACGGCAAGCCCGCTTTTCCCTCAAACGTCTTTGATCCTGTCTTGTTTCAATCTCCGTGCTTCCCTTGGTAAGCAGATCCCCAAGGGACTTCGATCTTGGGTGTGTTGGGACTACGTTTGCTGCCTCGCCTGAACATGCTGCCTGGCCGATGGCATCATGACTCCCGTCCCCAAGGAGCGACGACGACGACCTGCAATATGGAAGCCTTGACACACAATCCTGCTAGTGTGCTGTACCCGGTCTTTCCACCCCACTTGTCCCGAGTAACGAAGTCGACTCCGAAGCCGACGATCGTGGGATCCATTGACGCTGTATTTGTGCTTTCGATGTTACCCTGTAATTCTTCCAATTCCTTCCTCCTTTATTACCCCCGAGTCTCCATTTGTGATTGCCCGAAGGAATATATGTGTCATGATACCAACTTCGGGCCTCGTCATAGTCTCCGATGCCGCGTTCCCGGGTAGTATATCCGTCTGACTTGGACGCGATATCCGACGACGTGTGGGAGCGACCCAGCGAGTATGAATGGGGTTGCTGTCGCTGTTGGGTTGGTTGAGAGGCCCAACGCAAATGCAACGCCAACATCTTCACAGTAACGCATCTCCGTTTCTCCCCTCTCTACCTGGATGTTTTGTGTTAATAGAGAGATTTGATTTCTTTTCGTTTCTTAGGCGTTCTATTTGGCATTTCGGTGAGCCTCTTTCTGTCTAGCATTTCTGATCCTGGCCTTGTTGGGAACGCCCCTATGCCCAATCCCTCTCGCCGAAGGCAGACCACACAATACGCCCTTTTGACAACGGCAGCAAATATGACAAACCAATACGCTCTCAACAAAGCTTGATGAAGAAAGAAATGCCGCGAACAGGACCATAATCTCTGCCGATGGAGTACCTTTTCTCTCCGTGGTACTTTAAGAGGCCGGAAGTGACAGTACATGCAGGCTCAGCTTCTAGATAGCCAGGGCCTTTGACCTAATAAGCAAGAAACACGATTTGCTGCCTTTCATAAGTCTGCTGTTTTTCTATTCTTTTCTTCTTTATGCTTTACTTTTAATCAATGTATCTTTAATTTATTTATACTCATTTCATTAGTTTATTACCATGCTTTTGAACATAAAAGAGGTGGAAATAAAATACTGCCTCATAACGTTACAGTATGTTTGGACTGATATACATGTGGTGAAGTTGGGTAAGCGTCTTAGCCATGCCGACTCCGAAGCCGCCTCGGCATCTCCCCATTCTCAGTCGCCCGTGTTTATAAGCACGTTTTCCCATCATCGGCGTCAGGAGGCAACACGTCATATAGAATGCCGACAGACAGGGCGGCAGAGGCTATACGTCTGCGTATCCTTGCGAGCACAGGAACAAGCCCTGTTAACGTTATCGACCATCATCGTGAGAAACCGCCAAGATCGCCAGGATCTGAGAGGAGGAACCACAAGCAAGCTTATATGATACAATGCTTCAGATTAACAGAAATAGTCAAGCTTTTATTCTATAGCAAATGAACGAAAAGAATACAGATGGTCGAAAGGGAAATCGGTAAACAGTGCTTCTAAGGGAATGTAAAGGATGAAACATAAAATGAATGAGGCCATGCCCCTGTCAGCGAGTGTAAGAATGTGATAAACCCCTAGACGCGCATCGCTCTTTGCCAGAGAGCCTGATGCAGGCGGATGCAAACATAGCTGCCCAAGATCCTCGCTTTGGTACAAAATAAAAAAAGACCGACAAGGAATCGAAAATCTGGCATCAGCCAGCAATGGACGAGAAACAGTAACAAGGACAAACAAGAAAGAGAAGAGTCAACAGTCTGCAGACCATCAACCACATAAACAAAGGCTTCAACCCCCCTTAATGCATCCCCGGCACCGCTCAGTACCAGGTCGGCGGCGTCGTCCAGTGCCGCAGCATCGTCTCAATGGCCGCTCGCCACTCGTCCTCGAAGCACGTCGCCAGCTGCTGCACCATCTTCTCGCTCGGCCCCTTGCCCCCCCACATCTCCGGCTTGCGCGCCTCCGCGTCCGAAAAGATGCGTACCAGGCCGTCATCTCGCATCCGCGTCAGGCACAGCCAGGCCAGGTTCCAGCTGCGGTTGCTGTCCGGGTCCGACCGCACTCGGCGGTATGCCTCGGCTACAATTTCCGCGCTTATGGGGTAGCTCCGGGTCAGGCCGCGGAGCTCCGTCAGAAACTGGTTGCTCGACACGTAGTAGGTCCACGCCTCCGTCATGGGCTGCTGGAAGGCCCGTGCCTCCGCCTCCGAGTCGCACGTGGCCGCGATGCGCTCAATGCGGCAGAGTTCCGTCAGCGTGTTGATGCGGTGCGTGGTGAGCGAGTCGATGAGCTGCTGGATAGAGGCCTGCGTTTGTATTAGCATAGCTGTTTCACCTCAACTTGCTCGATTTGGCTTGTATAGACAGCGTGGCGGTGCATGAGATGTATATCGCTTGCAGTATTTTTGCAGATATACTTCTGGAATGTACATCTCCTATACAAGACACCCAAAAGGAGAGCCCAACTTACCTTAGGCTTGTCCGAAGTCTTGCCAGACCCCCCGGAACTCACACTGCCGCTTCGAGTAGACATGCTTGGCTTGTTGTCGTTGACTGGTGAACCCTTTTGCTAATTGTATTGCTGGGACTGAGCTTGGTATAGGAGACGGCTTGTGCTGGTGATGGCTATCGTTGTTGTCTTTGTTGCAGACTGTTTAGTGATGGTTTGTTCTCACCATTCCATGCAAGACGGGAGCTATACTTTATATCATCGATGAAGCTCCAAACAAGCAGATCTCTCAATCATGGAAGGCCTCTTGAAACGAACCATGTCATCCACATGCTGAGAACAACCAAGGTGTGTGCCGAGCCAAGAGTTGCAGATGCTTCTCACAAGTCTGCCTTTGCGCAACATGGATGAAGCTTATTGTCTTGATAGACTCCAAGCATCAAGACTGTGCAATCGACATAGTCGGTAATGATGAGAATCCTTCGCGAGGCGTTGTCGATGGGGGTATTGGACATGAGAACGGCGGCATGCGGCCCGGTTGTCAGCGGAAGTTGGTAGTTCCGTTGACAGAGGAGTGGACGAGCAGCAAGGGCCAAGCGAGGAAGGCAAGGCAATCCAGCTGTAGGAGATCGAATCGGACAGTTCAAGGTGGCCGCAGGGCACGGAATAGGGTGGGCTTCCCATGCTGACGATGGGCCGAAGTCCCCCACGTCCATTGAAGGGGCCATGCTGGTCGGTCTGACGCTGGCCATACCGAGAACATGTGCCTAGCCCCCAACTCGTAGGGCTGTTCCCCGTTCTGCCCTGAAAGTGGAGGTGAGGTATACTATGAGAAATAAGCTCTCAATTCACCAACATGTATCCCTCTTCCCATTGCAGCAGGCGGTAGCTTGGCGCGGACTGGAATTGAAGCTGGACTGTACCAGAAGACGCAGATCGTGAGCTTGGGCTGCCGCTCAGGGGCTGGGGTGGCCTCATCGCTAGATGGACTGCAGAGCTGCTGCGCTACTCGGTTTAGGAGCATCAGCACCAGCACTCTGGTAGCGGCAGCTGGTGTAAGACGTCAACGACGAACCACACCAATACCCATCATGCAAGCCCCAAGCATCTGCAGCATCTGCAGCATCTGGGCCGCTTTGGGCAAAAGTGATGACCACCAGTGCCTGGGCTAGGGTGGGAACTAAGCCGAATCCCACGGTAATGCTCTCATCGTGCAGGTCGGAGCCGTTGGGGGTCACGGAAGATTCTGCTCACAGCCCTGCCCGGTTTCTCGGCGCTCGGCGGCATGGCGGCTGTCAGCTCGAGCTGCATGGCAATCCCTTGTGGAGATGCGCTGGAAGGAGGAAAAAAGGCGAGCAACAGCCACCGGAAGCGCGCCGTGGGTCGTCTGCGGTGATTGGCACAAGGTGAGGTAGTAGTGCTGTACGAGTAAGCATCATCATCATCATCATTGCGGAAATGACTCGCAGGGTCGATAAGCGCGCTAGAGAAGTGGTTTGTTTGGTTGTTTGGTTGCTTGCTTGCTTGTTTGTTTGGTTGCTCGTTCATTCGCTCTCGAGGCTGATTTGTGCTCTGCAGTGATTATTCCGCCGAGTCAAGCTGGAGCTTTGCTCATGGCCCTTCTCGTTCTCCAGCTTGTTGTCATTTGATGCCGCCTCACCTGTGGGCAGGCGAGTTTATCCGCGCAGTCTCGCGCCTCCATGCCTCCAAATAGGGCCAAGACTGTGGCCGCTGCTCGACAATCGATGAAGTAACGGAGTATTGGCAGTTCGGAGTATTCGGCGCTGGCGGAGAATGGCGCGGAACGATGCGAAAGCGCCAATAAGAACGAGGCCTGCGTCAATATCTCCAAGGGTGTTGGACAAGGGAAAACAGAGAAACAGGGCACAAGCGCAGAGGCGCGCTTAGCATCCCGGCTTTGACGCTGCACCGCCACTCAAGAGGCCGCAGAGGCCGCCGTTAGACGCGCAGTGGCTGGGGTGGGGCTTGACGCGCTAGTACGCTAGTGGACTGAAGAGGGACCACGAGGAAAAAAGTCCCCGGAAGCGGCGCCGAGCTCAAAGCTGCTAACCTGGAGCACGCCTCAAGCAACCCGCTTGCACACGGTAAGCTTCCATCAAACAAGGCTGCAGCTGAAGTCGATCAACCAGAAATCTGCCTCGCCGTGGCCCCGGATCTTTGCTCTTCCGCGCGTCTATCGTCCTATCACAGCGCGGCCAGCGGCTCCCGCACGGCAGAGCAGGAATGCGGAGATCCGCGGCCTTTTTGCCGGCACTTGGATACATGCTATGGGCTGAGTCATGCCTTGCTTCGAGGAGGGTTGTGAGGCCTCACGCTTGTTTCGACGACACCAGACGATGACGCTCGTGACGTTCTATAATGCTGCGACACCCTTTTGACCACGTTGAAACAGCCAAAAGATTGGCGCTTATACACTTATACACGATTGCAGATTGACTGCGTTTTTTGCCGCTTTCTCGGTCAGTCAAGATGGATAAATGGCTACTTCCGCACCACACCCTGTGCAACTTGATTTTCAATGCACGACATCTGACAAGCACTTGTTACGGTGCTTTTGCGGTCTCCTTATTCCCCATCCCATTTCGCCTTTACGGAGCAAATATGGAATGTCCCTTTTTCGCTCCGGGCCCGCATCATGTTCAAGCAGAGTGCAAAAAAGGTTGAATGCCTACTGGTAAGCTTCTCCATCAACCTCCCTCGGTCCGTGAGCCCCTTGAGCAGGCAGAGCCCAGACAGTCAATTTCGCTTCGCTCCCGCCACCGCCCTGGAGGTGCTGTCTCTCCCTTTGCATGGCCGCCTCGGTCGACATTCTGCGATGCCCCTTGCTGGATTCATCTCAGCTGTTGGTGGTACTAGGAGTAGCAGTGAAATCTCCTCCCTATTTTTATCACCCTTCCAGAACCAACAGAGAATGCCACAGCGCTGTCACCGTTGCCCGGTCCACGGACTAATTACTACAGGTATGGTATCTAATGCATCATTGGCTCGGAGCAAGCAGTTATTGCACGGCAGGGGGCCAGCAATTTATATGAATTGCCCGGCTGACAACTAGTACATGAGAATAGATGAGGTCAATCACCCGAATTGTTTCGTTTCTGGTGCGACCGGCGGATCTGCGCTGGTCATGGAGCAGCATGGCAACAATTTCGCGCTGGACGAGCGCACCAACGGGATGGCCCTCTTGTGTGTGTTTCACGTCTGCTTGGGGCGACTCAGCGCTGAGATACGAGACTCGATCTGCTGTGCACGGTCAGGACAAACAGCGATTATGGCCGTCACAATGGTCCTCGTATCGTCTAATTGGCTCGCCTCAGAATTGCAGGAAAAAACAGAAGAAGAGGAGAAGAACTCATGAAGTGCCACAGCAACAGCAGGCATTCGCCCTGTATCCCGAGTCATCACAGCTGCAGATCCCTCTCGCAACCGGAAATGGATGAGCAGCTGGGGCCCGTTTGTCTCGGTACCTGGCGCCCCGTCACTTGTTTGCTGAGCGCTCTCGTATTCTCCCCTGCTTGTGACCTTCGGCCATGGCCGTCCAGCTGCCAATTGGATCTTACAGGCGTCCCGAATGCTGCCCGATGCGGCTAGTCCCGCTGTGGCTATGCACTCCTGTTTCAACTTTTAGTGCCAGGGGATGCAGGTACCGCTACAGCTCCCGCCCCAGCACCCCTCCAGCACCCCTCCAGGGCACCTCTCAGCGTCCAATAGCGCACCTCACAGCATCCAACAGCACACCCACCCGCTGCAAGCTCCGCTGCCAGGGCCAGGCACCGTCCCTGAGCTGCACGTGATCCCAGCTGTCACTCCCCCCTGCCTGCAATTTCGCGATGCCGCAGCTCAAAACTGCCGCCCTTCCTCTCCATCCACCACTCTCTTGTTTCTTTTTGGCCTCGACATTGCCAGCTCTCTCATTCTTAGCATTGCCTCGTCCTTTGTGCCGCGACGTTCCTTTTCTGCCGTCCACAGACATTCATTCATTTTTTGCACCAAATAGACTCATCGCTCCTTTCAGCTGCTTTTTGCTCGTCGCGCACTTACGCTCTCTTTTGCACCACTTCAATCTTCAATACAAACCACTGCAATCATGAAGCTGTCTACGACCATCGCGACTGGCGCTGCCCTTGTGGCCGGTGTTTCTGCTGGACAGAACAACTACCTCGGCTTCAACTCGGGCAACACCCTCCCCGACGAGTCCGCCAAGTTCGAGAAGGACTTCCTTGCCGAGTTCTCCACGGCCCAGAAGCTCGTCGGCGCCCCCGGCACCTTCAACGCCGTCCGTCTCTACACCAACATCCAGGCCTACTCCAAGGACACTCCTATCGAGGCCTTCTCCGCCGCCATCAAGACCAAGACGTACATTCTCCTCGGTGTCTGGGCCTCGGGCACTGATAACATCGACAATGAGCTGGCTGCCCTGAGCGCCGCTGTCAAGCAGTACGGCAAGGACCTGACGGACCTGATCATTGGTGTCTCCATCGGCAGCGAGGATCTGTACCGTGACTCGCAGACTGGTCGAACCAACAAGGCCGGTGTCGGCAACGGCCCCAAGGAGGTCCTCGGCTTCATCAACGACTACAAGAAGACCTTTGCCAACACTGCTCTGGCCAATGTCCCCATCGGCCACGTCGACACCTGGGATGCCTGGGTCAACGGCACCAACAAGCCCGTCCTCGACGCCGTCGACTGGATCGGTGTTGACGAGTACCCCTTCTACGAGACAGGCAAGGGCAACGACATTAGCAACGCCGGCAAGCTCTTCGACACGGCTTTCGAGACCACGCTGGGCGCTGCCAATGGCAAGCCCGTCTGGGTGACGGAGACCGGCTGGCCCCTGACCGGCCCCGACTGGGACGAGGCCAAGCCCAGCGTCAAGAACGCCCAGAAGTACTGGCAGGACATTGGCTGCAAGAGGCTCTTCAACAAGTACCCCACCTTCTGGTACAACCTGCGTGACTCCAACCCGGCCAACCAGGTCAAGTTCGGCATCAGCCAGAGCCTCTCTTCCACCCCTTCGTTCGACCTGACCTGCCCCAAGGAGGAGACCACCACCTCCGCGGCCAAGCCCACCGCCACCACCCTCGTCAAGGCTTCTGGAACACCCGAAGCTGTCAAGTCTGGCTCCGAGGGCACCGCTAACGCCGGAGGCTCCAAGTCCAGCAACAGCGATGCTTCCACCACCTCATCAGGCCCTGCCGCGGCCACTACCACCGGCGCCGGTGCCGTGACCAAGGTCTCCGGCGCTGCCCTTGCCGGTGTGGCCATGGTTGCCGGTCTCCTGGCCCTGTTCTAAGCATGAGGACGATTTCTTGTAAATAAGCTTGACGTATCTGGGTGGAGACGATGTTGGATTGCTTTTGGGAATTTAGACAAGACCAACGATAGACTGGTTTGAGACAATGAATGCTTGGTTATTGTGAAGGAACAAATATACATCTCTATGATAACACAGGTCCCTGCACTGGTGCTCATACTGTTTGTGACCGCATGAAAGGACCTACCTAGTACTACCTAGGTGAATGTAAAAACGATGTGGCTTGAGATCATTTCCCAGCTAAATACCTATCATGCTCTAATAATCCATTACATCTAAACGAAACCAACGCTACCATTGCCATGCAGATCCAACGCCAGCCCAGAGAGGAGACATGCTTCGTCATCTTTCCCAATCATCATCACCACACAACTGCACACGTGCCACCGTTTAGATGGTGCCGGTGCGGAACAGCTCCAAGTGCTGCCTGTCCAGGCTGACACCCTTCTTCAGCAGCTCAGCGCGCACCTGGACCATCCACTCCTCGGGCCCGCAGATGTAGTACTCGGCAGAGGCATCCTTGAGCGGCAGCACGCCGTCGGCCTCGAGCGTGTCCAGGTTGACGCGACCGGCGTAGTCGTACTGCTGGCCCTTGACGTCGGACTCGCTGACGTTGTTGAGGAAGATCTTGGTCGTCAGGTTGCTGTGCTTGGCATCGGCCTCGCGAATGTACTTGCCGTACGTGACGGCGCCCGAGTGGCGCGCGCCATGGATCCAGATGACGGGCCGCGAAGCCTCGGACTCGCTGGACAGGATGGTGTCGAGGATGGAAAGCAGGGGCGTGACGCCGACGCCGGCAGAGAGCAGCACGACGGGGGCGGTGGGAGGGATGGCCGAGGCGCTGAAGGTGAACTCGCCGTGGGGAGGGCTGAGCTGGACCGTGTCGCCGACCTTGAACTGCTCGTGCAGGCGCTGCGAGACGAGGCCCGCGATCTTGCCGGCGGCGAGGTCCTCGGGGGTGTAGGAGGCGCCGTCGTGTTTCTGGTCCTTCTTGACGGTGATGCGGAACTGCTCGGTGCTGTTGTGCGGCGCCAGGCTGAGGCTGAACTGGCGGCTCTGGAAGAGGCCGTTGAGCTCCGGGATGGGGATCTGCAGGCTGACGTACTGGCCGGGGAGGAAGGGCGGGAGGGCGCCGCCGTCGGCGGGCTTGAGGTAGAAGCTGGTGACGCCCTCGGCCTCGTCCTCGCGGCGGACAATGGTGAAGTCGCGCCAGCCCTGCCAGCCGGCCTCGGCGTAGAGCTGCTGCTCGCGCTTGATGAAGATGTCGGCCAGGATGCCGTAGGCGGTGACCCAGGCGTCCTTGATCTCCGGGGTGAAGGCGTCGCCGAGGATCTGCTCAAAGGCGCCGATGAGGTACTTGCCGACGATGGGGTAGTGCTCGGGCTTGATGAAGAGCGAGGCGTGCTTCTGGGCGATGCGCTCGACGGCGCCGGCGATGACGGCCAGGTTGTCGATGTAGGTTGCCGCGGCGAGGACCGAGTTGGCGAGGGCGGCCTGCTGGGCTCCCGTTTGCTGGTTGCGGAGGGAGAAGTAGTTCTTGAGCTCGGGGTGGGCGGCGAGCATGTTTGCGTAGAAGGTGGTTGTGACGGTGGTGCCGTGCTCGCGGATGATGGGCACGGTGGACTTGATGATGGCGATTTGGTCTGCGGTGAGGGTGGCCATTGTGGTGGTGGTGGTGATGATTTTTGTGATCTTGGTGGTGTTTGGGTGGTTCGGTGTAAGTTGTTCGGGTTATGAGGTTGGGTTGATGATGATGCCTGATGTCTGCGTTTTGTTGGATCTGGCTGATGCAAGGGGGTGAGACAGGATGGAAGTTGTCTCTCTTGTAGTTGGTGTTGCTTTTAGGTATCCCAGCTGTATGGTTCTATACAGAGTGTAAGAGGAATGAGTTGCTGCTCTATTGCAAGTCTATAAGACGACAAGAGCAAAGTGAGGCTTGTGGTGATGGTTGTTTACTGATGGTCTGAATAGTAGCTTCAAGAATAGGGACTCACGACACCATCACTCCCTTATATACTTCCAATACAAGAGAACGTATACCCGAAGCCAAGAAGAAGAAAAAAATAATCTATTAGCCATTTTCTTCAAACTATCACAATGAATCCATTCTGCGCAAGACGTCTCCGCGCAGGTTTGTTCCTGACGCCTCTTTCGTTTTTTTCTCGCTAGGCTCAGACGCCTTCTCTCTGCCCTATCACATACGGAGTAATTCGGCCCTTGCGTCCTGACTCTAACGGCGGCCGGGGGGCGCCCCGGAGATCCGGAGACGTTCAATTCAGACGGCGGCGTGCCGGGGGGGCGATTTTGTTAAAAGAGAGAAAATCTTCATATCACGGAACGAATTCTGGACCCTGTTTTTTTTTGTGCCTGGATTTTTTAGTATGAATACCTTGAGAGGCGCATGATGCTGATTGCCGCTTGGTGGGGCCCTCGGATGGGCTGATTTTGTTGCGGGAACGGCTGATGGGCTGCAGGGAATTGTCGGGTTTGAGGGTTCGGGAAGTTTAGGGGCAAGTTGGAGTTGAGTCACTGAAGGGTTTACTGCTGGTGTTCTACCTATTCTTGGTCTTGAGTGCGAATTGCCTAGCTGACCTGAGGGGACATGGGACGATTCGATTCCATGACTCCATCGTACGAGTCGCTTTTCCCTTGCAAGCTCATTGATGGGGATGGTTTGGTGTCTTGTGCTAACTTTTTTTTCTTTCACGAGGATTGATGTGAAGCATGTCCGCGGAAGAAAGAAGAGGGAATTGCTGGTTTTCCGGAGGTGATTGATTTGGGATTTTATGATTGGTAGTGTTCCAAGGTTGAGTTTGTCATGACTTTGCGTTTCTCGTGATTTTGTGTTTCTGACGTGATACCCGGACGAGGAAAGTTGATTGAATGAGAGGCTTCACAAATGCCCTTTCTTATTTGTAGTTGTTTTATGATTACTCTGCCCCTTTTGTGCTTGCTGGTGGGCTTATAAGTTGCCCATGAGAGTCATCTGCTTCTTGTCTCTGTTCATATAGTACCAATACGATATGGTAGGCTTGTTCCCCGGAATGTGTTGCACAGCCGGGAGGGTTGCCCGACTTTTTGTGGAGCTTGTACCGGGGAATCTATGGGCTTGACGGGAGCGAATCATTGACGCTGTATTTGATGTGTTCTTTTCGGAACTGCTGAAAGTGATATAAGGCTTAAAAAGCTGCAGAACAGACTTCTTTAATCGCTTTTATCTGTTGTATATGGCTCCTCTTATACACTGTAGAAGTTGGCGACAGTTCGGAGCACTATAGGCTATCATGTCGAGTTTTTGGAAAACCTTGCGGAGAGTGAGGCGGTAGGGGCCATTGATGACCTCGGGTATCTATCCGATTGAAAAGATAGATATGATGGCACTCACACATTTCCAGCAAAAAATACGTTTCGACGCGGAGTTTGATCTCTAGAGGCAAGATGAAGCCGCAGAAGCTGTACAAGATACATGCAACCTGGACTCGTACCTAGTATTGCCAAGCTCACTGGCTGATAAGATAAAGCTTTGCTTAGTCATCCGCAGACGGGGAAATGTGGCCGTTGGTTGACGACATACAGCCCACCAGAGCTGAAGCTCCCCTCGCAAGCAAGGCTCCAAGCTATGAACACCACATAACAGCAGCCCAACATGCGACGCTCACTGCAATCGGCCCTGCTGCTGGGCCTGTCGTCGCTCGTGGCCGCCGTGTACAAGGACGAGGTCGGCCACATCGACTTCCACCACGCCCTCGTCGGCGTGCCCCAGGTCGAGACCACCTTCTTCCACCGGCCCAAGAAGGACGAGAAAGCGAGCCTGCTCTATACCCTCAGCGATGTCGGCGTCCTGGGCGCCGTCAACCCCAACACGGGCGCCCTCGTCTGGCGCCAGCAGGTTGCGCCGGGCGTGGCTGGTCGAGGCGGCCATCTGAGGGCCCCCGAGGGCGAGAACTGGGTGGCTGCTGCGTACGGCCAGCAGGTCCAGGCATGGGCTGCGCTGAGCGGGCGGAGCGTCTGGCAGACCGAGTTCGACGGCCGCGTCAAGGACCTGGAGATCATGGAGCTTACCGAGAGCGCGAGGAAGGACGTGCTGGCCCTGTTTGAGGAGGACGGCGTCACGGTTCTGCGCAGGCTGCACGGCGTTCTGGGCACCGTCGTCTGGGAGTTCCGCGAGGTCTCGAGGGACATTCCTTTGCAGGTGTCGACCAGCGTCTCCAATGTCTACATCATCAGCCTTCACGGATCGCCCTCATCGTATAGCCTGAAAGTCACGACCTTGGAGCCGGCGACGGGAGGACGGGTCGACCACTGGATAGTCGGCACCAAGGGCGGAGTCCAGCCCGAGGATGTCATGTTTGTTGGCGCAAACTCGGCGGCTCCCATTCTGGCGTGGACCAGCAGCGATCTTTCGACACTCAATGTCCACGTCCTGGGCCCAAAGTCCAAGCAAGACTTTGTGTACGCGCTCCCCGCTGACACCGTCTCTGTTGACATACATGCTCCGCACTTGACGCAGTCTCAGCCTCACTTCCTGGTCCACACACGCACCGCGACTGGCAACAAGGCCGAGGTCTTCCACACCAACTTGAAGACTGGCCAGATCACAAAGGCATACGAGCTGCCGCTGCTCCCCGGACTCGGCGCAATCTCTACCAGCTCCGAAGGTGCCAATGTCTACTTTACGCGTGTCACCGAAGACGAAGTCCTCGTCGTGTCCTCCGAATCGCACAGCATTCTCGCTCGTGACTCTCTTAGTCCCGAGGCCCGTGTCGAGGCCGTTCATGCCGTTTCAGAGGTCATCAAGAAGGCCGGCGGCAAGGAGTTCGCCATCCGGTCTGCCACCGTCACCACGTCGCAGGACTGGGTGCTGATCCGCAATGGCAAGGTCGACTGGACTCGCCCTGAAGGCCTCAGTGGCGCCGTTGCCGCGGCTTGGGCCGAGATTCCCGAGGCCGAAGACCTGGCCAAGGTGCTCGCCGAGGAGGCACACACCAACCCGTGGAACGCCTATGTGCACCGCGTGACTCGCCACATCCACGATCTCCAGTACCTCCCCGATTACCTTGCCACCATTCCCACCCGAGTTATCGAGAGCATCACCGGCGGCGCGGTCGTAGTGTCCAAGTCTGAGGGCCTTCACCGAGACTCGTTTGGCTTCAACAAGATTGCCATCATCGCCACTCGGCGCGGTCGATTCTACGCCTTGGATACTGGCAGTCATGGCGAGATCGTTTGGGCCGCCGACGTCTTTCCTCAAGCCCCCGGTGCTGCGTTTGACGTCAAGGGCCTTTTGGTTAATGACGCTGAAGGCACAGTGACCGTTGGAGGCTCCAAAGGCGAGTACGCCGTAATTAGCGTCGCAGATGGACGAGTAATCGAGACTCAACCTGGCGACGAGTCCACTGCTGTCTCTGCCACAGCCGTTATCGAGCGCGAAGGCGGCAAGTCGTTGCTTGCTCTGGGACAAAATGGAATGCCCGTCGATGGCGTCTCAACGGAGCGACCTATTGATCAGACCATTGTCGTTCAAGAGGAGGATGATATCATTAAAGGCGTCAAGTTCGTCAACGAAGGCGGTGAAATCGTCAAAAAGGAGGTCTGGCAGCTCCAACTGCTCCCGGGCCAGAAGATTGCGAACCTTGCCCAGCGCCCGGCGCACGATCCCATTGCCTCCATCGGCCGCGTATTGGGAGATCGAACCGTCAACTACAAGTACCTGAACCCCAACACCGTCGTCGTCGCCGCCATTGATAGTGCCGCCTCTTCCCTATCGGTCTATCTCCTGGACACGGTTACCGGCCAGATGCTCACCTCGCAAATCTACGACGGTGTGGATGGTGACAAGGACATCTCATGTACCCTGTCAGAAAATTGGTACGCATGTGCCTTTTTCGGACAGTATACTCTCAATGACGGCTCGGACCGGGACATTAAGGGATATCAGATTGTTGTGACCGACTTGTACGAGTCTCCTTCACCCAATGACCGGGGCCCTCTGGGCGATGCGGAGACATTCTCGCCCCTGGATCCCGTGGATACCCCGACTGGCGTGCCGCTGCCGTGGGTAGTTTCTCAGAGCTGGATCGTATCGGAGCCTCTGACCAACTTGACGGTGACCCAGACGCGTCAAGGCATCACCAGCCGACAGTTGTTGGCTTACCTGCCCGAGTCCCACGCCATTCTGGGTATCACGCGGCATGGCATCGACCCTCGCCGACCTGTTGGGAGGGACCCATCTGCGGCAGAGATTGAAGCCGAAGGTCTTGTCAGGTACACGCCCGCCATTTTCATTGATGGGCGGAATCTGCTTACGCACGAGCGGGACATTGTTGGCGTGAGGGGTATTGTGACAACGCCGGCCATTGTTGAGAGCACCAGCTTGCTGTTGGCGTACGGCATCGACGTCTTTGGTTCTCAGATTGCGCCGAGCGGAACGTTTGATATCCTGGACAAGGGGTTCAACAAGGTCACGCTGCTGGGCACGGTGCTTGCGCTTACTTGGGGAGTTGTGTTGTTGGCGCCCATGGTATGTTGCCTTGTTCTTCCCTTTTCTTTTCCGGACCCCCTTCCCCTTTCAAAACGAAGCCTGCGAATTACTGACACTTGTATAGGTTCGCAGGAAGCAGATCAACCGGAAATGGGAAGCATTCATGTAAACTGGACCTTGCAGCTAGAGGAGACATACTACGGGATACCACGTACTGGCCTTATGATTAGGTGGCGCGCACGCATTTACTTGTTTGCTTGATGAGGGCCTGCGCTTAATGTGTATGAACAATGCAAGAAATGGAAGGCATTTTGGATGTTTAACGAATGCTTTGTTGCTTTGGTCTATTCATCATGTGTGTTCCCATCTAACCTACTGATTCATCCTCCAGCTTAGGCTTCTGGCCAGTTACCCGTCAAGGTGATACAGCTTCCGTTGGCACTCTGGCCGATGCCGTCCTCGCACAAAAACGCAGCGTATCTCGCTACATGGTCGACGGGCACGTTGTTCATCTTGGGGTGCGCCTCCTTGACGGCCTTGAAGCCCTCGACGTTCATGCCGGCGGCAAACGCGTCGCTAATGTTGGTCTCGTTCATGCCGCCGGGCATGAGCGCAACCGAATAGACGCCCCTGGGGCCGTAGAAGCCCGCCGTGTGCTTGGTCAGGGCGACGAGCCCGTGCTTGGACGCGGTGTAGGCGACGCCCGCGGTGAGGCCGGAGAAGGAGGCGGTGGAACCGATGTTGATGATGAGGCCGCCGCTCGGCTGGGCGGCCTGCAACAAGTGCGGCAGGGCGTGCTTTGTGACGAGGAAGGCGCCCGTGAGGTTGACGGCGAGGATGCCGTCCCACATCTTGGTGTCGCAGTCGCCTGCGGGGTCGAACTTGTCCATGATGCCGGCGTTGTTGATGACGATGTCGAGGTGGCCGAAGTGGGCGGCGGACTGGTCGACGAGGGCCTTGACGGAGTCTTCAGAGGCGACGTTGGCTTCGAGGGCGAGGAGGTGCTCGGGAGGGTAGGTTGTAGAGAGGTCGGCTTTGGCGGCGGCGAGGCGGGAGGGGTTGATGTCGCTTATGGTGACGAGGAAGCCGTTTGCGAGGAGGGATTTGGCAATGCTGAGGCCGAGGCCGCTGGCGGAGCCGGTGACGAGGACTGCCTTGGGAGAGAGGGACATTTTTTGGGTGATGCTTGGGAGAGGAAGGGATGAGATGGTGAGGTTGAAGAGCGAGTGCAGTGTGTTGATGCTTTTGTATCGACCTTTGTATTGCCAGCTGAAAAGGATGATGCGAGGCAAATGGGAGAAGAGGGCTCATTGGCCTCTCTTATAGAGATTCGAAGGTCAAGCCTTGCTGTCCGCCTTTCGGGGCCGCTGCCGAGCCTCCTTTCAGCCTGGCAGCCTCGTTTTTTTTCCCCAATGAAAGGATTAGACTCATCCACACATACGGAGTACGAATGCGCTGAAATCCCTCTCGCCATACTGTTTGTTCCTATCGGCTGCGCGCATATGCAAGTGAGGCCTCATTCTGCAGCTGGCCTCGCCTGGACGCTACTGCTACCACTTACAAGTACTACTCCGGCCACCTCGTCCGGGGCAAAGGGGTGTATACGCGTATTTGTACGTTGCTCTGGCCTGTACCTACTCCATACTAACAAGGAAGAGAAAAAGCCAGTGAGGCAGAGCAGAGCCACCCCCAATATTGGGGGCGAAACGGGGCTGTTCTTGTTGTGCGTTCAGCCGCACTTTGGAGGAGGTTGGTTTACGGGTACGTGCGTTTTGTAGTGTAAGAAAGGTGATGTAAGTAAGTATGCGGGAGATGTCACTGTGTGGATTTCAATGGTTGCCTTGCGGGCAGATTGCCCAATTGGGAGGATATTTATCTTTTGTGTATGAGGGAATGCGAATACGACGAGAGTTGAGAAATACGCGTATAGAGAGATTTGAAGGGGAGATTGTGAGTTGAGCGTTGGTGTAAGTTGACGAGAACGGCCACAGAATTGGAGCTGAGCAAGGCGAAAGAGTTGCCGAATCTAAACATGGGGTGAGGCTGAGGCGCGCTGGAGCTGCCTTTCGGTGCCTCGCTGCGTGAGGGTTACGCTGGTGATGATAAAATTGAGGCGACTTGGGCTTACATGTGCTACCAAGAGGGCTTGTCACGGGCTCGTTGAGGCATTGTCGCTCTTTATATTAGTTCTATCGCTTCTTGAAAGGCCTAACGAGTGCCGTGCGTTTTGTTCCCTGGAGAGAAAGACCCCAAGTATGTGGTCTACGGAAAGTTGTCATCTCAATGTACCTAGGTAGCTTGTATGAATCTTCTCGCTGGTTTAGAAATTGATCCATGTTCGCTCAAGGAAAGACTAGATTTTGCCTCACATAGTGCCCCATTGCCAGCTTAGTAGTACCAAAATGCGAATACGATTTGCACGGACCTTTGGCCAAGTGCAAGTACTACAAGTGTTGTGAAATCACAATACGCGTATAGGAATATCAAGGATGAAGAGATGTGATGGAGGAACTGCAACTTGAATACGCGTGTACACTCTTCACTCAACACCAGACAAGACAGGAAGCGAGATTACCGTTGTGCACAAAATGTACCCCTATCATCCATTTAGCGATCTATCATGTAATAGCATCGCATTGCAGTATCTCAAGTCATTGTTGTATCCCAAGTCTTAGACAAAAACTCCCGCCAATACAGGAAACATGCAAACAGGCGCAGTCAAATCAATAAAAAGCTTGGACAACACTCAGCACTCATCCTTCCAGTTGTCGCTGATCCACTCGGCCAGCTTCGTCGTCAGCGTCCCCTCCATATACGGCTCCACGTCCTTGGCGCTGTAGTCGCCGCCGCTAAACTTGAGCGCGGGAATGATCCACGGCAGCAGGAAGTCAATGAAGACCAGATCCACCGCCTTGGGCTTCTCGTCGGCCGAGAAGCCAACCTCGGCCTGGATGCAGTTGGGCACGGCGTAAAAGTCAATGGGCTTGTGGACCGTGTCATCGCCGTCCTTGCCGATGTCATCCTTGGTCGTGTAGCCGCCAAAGAGCTCGCCATTGTCACTGGAGCCATCGTCGCCACGGAGCTCGAGGCGGACCTCCTCTTCATTGTCGTCGTTCTGGACAACTTCATCAATCTCAGACCCCTCTTGACCAAGATCACCAACTTCGACACCATCCTGACCATCTTCAACCGTCTCGGTTTCCTCGTGGTCATCAAAGTTGGGCCGGGGGTACATTTGCTGAGGAATCGTCAACTGCCTGGTGTTGGGAAGCCCGTGGATAAAAATCTTGGCCTGGCTGTTGAGGATGCCAATCACCTTGGCGGCGATTTCGTACGGCACATCGGCCACATAGCGGAAGCCGCTGTTGAACGGGCTCACGGTGAACGTGTCGTCGCGCGTAAAGGGGCCCTTGAAGATGTCGAAGCGGATACCGCCCGTGTTGAGAATCGCCAACCGCGGCTTGTCCTTTCTGTCCTCGTTGACGACCACGCTGGGCAGCACCTCCTCCTCAAGCCAAGAGTAGATGCTGTCTTTGCCGGGGTACGGGGCCCTGGTCATCCACAAGTCTCGGGGCGCGCAGCCGTAGCGATGGTCGAGGTCGAGTGCCTTGCGGGCATCCTCAATCATCTGGCTCGCCTTTCTGCCCTCCTTGGTGGGGAACGTGGTCTCGTTCAAGCCGGTGTGATAGTACATTCCGTAGAGGTTGTTGTCGATGTATTTACGGCTAAAGGAGATGCCCTTTTGAGCTGCGACTTCCTCGCCATCCTCTTCCTTGGGCTGCTTCTTAGCGATGCCGTCAATGGACATCCAGCCAATGGTCTCAAGGTAGCGGCCGGATGCGATGGCCAGCGACTTGGAGTCGTAGCTCACGGCATCTCTGATGTGCAGGTGGCCGCCGAAAAAGGCAATAGGCGTGTCCCAGTCCTCCTTGCGAATCGCGGTGAAGATGTCCTTGAACTCTTGCATGCGCACACCGACGTGGCCGATGACGACAAAGAGGTCGGGCTTCTCCTTGATGGCGGCCTGGAACCAGTCCTCCTTGATGGTATCGGCCACGGGCTGGACGATGCTATTGTTGGCATTGCCGGTAAAGTCGAAGAGGAAGCCAAACGCCACAATGTTGAGGCCGAGGTTCTTGGTCTTGAACTTGCGGTATCGCTGGGCCTGGGGCACGCGCTTGCCCGTCTTGGGATCGACGTAGTCCAGGTTGGACGCGATGTAGTTTTCTTTGAAGTTGGGGACGGTGGTGTTGTGTTCCATGTCGACCGAGTATGCCTTGTACAGCTCATGGTTGCCGGTGCTCAGGATGTCGACCTTCTGCTGGGCGTAGATGTCGTATTGGTAGATGCCCTTGGGGACGGAGCCGTCGTAGATGCCGCTGCCCTCGATTCGATCGCCCGTGTCAATGAGGAGGAGGTCGGCGCCCTTGTCGTCGGCGAGCTTGCGCATGTGCTGGGAGAAGGAGATGTAGTCGCCCCAATCGGCGGAGAAGGAGGGCCTAGGGAACTTGTCAGCACATGTCTTGCGCTGTTGGCAGTTCGTCTGTCGCAGCTAATTTTGATTGGGCTCAAAGATGGACTCACTCTAGAAAGTGCCCGGACAGCCAGGCGTGCGTGTCTGTGGTGTGCAAGAAGTTGAGCTGCCCCCAGGTCAGGTCGCGCATGGGAGCCGCCACGGGCTTGACGGCGCCGGGCTGGGCGGCTTCGACCGCGGCTGCAGCGATGAGGGCGCCGAAAAGGTATGATTCCAGCATGGTGGCGAGACTATGATTCCATGGGAGATGGAGGAGAGAGAGGAGATGGTGATGCCGACGAGGCTGGATGATGACTGAAGGCGGTGATGGAAGGGAGGCAAAGGCGATTGATAGCAAGATGATTGGAAGATAAGGTACATGTGAGGAATGGAGGTGAAGCTCCCGGTCCGCTGACTTACTACAGGCGCTGCCATCAAGGTTCAGGTGACATCAGCGGGGAGACGAGGGTGCTAATCGCTGGATGGAACCAGCCTGTACCTCGATGCCGAGCAGCCCGCCATGCAGCCACAAACAGGCACAAACAGGCACCGGGCTGAAGTCTATGTATCTTGATAGATGCAGCCTATCCAGAGGCTGAATTGGATATAGTTTGATTGACCTAGAAGAGGACGATGATCAGATAGAGAGGAGCAGGTCAACTAAAGATGTCCTGTGTACCTCTTGCTGACAGCGGCGGAAGCCAGTGACATGCATCCCCATAGGTGCCTAGCTGACTCATCACTCCTCCACCAGTACAACAGCTCCTCCCTTCACTTTCCGACCTCTTCCAACTCTGACTCGACTTCAGCTACAGTTTGAAGAGATATTGGACATGTTGTTTGTCATTCAAAAATCGAAACTCTGTCAAGATGAAGAATCAACAAAATCCGTGTCATAGATGAGTCACAGTACTAATTTACAGAAAAAAAAACAGCCCTTCAGTCATCAATCCTAAGCATCAGCTTTCGACGTCAACACCAAATCATCCAGCTCATAGACGCCGATAAACTTGAAAAACGACAACACCTGCGGCGCGGTCCCGCATCCGTCGCCCATCGGTGCCGTGGCATTAAAGTCCACCAGCGAAATCAGCCTGTCCGCTACCGTCGCCGACACCGTGTAAGTCGTGTTGAACGCGAGGTTCCGCCCAATCACCTGGAACATGTCCAGCCCAACTTCCGGCCGCACCGTGACGAGGCATGAGGCTGGGGCCTTGGAGTTGTTGTTGGAGGACTGAGGCTGAGCCTCGGTGAGGATCTTGTTGAGCGCCGGCTTGTCAAACAGGCCCTGCCTGCCGAGGTTCTGCGTGCCGTTGCTGGCGGCCGAGACGGCGCCGGACACGTAGATGATGGCCTGGCCCTCCTGGCCGACGTTGACGGTCTTGACGACCTTTGGTGGGCTGACGGTCAAGTCGATGAAGTCGACCGTGTCCGAGTGCTCGTTGACGACGTACAGGCGCGTGTTGTCCGCGCTGGGCCACAGCCCGTGAGGCTCGACGCCGCTGGCCTGGATGGCGCCCAGCAGGACGGGCATCCGGCTGGAGTCGGGCTGCGCGTACATGAGCGTCTGGTTGGTCGAGGCCACCGTGACGAAGCCGTGCATGGTGCCGTTGATGACGGCAAAGTTGGGGTGGTTGGTCTCGGCCCCGGTGTCCATGACGCCGACGACGCGGCGCTTGACGAGGTCAATGACGGACACCTTGCCGACCATCTTGTGCGCCGTCCACAGCCGCTGGCCGTCGGGCGAGATCATCATGTCGGACGAGAAGACGTCGCCCAGGCCGGTGATGTTGGCGACGACGCGCCGCTGGGCCACGTCGATGACGGACAGCGACGGCGAGCGCACGTGGTTGGCATACGCCGTCTTGCCGTCCGGGCTGAAGACGACCTTGCTCGGCCCGCCGTACGACGGCACGTAGCCGACCACGCCGCCCTCGAGCCCGTCGACAATGTCGATCCGGTCGACGCCTCGCGTGCCGACCCAGACGTGGCGGTTGTCATGCTCGAAGAAGGCCTCGTGCGCGTTGCGCTCCACAGACGTCTGCGAGACGACGGAGTTGTCCTCGGTGCGGAACACGGTGACGGTGTTGCTCGTGACGGCCAGCGACACGATGAGCTTGCCGTCGGGCGAGAAGCCCAGCCCGTGCGAGTTGACGACCTTGACGTACTGCGGGTTCAGGTCGTTGCTCAGGCGGCTGTCGCCCAGGCTGATGGTGCCGAGGACCTCGCCCGTGGCGGGCTTGATGACGGTGATTGTGTTGGACGACTGGTCGCCCGTGTAGAGGCGGTCCGCGTCGGAAACGGGGGCGCCTTTGCCGGCGAGGGCGGGCGCTTGGTCCCAAGCCGAGGCGAGGCCGGACAGCAGGCCGAGGGCTAGCAGGGTGAGGCTTGTGTACGGCGGCATTGTGGCTGTCTGGACGGGGTATTATTGGTGTGGTCTGTATGTGACCATCAGACTCTTGTGAGATGCAGAGATAATGGCCGCGGAGCTGCCGTTGTTATAGCCGTCACACTTGTATGTCGTGGAACATCTCGGACTGACATGTCCTTGTCACGGGTTAGAGCTCTCGGATACCGGCTCCAACACCTCCATCGTGCAGCCTCCCATCACGTTTTCCCCCCTCAGACAGGCCGATTAACAAGGAACACATCCAGCAAGGGTATTACGAGACGAGGTGAGATGTGTGGTTGAAGTCCATCGGCCAATCAGCACAATGTTCGAGGGCCCGGCAGTATGTTGTCATTTGACAAAGGGGGAACAGGCCCCGGGCCTCACTCTCAGCCTTGTCTCGGCTCGTCGGTCCTGTAAGCGCATCTCGGTGCTGTCAGCCGCATCTCGGTGCCAAGGGAATTGGATATGCCAAACGGGATCTCGGGTCTTACCTCCTGTCAAACCGGAGCAGCTAATTAAGGTACTACTAATACAAGGGCTCTCAACTGAGCTTCCATCCGCGAACAAGGGCGTCAGACGTTTCTCTCTCGGGAGATTTATCCGCGAATCAGAAAATGCACAATCATAATCGTCTTACATACTTACATCTCCTGCCTTTGACGTTTGTCATGTGTGTTCCAACTACTATCCCATGTCCCGCAAACTCTTGCCCCGTCGGACCATCGGCATCATCAGGACCTTGAATCTGCAGTACTATGTCTGCTTTTAATTTGCCCTGACTATCTATGCTGCTGACCCTAAAATCTCACAACATCACTCTAAAGAGAATGCAATGCAACACATACGGCTGTCAATAGAGAGTGCCGAGGAGACGTCAGGGGGTTTCTCGTGGGAATTTCCTACCGTGGCGTAAAGGGTGTTGATCCCTACCTTACCTTGCAGTTGATACAAGTTTTGTTGTGGAGGTTTCATGTAGGTAGAGCATGGCTTGATGCTGACGGAGTGGAAAACCCAGTCAATTTGAAAATAGACATCAACAATGAATGTCCCCACGGCGTGATATCCAACTAAACAGCCGTCGTATATCGTCTAATCTGTTATGTAAATCTTAGACCAACTCTATGAAATCATTCTTCAGATCCTCTCCAATCACATCAAGGTCATTGATTTAGATTTCGTTGTCGTTCAACATCCGCATCCCCATTCGCCCCATCATCCTCCTCTTCCTCTCCACCGTACCAGTCGTCGCTCTCCAGGCCATTCCCTCGAATGAAGAAGGACCCAATACAGCCCAGCAAGGCCAAACCGCCGAACAGACTCCATGCGAGAGCTTCGCCCTTGGGCCGGATTCCCATGGACACCGTGAACAGGCCGCCAGAGGCAAAAGGACCGATGCTGCGGCCCAGCGCGGACAGAGTCTGGGCGACGCCGTTGAGAGTCCCGAGACTGTCGTGCGAAGGTGCCGAATTGGTGATCTAGTACATGTGTTAGTCGAGAAACCGAGTTGTTGCTTCATGTTTCGACTTACCAGTAGCATGACGCATGACAGCCCTCCCACGGCGCAGATGGTCTTGAGAATGAGCACAGCCCCAAGCTCAATAAACAGCCACATTGATCCGGTGCCTAGGCCAAACAGAGGCTCATCGTCGACATAGCCAATCCACGGCATGGCAATCATGCTGACGGCCAGACCAAATAGCGCAAAGCGATACGTGCCCAGGTTTCCAAACCGGCTCTTGAGCGGCTGAAAGAAAAACGCCTGGAACAGAATGGTGACGAGTCCCGCAAAACTCAAGCTGATGCCAATCTTTGTGGGCGACAGTTCACGGCCAGCAGGAGCCGGGGAGGCGGCGAAGATGGGGTACAGGCTGTTGAAGCTAATGTTGGCCAGCTGGAAGAAGAGGTAGGTAGCCAGCAGAATTAGCGTCGTGCAGTTGAGAATCTCGCGCCACGGGGTGTGTTCCTTGTGGTTGTCGTCCGCCGGCTTTGCCCTCTCGTCGTCTGTAATCGCTTCGTTGTCATCAGAGGCTGCGTCATCAGAGACGGGGGATAGCAGAGGCTGCGTTTGAGCAGTGGTTCGAGGACGGGGCCATCGCGAGCTCCACGATTGTCGTCGCGGAGTCCGACTAAAGATGCCCGAGATGCAGTTCTTGAGCCGCGTAGCCCACGTCGGCTTCCACGGGTCATCGTCAATGTCCTCCAGCGTCTCCTCGAACCAGATGCCCACCACAATGACGGCGGCCGCAAGAACAGCGGCGCTTAGGACGTTTGGCCCGAGGTAGGGGAATTCTGTGCCCATGCGCCCGACCAAGATCCCTCCCAGCGCAGGGCCAGTCAGGCCTCCCAAAGAGTAGATGATGGGTAGGTAGGTAAAGGCCCTGCTCTGGTTCGACCGGTCCGTGATCTCGCCCAGGATGCTGGGCACGCAGGCGGCATTGCCGTTGAGCAGCCCCATGGCGGCGTGGACCAGGACCATCTGCCAGTACTGCTTGCAGAAGCCAAAGGCAGCGAAGCAGCCCATGAGCGAAAAGGTGCCGGCCAGCAGCACCGGCTTCCGGCCAACCACATCCGACGCGTAGCCCCAGAGGAAGTTGGTGGACAGCTGGGCCAGGGCGAAGACGCTGGCCAGCAGGCCGACGTAGAGACCGCTCTTTTCCGGGGGGATGCCGGGCATGGACGCCACCATCTGAGGCAGATATGGGCCGATGGAGTTGAGGGCGGTCTGTTCGGCGAGCGAGAGAAAGGCCAGCAGCAGCAGCTGGCGCACGGGCAGCGGCGTCTCGTCGTGGTCGTGGGACGAGGAGACGGACGAGGCATCGGAGCCGATGGCGGAGGGGAAGCGGTCGCTGTCGGCGTCCGAGGACGAGCCCGGGGGCTTGGGCGGAGGCGTCGGAAAGGTCTGGTATTTCGGAATCGACGGGCGGCGCAGCGACGTGATGTTGGGGATGGGCGAGCCGGCGTGGAACGAGCCCGACGACCGGGACGGGCGGTAGCGAGACGTGATGCCCGGCCCGGGGCGAGCGTTGACTGGGCGCGTCATGGCTGTTTTCCGGGCGATTGATTCAGTCGCCTATCCAGTCGCCTCCTATTGCTCTTGCTCTTGCTCTTGCGGCTTCCGCTTCAAGCGTGCCGGCGTGTGAGAGGCGTCGAATGCCCCGGATATCAGCTGTTGTTCGTTTGCGATGAGCTTGCGGGTTCGTCAGACGGCGGGCGTGTGAGCCAGAACCTGCGCGACAATCTGCCGCCACAAGATCATGCTGGAGAAGCGATGGTTGATGAAGAGAAGAAGTGCAAAGATGGGCGGCGATTCTTCAGCACGATGCGAGTGGGATGGTGGCAGACCGAAGGCGCTGGAGAGGCCGGAGGAGGAGCAGGACAAAAAGGTTTGCAGGATCAGAAGTGGAAGACGTCAGGATTCGACAAGCTTTTTTTGCAGGAGAGGTTGCAGGTGGGGACCTGCAGCTTCAAGTATCTGTACCTGGTAATAGCTCCAGGAACACGGTGAGGTCAAGGTCATGGCCCGGCATTGTAGAAGTACCTAGTAAGCGACGGGGCTTTAGCGACATGAAGACTCGTTTACCGTCTCGAACATCTCATCCTTTTCGAATTCAATCATAGAATTGGAAGGATTCTAGAAGATTTTGATTCTCTCTTTGCAAGACACGCAAAGCTCAGAGTAAGCTGGGGAGACTCTCCATCGTTGGCTGCGATTCCTCTCGTTGGTGCCGGTCAGCGGCACGGACCGATTGGGGGGGCGGGTCTGACGCTATTCTTGCTTCAGAGCAGCTTCAAGGTGTGTAAGAGGAGTAAGTGGTCAAGATTAATAGACAAGGCGTGATTGGCTCCTATCCCTACTTTAGTAACTGAGTCAAGGTGTCGGAGAGAAGGATTCGTAAAGGGAACTGGAGGATTAAGTAAGCTCGTGATGCCGAGAGTGCTGCTGGATGCTGGTGTCGGTCGTGGAGGGGTAAAAGCGAGTTCAAGGGCCAAGAACGTGCTATTATGCATTGCAAGGTAAGGCATCTATGATGCTGCTGTGATGAAGAGAGTGACCAGAAATGATTATAGATTCACGATTGGGCGGTCTCTATACCTAAGTCGTCAGCAATAGGAGGTCATGGTAAGCCCGACTGAAAAGCTGGAGCTCTGTAGGAGTATTGTCAAGTAAGTACCTAGGTACCTTGCATGTAGTATCTGCGCACTCTGCATTGGCTTAGGTATACAACTGCCTGCGTGCTTGTTCTCCCCATTGCCTCTATACGGTCGAGGGATTCATCATTACCATCGATTAAACCAATTGTTATCGACAAATCTCCTCTACCCAATGTTGATATAGTATCTTGATCCGCCCTTTGTCATCCTTATCTCCCCTCAACCCATCACAAGCCGCCCCTATCCGCACTACGCCCTCCAACAACCGCCGCGCCCTCCAACCACAACACCACATGCACTATCCCCAGAATATGCTCCAAGTCAGCAGCGATTGCGCCCTTGAAAGGATGGCTTGGATGATCTTCAGAATCTCTGGAACTGGTAGCCCTGCCAATCATGAAGCAAGATGGACGGTTCCAGGCGGGGAGCTACATTCTTGGCTGCATGTGGTGTGACGCAGCTTGGCATTTGTCCCGTGAATGTGCCTACTTTGCAAGATGCGTAGACGATCTATCGATGGATGTATCTCATGTTGAGGATCCGAGACCGGTGTTCCAGAGGCTTGATAACCGAGGTCAGGACATTCAGGACTTTGACTCTCGACAGATATATATCCAGCATCATGCCCTCCTTGACCACCACACTCAAGTCCTCACACCACATGTAAACTTATACAGACGAAGACTGACACAAGCACACAAAAATATCACAATGGCCACTCTTGACATCAACCTCCCCTCGCCCTTTGCAGACATCCCCCGCAAACCACTCCTCTTCGGCCCCTCCCCCATCCAGCATCTCCCTCGCATCTCCGGGGCCCTCGGCGGCAAAGTCAACGTCTACGCCAAGCGCGACGACTGCAACTCGGGCCTCGCCTTTGGAGGCAACAAAGTCCGCAAGCTAGAGTATGTATCCTCCCTCCCTCCCTCCCTCCCTTCTTTTCTTATCTCAATACAGAGAGAGAGAAAGAGAGAGCGAGATAGAGAGAGAGAGATACCTCATACTGAGAGTTGCTGCTGAATCGTGATTTAGGTACCTCGCCGCAGATGCTCTCGCCCAAGGAAGCGATACCCTCGTCTCCATCGGCGGCATCCAGTCAAACCACACTCGCGCCGTCACCGCCGTCGCCGCAGCCCTCGGCCTCGCTGCCGCCACCGTCCAAGAGCACTGGGTCCCTTCTTCTTCCTCTACTAACCCCTCTTACTCAATGGACCCAAACTACGAAAAAGTAGGCAACATCCAGTTATCCCGCCTCATGGGCGGCGACGTCCGCGTCGAGCCCGCCGTCCCGTCATTCGGCATCGAACACAAACCCACTCTCGCAAAGCTCAAAGCAGAACTGGAAAGTAAAGGGAAGAAGCCCTATTACATACCCGCCGGGGCATCGGATCATCCGCTCGGGGGGTTGGGGTTCGCGAGATGGGCGTTTGAGGTGGAGGCGCAGGAGAAGGACATGGGCGTGTTTTTCGATACGATTGTTGTTTGTGCTGTTACGGGATCGACGTTTGCGGGAATGATTGCCGGGTTCAAACTTGCCCAGAAACTCGGGTCACCGAAAAGAAGAATCATTGGGATTGATGCTTCGGGGAAACCAAAGGAGACGCTCTCTCAGGTTCTGCGCATTGCGAAATTCACTGCGGAGAAGATTGGGCTTGAGGAAGGGGATGTTACGGAGGAAGACGTCGAGCTGGATGAGAGGTTCAATGCGGGGATATACGGCCTTCCGGACGAGACGACGGTGGAGGCTATCAAATTTGGAGCGAGGACGGAGGCGTTCATCACAGATCCCGTGTATGAGGGCAAGAGTCTGGCAGGGATGATGGGGTTGATAAAGGGGGGCGAGATTGAGGGGGAGAATGTGCTGTATGCGCATCTGGGAGGGCAGTTGGCGTTGAATGCTTATACGTCGATTTGAGGTGCTTCATTCTTGAGCTGGAAAAAACAGATCGTGTATATGTGGCAGTAACTATTTGTCATTATATCCATCTATGATACCTCATAGTCTCGTTGTGTACAAAGACTCATCGCACTGTCTTTGTTCAAATGCTGTGCAATCACCACGTCCCCGAAACTCGTAAATCTCTCGAGCTCTCACCAACAGCAAATGTATACTCTCCCTCCGGAATCACCCAGTTCTGCCTCTCCACGTCCCAGTAGCTCAAGTCTCTCCTCGTGAGCGAAAACTCCACCGTCTTCGTCTCCCCCTTTCCGATATACACCTTGTCGAATCCGCGCAGGACCCGGACCGGGAAGTCGACCGTCTCTGAGGCGGGATAGGAGAGGTACAGCTGGGGTACAGCCTTTCCGCCGAGCTTGCCCGTGTTGGTCACCTCCACGGATACGATTACGTGGGAATCCCAGAGCGAGGGGTTGCCGCCTTCGCCTCCGCCTGCGCCGGATAGCGGTTGCTCTTTGTCATAGCCGTCGGGATAAGAGTATTGACCTTCTTTGATGTCCTTGACAGACTCGATATACGGATACACGTATTTCTTGAGCCTGCGAATTCCTGATGGGAATAATGCCTCTTCGGCTTGGGGGATAGTGGTGTCAAAGCTCGGGGGCTCAACTTCCGCAGCAGGCCGCTCATCCGGCAGCGGCGATCTCGGCTTAGTCTCCGTGATCTTGAGGTTCTTGTAGTCAAAGTTGGTGTATGAGAGCCCGAACCCAAACTCGTAACGCGGCTCGATGTTGAACTTGTCGAAATGCCGGTAATCGATGTAGAGGCCCTCGCTAAAGTCTTGCTGAGGGACGGCCCCGTTGGGCAGATACATAACCTGGCCACCCGGCCCGTAGTCGCTAAGGGACTTTCCAACGGTATACGGCAACTTGCCACTGGGGTTTTCCTCCCCAAAGAGGATGCTCGCGAGCGCGTTTCCACTCTCCTGCCCAGGCAAATTGGCGGATATCAGCGCCTTGATGCCGGGCATATCGATCCATGGGTCCACGACCACAGGTCCGACGGAGTGTAAAACTACAATGGTCGTCCCTGAACCGTTGCCACAGTTGAGCCCGACGTGGGTCACCAGGCCAACGCCTCCCTTTTGCGGCTTGAGGTCGTTGCGATCACCGCGGACTCCCTCCCAAGCGCGATAACCCTCTCCCGAGTCCGAGTTGATAAAGACCATGCAGATGTCCTGACTCTTGATGACGCCTGTGTCCAGCTCGTCGTTCTTCAGATGCTCAGTGAGCTTGACCTTGTCCTTGTTAAACTTCTTTCGCAATGCTTCGATGGGCGATACCAGGTAAGGAAACTCAACAGCGCCGCTTCCCCAGCCAGATGCCAAGGTCCCCTGGTTGCACGATCGGTCCTCGCAGTAGTTGGGGCCTTTTCCGGGACCAGCGTCTTCTCCAAAGATGCCGATTCGCACTTGGCCCTCTCGCTTGGTTGAGTTTGAGCCGCCGCCGCCGCCCAGAAGGCCGTCGACGCTCAGGGGAAGGACTCCTTCGTTTTTGAGGAGAACGGTTCCCTCCGCAGCGATCTGACGAGCCAAGATGGAGTGGTTGGCTTGAACATTGACAAACTGGTTGACGACAACCTTTTCCTGAGGAGACGAGCTGGCTGGGGCCGTTACGCCCATTCTGTCATTGGTCCAGGATGAAAAGTTGGGGCCCTTCCTATCAAACAGCTTCTCGTCGTCTTGACCGAGCTGGTACCACGCAGCAACAATACGAACAACCATGTCGTTGAGCCTCTCCAGCGGCAACGAGCCATTCAAGACGGCGCGCGACAGATTGGGGCCCCAGAGGGAGTTGCCATCCTGCCAGCGCAAGCCATCACCCGGCATGCTCATGTCCAGGCCAGCCAGTGCACTGCCGACACCGGATCGCTGCGCCAGCCAGTCGGACATGACGAAGCCCTGGAAGCCCAGCTCGTCCTTGAGGATGCCATTGAGCAGCTTGGAGTTTCCACAGGCGTACGAGTTATTCACCATGTTGTAGGAGCACATGACGCTGGCCACTCCGGCCTTGACGGCATCGCCAAACGGCCAGGCGTAGATCTCGTGCATGGTGCGGTCGTCAATGTTGGACGAGAGCGCGTTTGGCAGCACCCATTCCCAGGCCTGACGGAAGTGCTCCTGCTCGTTGGCGACAAAGTGCTTGATGGTCGCCATGACGCCCTGGTCCTGGATGCCCTTGATCGTCTCATAGCCCGCCACGCCCTGGAGGTACGGATCCGCGCCAAAGCCCTCCCAGTTGCGCCCGCCAGCGGGCATCCTGCCGAGGGGCCCAACGCAAGGCCCCAGGAGGGCGTTGATGCCCTTGCCGCGGGCCTCGAGCGCGTGGACCCTGCCGTGCTCGTACATTAAGTGCCTGTTCCACGTCGCTCCCACCGTCACGCCCGCTGGCAGGGCCGTCGCGTTGTCGGCGAAGCGAATGCCCAGCGGCCCGTCCTGCAGCGCCAGCGCCGGGAAGCCCACGAGCAGCGCCGGGGCCGTGTTTCCCACCGCGAGCCCCATGCTCCATCCCGTGCCGGTGGTGATGTTGACCTTTTCAGGGAGCGTCATCCTGGCCACCATCTCGGCAGCCTTTTGGTAGCTGTCGGCCCATTGGCGAACGGAGCCGCCCTTTGGAGTTGGATACCACGGCGGAGACTTTCCGTCGAGGGGCGTGATCTTGAGCTTCTTGTATCCGAAGGCGCCGGCGGCAGCGAGCAGCATGACGATGATGGCGATGACTGCGAGGACGGCGATGCAGCACCTGCTCTTGCGCATCCGGCGAGGCAGCATCCATGACAGGCGACCGGGGAGGCCTCGCTTTTTGGAGCGGTCCAATGGTGAAGAGTCTCGGTCTCTTGATGATGAGGTGAAGGCATCGCCATGCTTGCCTGCCGGGTTCAACTCGTCCAGGTCGAGGTCGTCGTCGGAGGTGGCCTCATCCTCGTGCAGGAGACCCTCTTTGGCGGGATCGCGCACTGACGCCATTAAGCTTTTGATGGGTGAGTGATTGAGTGCGTGCAGCCAGCTGCGAGAAATGCCATCAATTGCGCGGAAATCAACTGTGTGGTGCAGATGAAGATGAGCAGGTCTGAAGGTGAAGGAGATTATTACAGTAAGATGGGCATCAGGAGCCTGATTGCTGTTGCGTCATTTGTGTCCACTGATCTGTCGGCTGCGACGAAACAATGTACTTTTGTACTCTTAACTGCACTCAAGATATGTACCTTACCTGTAACGGGTCGCGGTTTATCACCAGTAGCAAATGTTACATGATCTTATGTTGATTAAAAGAAATTCTTTTTAAACAAAGGAAAGGCTTTACGTCGTATAGCTAATATTACAGTAATAACAGTACAGGACAGTCTTGTGAAGCCACCAAAACACAGCGCATCATAAAGTCATCTCAATCCTTCATCGTACACTCATCCCTCGTATAGCCAACCTGAACTCAAGGGGTATTGCTTATATCATGACAAGGTCGGTAGGTATGTATCATCGATAGTATGTAGGTAGGTAGGTAAGGTAGTCAGCCCTTACAAGCCGTGGCCTAGATACACTCCATGTCAGCCAACCGTATCACACAAGCACTAACAAGTAAGTCGTCAGGAATACTCACGTCCAAGTCCCTTTCCACGCTTCGACACCTCCCGAGCCTGCTCCTGCTTCAGCTTGGCCCGCCTCGCCTCCTCCTTGGCCTCCTGCTCGAGCCTCCAAACGTGGTCCTTGGCGGCCCTCACCCTCATCCGCGCCTCGCCCAGCGCCCGATCGGCCTCGACCTCGGCCGCCTCCGCCTGCATCACATGCTCCCTCGCCTGCACGATGCTCGGGTCCAGCGCCCCGCTGCCGATGCCGCCAAAGCCGGCGCTGTCCCGGTGTCCGCCGCCAAACAGCCCGCGCCGGCGTCCGCTGCTGCTGCCCCCGGAGCTGTCGGTGCTGTGCCGGAACAGGCCGCCCGAGTCCCGCTTGTTGACGGCGCCCGGGTTGCCGCCCGAGGAGCTGGCCACGGAGCCGGCGCGCTGGGACGACAGGGGGGAGACGTCGCGGTCCCGGTTGCGGTGGAAGAGGCTGTGCTTGCGGGACGGGGGCTCGGCGGCGGGTTCGGGGTGGTAGACGGGTTCGGGGGAGGGCTCTCTGCGGCTGAAGAAGGGCATGGTGGTGGTTTGTGTTATTTGATAAGTGTCTTATAAGTGAAGATGTAGTTGTGGAATAAGTGGCGATATGTGGTGTGAGGCACGCGTGTAAGTGTGTGTGAGACAGATATAAGTTTCTGTGTGTTCGTTGTCCTTGTGCAATGATGTACTTGAATCTGAATCATCCGAAAAAGGTTCTGTATCCTTCACCTCTTTTTATCTCTATTCTGTTCCTTTGCATTTTCCTTGATGACGAAGTTGCCTTGGGTGCGCTCTGTCCCAGCGCCAAACCTGTTTGCTCAATTCCTTGAGCGATCATCCCACCATCGCCACGCTGTGACGTCAAATCCTGGTGTAGCCATCTCACACACGCAGCAAACAATCGTCCTGCCAACGAGACGAGCACCAATCACAGACCGCGCATGACGATGGACGTGCAGACGGTGATGAAAGGCTTAATTTATGCATTGTTGGGCTTGCGTGCGGCTGAGCGCAGAGGCCTTGGACTAGATGGCATCACGACCTGGTTTGCGACGGGCTAATGAGCAGACCGGGCAAGGGTTGAGGATCGCAGCTGGCAACTTGTATCGAGATGTTTGCTAAGAATAGACTAGAACAAGGACATACATTATTTCCTTGAGACCCTTCATGCGTGGGTGTGTGTGTGTGACACGCTGGGACCTGGCGCTCGGTGCATTGTCCTTCCACTCATTCACGTTGACGGCGTCATGTCTCGACAAGCTACCTACCAAGTCGTGCCTTATAGATGATACGTCACACACCCAGTTGAACAAACGAAACGTTAGCATTCGATCCTGGTCTAAGACACAAGCAAAGCCCCTCCCCTGTAGTGTATAGAGCTATTGTAACGGGAAGAACCAACGAAAAGACGACAGATTAAGAGAGAAAAGGCGACGTGAAGAGTCTAGTTCGCGTCAGGAATACGCTCTATGAGCGCGCTGTGTATCGAATAATTCCCCTTCCAAATTTTCTCAGCTCCTTCACTCCGTTCCGGGAAATTAAAACAAAAAAATAGAAACCCGCAAATCAGTCATTGCCGCAATCGAAAATATGTACGGAGAAAAGTCCATGGTAAATGGACCAGGTAATAGTGTAGTCGGCAAAGACAAACAAATAGGAAAAGGGAAGAAGGAATGTTGGAAGCAAGAGACGGTTGAAAGAAGAAAGGTTTCAAAAGGAAGGCGTCGTTGCTTGTAAAACGATGGCCTCCGTATCGGACGCAGCGTTCGGCAGCTGTCTGCAAGGGCACATCGTAGGGGTATCAAGAAGAGAACCCGGACCGAACCCGGGGGGGGAAACAAAAGTGACAACAAGGCGTTTACATGATTGTGCACTTGTTGTCTTCCCTCTCCTTCTTGACGCTTAGCGCTACGCGGGCCGCCTCGGTAAAGGCCTCGTTGACGCCGCGGTTCTTCATCGCCGAGCACTCCAGGTAGCGCGAGGCGCCTATCCGCTTGGCGACCTCAAGGCCCTCGTCGTAGGAAATCGTGGGCGGTTTCTCGCGCTGTGCGTTGCCGTCGGCCGCTGCCTGGTCCTCGGGCTCGTCGTCCTCTTGCTGGCGCAGGTCGCACTTGAGGGCGACGAGGACCAGCTTGACGCCGGGGCAGTTGTCGGCAATCTCTCCGACCCATTTGGATTCGACGTTTTCTAGCGAGTCTTTGCTATCGACCGAGTAACAGAGCACGATCAAATCGGTGTCATCTGTGCGTGGGCATGCAACGTCAGCAGCTGAAGAGGAATGTGGGGTGGTGTTTGAGCGCTAGAGGTTGGTGGTCGTACCGTAGGAGAGCGATCGCAGCCGATCGAATTCCTCCTGTCCCGCCGTATCCCAGAGGGAGAGCTCGATGTGGACGTTGTCGACAAAGATGTCTGCGCAATTGATTGGTCAGCTTCGTATCCCATTTGTGTCGCTATCCCTCCTTCATCCCTCTTCAATCGTAGGCGGAGCAGCAATGGATGGCAGCGTACCGTGGACGTAATTTTCAAAGACGGTAGGTTCGTAGACGGTGGGAAAGTAACTGTTGGGCAAGGTGTCAGAGCTCGATTGTCATGTCATGGCTGCGATTGATGGCAATCCGGGCGTAAACGAGAGGTGCCGACAAGGAAGCGAAGCCGAAATGCAAGGCTGGGCGCGGGTGAGGGGATGACGAACCCTCTTGTGAAGACGTTGAGCAGCGACGTCTTTCCGCTGGCACCATCGCCCCTATCGTCAGATAAAACACCGGTTAGCTGCTTCGAGGAAATGAATTGGATTGCAGAGCCTGCTGGGAGTCGCGGGTCGTCCAACGCACAGAAGAACCAGCTTGCGCTGCACCGTCTTGGAGCCGCCGCAGAGAGGCATTGTCAAGGGTTGATAGTCGGGTTTGGCTTTGGCTTCAAGGTTGCACTACCGAGTCGAGCGATCGCAGAGGATCCAAGTCGTGCAGGGTGATGGAATGACCTGGAGGTTTTATCGCGTGCGTGCGGTAGGCGGCAGGGAAACGGCGACGCGTCGCAAGAGGTCAGAGGGCTGAGGCTGAGCGTGAGGCTGGAGGAGTCGAATCGAGGCGGAGAGAGAGGCAGAGGTGAGGAGCAGGAAGAATGAACGAGGACGTAAGAGAAGAGAGAGACGAGAGACAAGAGACCAGAGAGGCAGAGACAGATGCAAAAGTCACCTCAGTGGGTGCAAATGAGAGCAGCGGGACCCGACAAGTGGGTAAAATGCACACGATTGACGCTGTTTATAGCAATCGGCTCTGCAGAAGCGTCGAATCAGCGGGCGCCTAGGCCTGGCTGGGGCTAGCGCGGGTGCTCGCTTTGGCGGCCTTGAATTTTAATTTCTCGACGCCGGTACTTTGACGCACAGTGCCAGCAGCAGAGCAAACGGGGGACTGGATCGCAGCCGAGGGAGATGCAGGCGCAGGTGATACACCTGGAAGTGAGTGTCTTGCAAGCATGAAACTGCTGTTGATACACACCTACGCAGTGGATTGACTCTACAGTACCTAACATTGAAGGTACCATGGGTTTTCCAAAGGTCTTCGTGATCCAACAGCAACTCGCAAATCAGCCTCGAATATCACTCATCACACAGCCACTCACTCACCTGCAATGCAACGCTCATCATCCACGGACCGCATAGTCAGGAACCAATCTGAATCTCACGCTCCTAGTCGACGTTAGCAGCTCAGCCTGGCGGCTATACATACAGTCCGTCCGCGTAATAACGAGGGGGCCAGCCACTCATCAGTCGCCCTCCAGCCCGCACTGCCACCATTAAGGTTCAAATGGACCGCTCGCTGGCATAAGCGCCGAGCCACCAGCGCATCGCCAGCGTCTGGCTTCTTCTTGTTGATGTTGTTGTTGTTCTCTGCGCTTGGGATCTAGTAGTAATAGATTGCAAGGCGGACGAAAACAGTACATGTAAGGTATGTAGGTATGTACTTGATAATACCGTGTGAGGAGGTCGGCTTTGGTACGGTCTGGCCTGCGTACCTTCCATGCTTTGATGAGGCCGGCCCTTAATCAAACTTCGCGGCAAGGTTTGGGCTTAGTCATGCAGCAGTACTGGCACGTGTGTGAAACTTCTCAGTGCCTCAACGCTTCACATATAAACTTTTGAACCGCTGTGTCAGGTGAGCTTGCATCTGGATTTTGTTGAAGAAACTCTGCCATCTTGGGTTGATCAGATCAGTCACCTGCATCATTCATCACTTGTCACTTGGGTTGGGCCGTCTTCAGTGCTGGCGAAGCCCAACAGACATCAAGCCGTCCCTTAGTCATCAAGTTCATGCGCTAAGGCTCGCTGGAGACGACGGAGATGGCACTGTTTGGATTCCTTGTCCTCGGCCTCATGCTCACACATTGTCTGTCTCGTGATGCAGAGGCTCCTTGTAGGGACCTCTCCTTTTTTAGTGACATTGCCATCTTCAGCTACTCCTCCCGTCTGGGGCATACTGTAATATAGCATCGCCATCTTTGCTCTGGATCTTCACGCTTTTAATCTTCTCAGACTAATGACGGAATGCCGCCGATCCACCAGCAAGCCAAAACTCCCCAGCGTGACACTGGCAAATCTCGAGGAACATTGATATATGTACGGATAAGATAGAAACCTTCCAGAAGCTCGCCAGAAAACACCTCCATTGTGTAAGATTGGCGGTTTACCGGATCAGCGGTTATACCCTCACAGAGCACGTACCAGGTGGCGACATACCAAGGGCAACGCTGCCCCTTGTTTCGAGCACGCACAGGCTTGGATAGCGACGGCCATATCTCGCTTATTGCTAGCGACATTCAACGTCTTGTCGCTAAACGCATCTCATGGCGATCCAAGGGCGGTAACTACTAGCTGTATTGTCTCACTTGCTGTGCCTGAGTTGTACGCGTATCAAATCTGAATACATAGGTAAGGTATGGTGATTCCATGGCCTCGTATGGCTGATGCAGGGTAACGACCATTCGTGAGCAGCCAACTCCTTCAGGTCCCCTTCCTATGGAACAGCGGAAATGGTATAAACAATGTCTACACATCCCCTTTGAGACCCCAATCCACCTCGAGCGTGTTCTCATGTTCAACAATGATTTGCAACAATGATGAAGCTGTTTCAGAAGGTCAACTGAAAATGGCACGTCAACAGCATCTTGCATCAACGTAGCTAGCGAGCTATCAAATGATGACCTGCATCAAATTATATCGTGTAGTTGCAGCGAACAACTGATGAGCTCAATCGGAAGCATACCGAGGCGGTATCATGGACCTAAGGTCAATATCAGCTACCTGAGGTTCATGACTTTTTCCCCCTTGAGTGCAGCATGATAGAGGGCTTGAAGAGCATGGTTCAAGGCAATTGAAGAAATATCGAAATTCTCAAGAGGAAGACTGGGTTATCATCTCTACAATGATGGATGACCTGCACAGTACTCCCCGAGGGTTTCTATGTGGCATCTGCCTGGGCCATCCCCCCCTCTCCTCTTTATACCTGAGAACAAATTGCTAGTCAAATGAAAACGATCTGCTACAGGGGGCAGTCCAAGATCGAGTTACACATCGTTGGGCTGGGCGGACTAGCTGCGTCATTGCACTGCTCAACTGGAAACCCTACGCAGAGCTTCTCGCACAGATCTGGCAACGGAGATGCAGAGCGTTCGATGGCCAAGATCTTCAGATTCCCACCAATGAGCAGTTTAACCGTCGCGGCACCGGTGGAAGCTGCCTGGCCAGACCTGGCAGAACGTCCCATTGCCGTGACATCGCGGGGGAGCCAAAGCTTGACTGCAACTCAACATTGAGTGCATGCATGCTCGAGCCGTCTCTCCTTATCCGCCCGGGGACTCAGCTACTGTACTTGGCGCTGCTTTCACAGGGTTTCCCCTCTTGACACGTGGTCCAGTGCAAACGCTGAGGGAAATGCCGTGTTGCTCGATTGTTGTATACGGCTCTGACATGCGATGTTTTGTTACCTGAATCAGAAGACGTTCCGACTCGATGCCAAGATATGGGATATTGCCATGGTTTGACGAGGAATTACGGCGATCGGTGGATAAAAAGTGCAGTAGATCTGCAGGATGCCAATTCTACTTGATGAGTAAGGTAGGAGTGACAGTGTTATGAAACATCGGGTTGTCCACCTGAAGCACGGACGATGTCTATATACATTTAATATAAGAGGAGACAACAAGCTGTGGGCGATTGGAGTTGAAAGGCTTGATCGAACGGACTCAAGCAAGCACAAGACTTAAATTACACTTTGAACCTACGGAACAAACGGTGTATCAGCCCCGAGTTTCTTGTCATCTACCCACAATGGCTCCCAAGTCCATCATTGGTCTCCTGTCTCTTCTGCCCATCACAGCTGTCCTTGCCTTGGACCCAAGCTGTGCGCCGGGTGGTAATTTTGACCTCAGCGTCTGGAGCCTACAGCTTCCCACAGGCAGCGCCGGCAAGGTCGACACCATCAAGAGCAAAGACCTCCAAGGCTGCGATGGATACACCGGCCCCACGTTCTTCACCGACAAGTCCAATGGCGAGCTCATCCTCACGGCTCCCGGCAACCCGGACATCACTGGCTGTGCCACCACCTCTGGCAGCGAGCACTGCCGCACTGAGCTGCGCGAAGTCAATCCTGCGACTGGCCAGAACACGGACTGGGCTCCTGCTGGAACGAACACGCTCACCGTCGCCATGAAGGTCATCCAGGCTGACGACGGTTCTCATGGCACGGCGATTGGCCAGGTTTTTGCTGCGGCGGCCAGCAAGCCTCTTGCTGAGATGTACTACAGCCAGAAGGGCGACATCACGGTTGGTGTTAAACAGGGCCCCAGCGGTAACCAGGCCATTACCAAGCTTGGAACTGTGCCTATGGGCACGTACTTTACCTACATTATGTCGTATTCCGACGAGATTCTGAGCATCTCCATCAACGGAAACAAGACTACGCTTGATACATTCAATTGGGGCACTCCCAATTGTTACTTCAAGAGTGGCAACTACAACCAGGGAAAGACTGCTATTACTTCGGAGGTGCATATCCAGTCTATTGCTGTTGTGCACGATCAGGAGTAGAGATACTTGGTTTCTGTGATTGGAGATTGGACTTGAATGAAGAGAAGTTGCTGGAAAGAATCGGAGGAAGCTTGCTGGATCATGACAACAGGCAAATATAAGGAAGGATAATGCAATGCCTTGAAGTGATAATGTTGCAGGAGTCATTCTAATTGACCATAAAGAGTCACACATGGCCATTGCTTTCCTGGGTTGTCAAGTCAACTGGCTGGCTCAGGCCAAGCCGTGAAAGCGAAATGTAAGCCGCTACACAGGTAGCAGTCATATAACTGCCCATGGGACTACTACAGGCTGTAAGTTAAACATTCTCTTCAGAATGATCATTTGCAAGACAATGCGATGACACTGCATCTCGGAGGAGCGCCGTCCAGTAACTCTGAGGTAGTATCGTGCGACGGCGGAGGATTGGCCGTTATCTCTCTGAGTCTTGAAGACCAGGGCATTGCATCTCAAACAGGGCTCGTGAACTTTGAATGTGCGCATGCTTTGGCAAATCTAGTCGCCCAGCCATGAAAGCCTTTTACTTGTTTCGCAGGCTTCGCGGTCGATCCAGCTCTAGATGCCTTCCTTCACGCCCCCTTCGGGATGTGCGTAATTGGTGGATTTGCCAGTCCCCAAAGCTATATTTCTGATGAATCCACCAACAAAGACTATCACTGAAAGGAAAGACTGGATAGGGAATGCAACACGACTGATGGGCTCCTCTGTTACCGTTGTTTCAACGGTAAATGTAGGCATGTATAGTAGAAACGCAAATTCACTGATCCCCATGCATCAGAACAGTCCTGGATGGAGACCTAGAGAAAGCAACCGCTAGAACTAGCAGAATCTGGGGAAATGAAGCTACCGTCCGCCCTTATGTAGTCAACGTTGCTCTGAAAGGGGATAAAGCATACAGTCCAGAACTAAATAAAGGTGTATTGACCTCTTGGGCATTGTGGACTTACAGCGTAGTGCTTTTACCAACCTGTATAGAAAGAAGGGGTGAGCCAGAGACGGGATTAGGATTGGCTTGTAATATGCAGTGAGGTGACGCTTGCATGTTTCCCTCCATATTGGGGGACATCTGCTCAAGAGAAAATATGGAGCTGTTGTTTATCCTCCTCTTTGCCTCAAAGCTCGTATCCTATTGACGCTTTCCAGGTCCGGAAGTTCGATACATGTAGCGTGCAATAGTGCCGACGCATTCCATTTCAGACAAAGGTCGCTGCAGGAAGAAGCGACGGCTAATATGTTAAGCCAAGAACAGGTGAGAAATGACACCCAATGATGGGTAGCAGGCGAAGTGTCCAGCAAATATATGGTTGTAAATAGAGTTATATAGACCATAATACTGCGAACCCGCAATATTGCCATTGCAATGACAACTAACCGCAGAGAGAATCTTACAAAATAGTGCAGGCGTCCTACCGGCTACTGTGCTGAGTCCGTGACCGGCCCGCATGTCAGAAGCCTTGCACCGTCGCAGTCCCCAGCCCAATACATGGAAACTTAAAGACTTCTGAATACTTCTCACTCTATCTCTGACTCTACTTTGGCGTTTTCCACCAATGATGCACAATGGGCAGGAAAGGGAGGTCTGAAGGAACAAGTGATTCGGTGTAGCCCGGGTCCAGGCTCTCCCTGGCAAACATCGCCGACCCCCTGCTAGACTGCATCTAGCTAAGGACGGATGTCCTGCAAGCTTTCAGCTTCTCCACAAGAGTCTTTGAGACGGGGCGCTGGAAATGACAGGACAGGTCTGTTGTTGGTTTCGGAGGGCCCGCTGGCTTTGATCGGGCGTCTCAAGGGTTTGCAAGATCTACAAAGAATCAGGCCTGTTCTGTCAGACATTGGATAGAGTCGAGACGAAAAAGGGCAGACAAAATCTTGGAAGGATGGTGAACTGCAAAAACGTACAGGAGTCCACGCACAAAGTCTCTCATGTTGTCACTCCTTCGAGACGACGTTGAAAGACTGCCTTGGCCAAGCTTTTGGCGAATCTAGTGTCCCGCGTTCTTCTCCGGATGGCAGGGCAACTGCCGTGAAGTGTTTTGAGTTAGGGCGTGCGCAGTGGATCAGGGTGAAGACGGAATTCCTACTACTTCCCCTTGATGACGCTCGACAATCGTGTCTCTTTAGTTGCCTTAGTAGTGCTGGTTAGGGGCTTTGCATCCATGTGTTGTCGTTGATAGGATTGTGTTTGTCTGCCTACCGATATTACGCCTCTACGGCTAACCCACAAGCTGATGATCTCATACGATGTGGCCGCATGCATGTACGGAATACAAATCAATTACACTGCTTGGCCCTTGAGCAAAATCTTTCCACGCAGGACAATACGAAGTACTCGAGGAGTTAGGCGTCGTGCAGTAGTAGGTTGCGCCCCGGGTTGACAAAAGAGGCAGCTGGATCGATGGACGTGTAAGCCTCTTATTAACGTTACAACTAGCATGAGCTCACAGGGGGGTGGCTAAACAGAAGACAACGAACCAGAGTAGCAGCACCACCGTTTGGTATTACTTGGTACATAGAAAACATGCTGGAACGAAAGCCGATGATTCTGGATTGTTTTTAGCGCAGGGGTTGAGGAAGGAGGCGTTTGCTAACATGCGGAACTACCAGGAGTTTGGTTGTATGGGGGACGGAAAAATCTGGTCGTGGGCCGGGGCATTCACTTGAATGGAGACTGCCTGCTTGCATGGGGAGACCTCGTATACAAGGTACGGATCATCGGAGTATGGCGGCTCTAGAACAACTTCCCACGAGGTGATCCATGTGCTTACTTGTACGAGTAGGTGATGCCTCCATAGACATCGATGTTTATATAAAGCGTCTGTGCCTCCCTTGTTCAAGCCAAGAGAAAGCTCACCATCACCTCGAGCTCCTCAGCCGCCAGCAGTAAACCCACAGTCACGATGCGCAGCTTCGACGCCCTGTTGCTTGCTGCCCTTGCGGCCTCGCCCGCTCTGGCTCGCCAGATTCCGTCGAACGTGCAGAGCCTGTACAACTTTATCCGGGCCCAGGGCCAATGCAAAAACATTCTCAAGGGCGGCTTCTTCAGCCAAGAGGGTGACTCCAAGAGTACGTGATTGATCGAAGTGTTCAAGTTACCGAAACTGATCGACTCAGACTTCTCCTACTGCGGTGACCACCTGAACGACTACCGCATCATGTACCTCCAGGGCACCAACGGCAACCTGGTTAACATGGACATTGACTGCGATGGCGCTCTGGGCACTGGTGACGGCAGCTGCGACAGCTCGCAGGACACGCAGAGCGAGACAAGCTTCAAGGACACCGTCGCCAGCTACAAGAAGGGCATCAAGGATCTCAATGCCTACGTGCACTCGTTTGTCGTCCTGGGCAACGAGGGCAGCAAGAGCGGCTACGTCAACTTTGATCCGCAGTCGGTGGGCGTTGAACCTCTGTCCATTGTCGCTGTTGTCTGCGGCAACCAGATGGTGAGTACTTTAAACTACCATATAATGTCATCAGAGATGAGTTACAACTGACATGCTTATACAGTTCTACGGCGTCTGGGGCGACACCAACGGCGACGACGGCCCTCCTCTGGTCGGCGAGGTCTCTGACTCTCTCGGCCGCGCCTGTTACGGAAACGCCGTCAACGGCAACGCCGCTCACGACGCCAACGACGTGCTGTATATTGCATTCACCGGCCAGGATGCCGTCCCTGGCGCCAACGGAGCCAACTGGGCTGCCTCGTCCTTCTCGGCCTTTGAGTCGTCTCTAGGCGCTCTTGGTGACAAGCTGGTTGCACGTATCGGCAGCTCTGGAGGCAGCAACCCTTTTCCGCCTCCCCCTACCAGCTGCTCATGGGAGGGCCACTGCGCTGGAGCCTCTTGCGGCAGCGACGACGACTGCTCTGATGATTTGACTTGCAACAGCGGCAAGTGTGGCAGTGGTGGGTCAACATCCCCTCCTCCTCCTCCTCCTACCAGCTGCTCGTGGGAAGGACATTGTGCGGGAGCTTCTTGCGGCAGCAATAATGATTGCTCTGATGACTTGGCTTGCATTTCGGGAGTGTGCGCCGTTGACCCTAACAATTAAATCTAGGCAACTAGGGCATCGGAGAGGTGGTATCTGGGAGAGAGTGGTTTGACGAGGTTCTGATGAGCTGACGCCTCCTGTTGCTTTGTTCTTGACATGGCAACGATGTCCGCTGTGATGATTGATGGATGGATGGAATTCAGCGAGTTATGGATTGATGTATATGTATCTGTATTTAGGCAACCCCCATGGCTGTCAAGTGTATATAGCTTTATCACAGCGTTGCGGAACAGCATGGTTTCAATAATATTAGAATGGATGAGCCCTAGTCGACTCTCCTGCGGACTTCGTATGCCTTTGCCTAATTATTGTGTGTGCAAAGACGCTGCTGTCAAGTAACGTGCTTTTGCCTTCTGGTATGCTTCACGTGGTATCGCCGGCATGGGAGACAGCACATCTTTGTGGCCGTAGAAGAAAATGTTGTTGACCGGCGATCCCGTAGTCATTGCAAGTCATCTCAACGACCGTCGAAACAAACGAGTTGTGAGGCATTAACGGCCTCATGAAACAAACAATGCCCCCAGTATCCGCGCTGCCGCCTCGGTCGAACCACCATCGGATCACCTTTCGAATCTGTAATGCAGCCCGGCCCTACAATTCCAACCAGCGGCCATGCTAAGAGGCACGAGAGGGAGCGTTCTTAGGCAGGCCTACTGCATTGTCTCGTTCATCAATCTTACACAATCACAGCAAGTCACAGGGTTCAGAAAAGTGAGGCAGTAATGTAAGCGTCGGCAGAGCAAATCATGCATTTCATATATACATTGCGAGTCATATATACATCCACATCTCAACGCATCGGATTCATCGTCGCCGTCACCAATATGTACAACCGACAGCGACGAATCGGTATCAACAGCCCGACACGCAAGCTTTAGATACAATGTGGTGTCATCTATTCAGTCCATGTTAGTCAAGTCCAACAAAACACAAAGCGATAGCTCGAAGGAAACGATGTGGCATACCGTAAAAAATGTCGTTTTATATACAAGAAGGAAGAACCCCCCTCACGATTTCGGACGAAGCTCTATGCGGAAGAGGGCTTCTTGGCGATGGGCATGTCGTTGGAGTAGTGCAGGTTGCGGTTGTCCTTGACGGGGACGGCCGCGGCGGCGCGCTTCTCCGCCTTGGAGTCGGCGAGAGCAATGGGCTTCGAGTTGGCGTACTTGAGGTGAGTCAGGTCCTTCCACTCCTCGCCGGCGTGCTGGACGGTGGGCGCGGCGAGGGCGAGGCCGGAGAGGACGACGGCGATGAAGGCGGCGGTCTTCATGGTGGTTGGAGAAGGAGGGGGGTTGTTTGAGGTGAGTTTGTTGGTTAGAGTTGAAGGATTGTCGAAGGCTTGACTGTTCGAGAACGAGTTGGGAGCAGTGCAAAATCCGGGGGAAGATCCAAAGTGAGTCTGGGGAGAGACGCATCGCCTCCTATATACCTTGGCCGACGTTGCAGCACTATCGAAAGGGGCAGAGCCATGCGTTTGCCGTTGCTTGGACCTCATTCGACGAAACGGGCTGCTCATACCCCAGGTTTGTCCTCCTGCTCCAAGCAGGTTCGCGTGGGATGCGTATAATATCCATTTTGACCGAAAGATGTGCCGACAGGCCGCCCAATCGGGCAGGTGATTAATGCTCCGGGTGGTCAGGCGCTAAAGCCTCACTCGCACCTCTTGGGGAAGCTTGTTGGTCCTAAGAGGTTGATGGTATGCTTGGTAAACGGGAGAGTTTGGTAGAGAGTAACGTGAGAGAGATGATACGAGGGTGGTTGCTCAGGTGAGCTGCGATGAGGCGTCACAACGAAGGGATGGCGATCTTAAGATTTTCGTGGTTGTCAGTGGTGTTCTTGTGAGTTACTGCTGCTGCTGCTGCTGCTACTGTCTAAGTGCGAACGATTCACGACTCATGGACCTGGGCTAGGCGCATAAACTTCATTGGGCTACTAGGGAGGGCATGCAACGTATCAAGGCAGCTAACGCATCTATCTCGTTAGAAAGGCTTGGCTTTCGTAGCAACTAGACGAGATAGTATCGGTTGCCTGCCCGTCTCGCATCATGCACTCCTTACGTGCCATGGGTTTGTCCTCCGAGATGCCTGAACTGTGCCGTTCCGTCCCTTAGTTGGTAGACCTCCCCCCCTGGATGATCGATCCTGCACCCCACCAAAACCGACAGCAACTACCAATATGGGCATCGCCAGCAATCACAAAGCAACAGTACCTCGAAGCCTGTATGCAGTACGTCCCCAGTTCCTGCATACATGTACATACCATATCAGAGGATGATTCAAACGGCGGAAGGGAGATGCCATGCCTGACATATCGCATGCGTGGATCTTGAGTGGTTCTTCCATTCATTCTCGGCGTTTCTAAACATTGGCGGCTTAATGTCACTGAGGCAGGTGGGATTGCACGATAGACTCAATGTGACTGTGTTTCTTGGTATACGGTACTAGTATTCCCAAATTTGACAAGCCAGTCCCTCGAATACTATCCCCTTGGCTTGGTAGCCATACCTCGCTTGGGGCCGGTCTTTGCCTTTGCCATGCTATGACCAGTTGACGTCTCACAAACCGAATGTCACCGGCATTCCTCATCGGACCACAGCTGCGAATAAGCTTAAAACAGAGAACACCATCTTGGCACCTCCAGCATGTCCTCGAACAGCCTCCTATGACACTCTCGCTGCTCATTTGCCTTCGTCCACAATTCTATACACCAACTTCTCTCCGCTAATCGGTCGCATATAGTCTTCACTTCGGCTCGTCGATCGCTCCAACAACATGCCGCTGCCCAGGAGGGCAAACCCATCCGGCACGATTCTTTCCAGCCCTCCTGGCATAAGACGTACGGGGTTCGGTTCAAGCTTCACTTTGCCGTCTGTAGCGGCTGTGCTCAGGAAGTTGAAGAACTTTGTGGCAAACACACGTGCCTCGGGGTTGGCGGGAATAGTAATTCCTTTCAATACGCGTCAGCGGCCTGATGCTTAAGATGTCGTGGCTCGTGTGTCTTGTCGACTTACCGTTGTACCCAATTTCATGCCCGAGGCCTTCCCACACGGAGCCGTAGATGGGCTTGATGCGCAAGCGTGTCGGGTCATATTGCCCGCCCTTGGGCCCTCGGAACACAGCCAGCTTCCCGTTCTCATTCAAGGTGTCGTGGACCTTGTACACAGTCTCTCCTTCGGATATGCAATCCACAGCCCGATCAATTCCCTTGCCCTCTGTGGCTTCCTTCACCTTTTCCACCCAATTGGGATCGTGATAATCAATCAGTACGTCATATCTGTACGGCTCCTGTCGGAGGAACTCGTGCTTGGACGGGCTCGCGGTGCCGATGAGGCGGATCTTGCAGCCGAAAGAGCGGGCTGCAAGTTGCACCGTCTGGGCGGCGTATAAGCCGAGAGAGCTCGATGCGCTATAGATGAGCACATTGATTACATCGCTTGTGCTGCTGTCTACCGAAGGGGCAGTTTGGTCATCAAAAGGGCAGGGAAAGCCAAGACGAGTAAAGACTCCTTGCGCAGCTGTCAGGCCACACATGCTGACTGTGGAAGCGGCCTCGAGCGTCATGCCGTCTGGGACCGCCCACAGAAGGTCATACGGAGCTGTGATGTACTCTGCAAAGGCTCCAGGGCGATCGTTTGTCGAACAGGCTTGGTAAAAACAGCAGTCAGCATGTTGCATCTACTACCAAATAACAATATTTGCATGAAGAATGACTTACCGCCCTGGTGAAATCCAGCAACACGCGCACCAACTTTGGCACGGAGATCAGACGAGGAACCGAGATCAGGCCCGACAGCAGTGACGACGCCGGCGAAGTCCGTTCCGATGACTCGCTGCTCCTGTTCGGCGAGGGGGTGCGCCACATAGTTGGCGTCTACGGGATTGAGGGCCACGGCGTGGACGCGGATGAGGACCTCGCCGTTGCTGGGCTCGGGAACGGGGAGTTCCCGGACGGAGACGTCTCTGGTAGCAGGCGTGAGGACGAGAGCCTTCATTTTGTTGATTCAAAAATTGTCAGTTGTGAGCTTTTGAGATGATGGAGACAAGACAATGACTTTGTCAGTCAGGTGTAATAGAGTGTATCCGACAAGCTGCTGCGGGGTGGACAGTGAGACGATGAGCCTGAGCCGTGTGTGGTTTGACTTGATGAATAGATGATGAAACGGAGAAATTTGCCTCAAAGGGAAATGCTCTGCTACCTTGCTTTGGCGGAACCGCGACACTGCTATATATCCAAGGCTCATCCAGAGCGCATATCCGGTATTGGTAATCCTCACAACGGTTTCAAACAACGATCGCGATACAGACACCACGCAAACAGAGTATTCGATGTTGTTTCGGAGATTGAGACTGCACAATCGTAGGAGATAGTGCAAAATGCCTCAGTTATGATCGCTATAGGAAGTTGCTTGATAATTCGACTTGATCTGGATTTCTAATGAAGAGGGCCGTTTCGACCAAATCTGAGCGTTATGACATAGCCCTGTCGTTTTAGGCTCTGAGACGGTGTCGCAGATGGCGTTGAATCGTCTCTCTGTAGCTGTTGGGTGAGTGTGGCCGAGGTTGCGGCATTCCAGGCCCGGATTCAGATTCGATGGAAACACTTACTCAACTTTTGACTCTTCTGGTTTGTTTCCATAATAAGATGTTTCTTGATTCGAGGTTCGAGACTGGTGAGTTTCTCTGGCTCGATACGTGAATCACCTACATATTAGATCCATGTCTAGAGATGATCGCGTAGAGAATGAGACTACTGATCGACGGGATATGACAGATGGTGAGTCCCTGCTTGGGACATGAAAAGTCACCTTCTGTATAGAGAGAGAAAAGAAAGATTAAAAGACTGGTATTTTCGGCTCAGAGTGTTGTATAACAATTTTCAAGCATGTTGTAGTAACTCATAACCGAACAATGTATCCCAGCCATCGTCTTGATCCTTCGTCTCCGGCCGCCTCCACACGACGCCGTAGCCGCTGTCCGGTCCGAGACTTGCAGCCATCAAGAAGATGTGCTCTTCCGGCACAGCAAAGAGAGATGAGACCTTCAAAAATCACATAGCTTATCATAAATGTACGCCACCATAAGCATGAACTCACTTAATCTGCGTTCACATACAACAGCTCCTCGTTTAATCGAATCCTGCCGTTCTTATGTAAGCACTACTTCTTCCAACGTCTCTCGTTCCCGTCTTTAATCCCGGTTTCCTCTCACTCACTCACCGAGTTGATGTTGCCAACTCCATCTCGCAATAACTTCTACTTTCGGATCACATCAGTTCTCTGTCGCCATCAGAGCTCTATCCCCCACCAGTCTTGAATCTCTCGCCGATTACAAACCATAGAGATTCTTAAGCAGTCTCGCAATGGTTCGTTCAGTCAGCCGGAGTAAAGGCTGTGCCCGCTGCCTGCAACGCAAAGTCAAGGTGGAACCATCTCACAATGTCATGCCGCAACTCAATGGCTAACAGGTTGATGCTATTTCAAGTGTGACGAGAAGCTGCCGCAATGCTCCCAGTGCCAACGGATGCGACGGCCCTGTCCGGGTCCACAGACGGGCTCAATCTTTGTCCATGCCGTAGCAACAGAACGCGGTCCAAAGGCGGAAAAGGCGAGGGTTCGGGATTCAACTGCCTATCAAGAGGTTCTGGTAGCTGCTGCGCCGCTGGCGAGACATGTTCAGTGTGCAAGCAGGGCTTCTGCAGCGCCCCCAAACGCATATCAGCCGTCTGTTGCTCCGGCCTTCGATCAGCTATTCCTTTCCAGCTTCATCAATTCGTTTGCCAAACCTAGCGCCGGATCCGAGCCTCATCAGTCATGGATGAATCACCTGCACGAGCTTCTGGTCACCGGCGATGTACCACTCAAGAGCTCAATACGAGCCGTGGCCACGGCTTTTCATAGCAGAACGGCGGGAAATCCTGCGGCTCAACATGCTGCTGAGCGTTGCTACGTTGCCGCCTTACGAGCCCAAAGAGCCAGGATAGCTCCTTTCCTGAGCCTTCCCTCTTCGCGCTATGTGCCTGATGATCAAGAAATATTCACCTCAATGATGTTGCTGTATTTTGAGCTCATCAATCCATCATCGACTGCTAGCTGGCTCAAGCATATGCAAGGGGTTATGAGCTTGCTGGTGTTACGAGGCCCGAAGAGCTGTCAAACTGGTGCTATGCATCTTCTCTTCCGTTCCCTGAGGTTCCTCGAGGTAAACTTGATCATCAATCACCCTAGAACAGTTTGCACATGATAAGCTAATATGGTGTTCTTAGGCCTATGTTTCCTTTCGAAACAAGAAAGCATCAGTCTTTGCGTCTGAAGAATGGCGTACCATCCCTTTTGCCACCTCTGGTAAAAGCGACATAGACAGGCTCATCGATATCCTTCTTCTAGCCCCGTATCTTTTCAGCGACAAAGCGTCCGATGGGACTGCATTTATCCCAGGCTCTAACATCTCCGTTGAATGTCTTTCGGCTCAGTTGAGCGTTTACAGGGAGCGGTATATACAAAGTATTCTTTCTGCGCAAGAAAGTAGACGGCATATGAGCCAAAGCTCCGATGAGAGTGAAGAAGATGATTGCAACGGGTGCAGCACTTGGATCGATGGCGGAGGAGACTTTTGCACATCAATGCCCGAGTCGTTGTTTTACTCTGCCAAGCTCATCATCGACTATGTTGCTTTCAGAGAAAACGCAAAGGCGTTTGAGGAGGTCCTCGTGGCTGAGCAGTTTCTCTATACGTCCCTGTTGTTCCGAATAGCCGAGTTGGCCAAAGAGGGAGGGGAGCTGCAGGTGAATGTTGGGACTTGCGTACAACTGGCATTCAGCCTTGAAGTCGTTGAGTCGTTTGGCCTTTCGTCTGCTTGTCGAGAGCAGGCTCGGTTCCATTTGAAGGAACTTGGGTGGGAAAATGTGCCTACTGTTGTTTGAGTCGTTTTCGTTTCCTTTTCTATTCGTTTGGCGGTGTTAAGCCAGGGCTAGCGGGATCAATATATGAACAATACATATATATGAGGAGACAGTAGTATTTATGCTCCAAGGGTCACCTTTGATGTACACACGATGCTTAACCTTGATATGCTTGAACACCAGGTGATATGACCGACAGGCCGCTTGCTCTCTTACCGCACTCTTCTTGTTTTCCTTTGTTGAAACCGTGCCGTCATGATTGATCGCGTAACTGGTCAGGGACGAATGTAATCCAACCAAGATGAGAAAAGTGATTTTACAACAGCTAGTTGATATACATATACGTCAACAAGTTCATAAATTGAGTTTGTAATCTGCAAAGGACATGAGTCTCAAACCTGCAACGACTCTCCTACAAAGTGCTTGCAAGTATACACGAGTATAGATTTGTAGAAGGCAACCTCTTGCTAGAACGGTTGGCCAATATATATGTCGACCAATAGTTTGGCGAGGTAGCCGAACATTGTGCCAGTTGTCAAGCTGCTATTCGGCCAAATTCGACCGACCAGTAAGAGATTGAATGGCGTCGAGTAGGCAATGCCGGCAAAATCCAGCGTTTGCCGTTTACGGTACGAGTGTGGGAGGCTGCATACTGGCGTCCGCGGAGATGCTGCGAACTATGCCTCAAAGAGGTCATGTTGCCTGTCTCATTATTCAGCTATTGGCTGAGTAATTATCGAGAGCATGTGAAGACACCCTCTGATGAGGAAAGAGTTGGCGATGATGGAGGTTTTGGTGTTGCACAAGGTGCCTAGCGAACGTCTATAAAGTCAGGATGCCTGGGTCTGGCCTCCTTGTTGGACTTGTCTCCAAGAACAATCAGCATCAGCATTCAGTTGATCATAGACACTGCATAGCCAGCAATTTCACAACAGTCTATTTGAGCATATTCATCACTTATACAACACACTTCAGACCCATCACGATGTCTTTTCGATCAAACAACTCCGTTGTCATCATCGGCTCTGGCCCAGGCATTGGTTCGCACACAGCCGCCATCTTCGCTTCCAACCGATTTAACAAGGTCGCCCTCGTGGCTAGAAAGCCTGCCCAGCTGGAGAAAGATGCAGCTTTCGTGACTGCTGCAGCCCCAGGGCAGGTCGAAGTCAAGGCCTATCCCACCGACATCACCGACAGCAAAAGACTTGCAAACACTCTTGAGCAAATCACCAAAGATCTCGGCACCCCCGAGTTTGTCTTGTTCAACGCGGCCATCATTGCCGTGACTCCTCTGTTGGAGGTTGATGACGAGAGCATCCTCACGGACTTTAAAATCTCCACCATTGCTCTCCACAACACCGCCAAGTGGGCGATTCCTCAATTGGCTGCCTTGGCCAAGGAGGATCCCTCCACTAAGCCGACTCTTATGGTGACCAACTCTCATCTTCCCGAGACGCCCTGGGAGGACCTCTTTTCTCTGTCTCTCACCAAGGCCTCTCAGAAGAATCTGACTCTGTCCCTTCGACAAAAGTTTGGCCCCTTGGGCATCCATATTTGCTTGTTGTCCGTTGCTGGAGGGGTTGCCGATGAGAACCCTAACCTGAACAACAAGAACGTTGCGAACAAGGCTTGGGAGCTGTATAGCCAGGATAAGGGCGCTTGGACTCAGGAGATTCGCATTAACCCATAAGCGAATTGAAGGATCATGATCAATGACTTATCGAACGCGATTCTGGACATTGCTCAAGATAGACGATAGATAAACTAACGCGATATATCGTTCAGGTGTAACAGTTGTCGTCTCTTATGTCTCGATGTTCAACAAACATAAATGAACTCCATGGAAAGTCGTGAGACACCCTGCGACTGCATACCCGCCACATGTTGTAGATTGTTCATTATTGCTGAACCGCACGAGATCTACGGATATGTTTCCAGCAGGACTTAAATCCACGTTTCGATGCTGCAAGGCTTGTTTCAAACGGCATGTAGTTCTTCCAACCAATGGTGAGAGCTCGATGGCTGTGATTATGCCTTCTAGGGACTGAGGCTGTGCCTGGCTCCAGACGAGCCGTCTGCTTACTGTGAGAAGAACGTTGCGCCCCTTTCCAACGATACATTTCACTTGATCTACGTATAGTACAGAGCAATAAAGGGTACTTTCTAACCGATCTGTTACCCGCACTTTTGAATTGTCAGTACGGAAACGGTTTGATCTGAGCATAGCGTACACAATATTACTGTAAGGAAATAGTTTGCGTCTTACTGCCGCGGAGATATTTTCTTCCAATATTTGTGAGCATTGAATGGTAGTGGAATAGGATTAGAAAGCATCAACGCTGATAAATCATGAACTGGCTAAACAACCAGCAAAAAAGTTATTGACGATATGGGAAAAGGGTGGGATGGCCGAGCGTGCGTTGGCTTTCGTTGACGGTGTCTTGAGTGGGCGATGCGAGATGAAGGCGGATCGACCGGGCCCCGGAATGAGATTTAGGCGTCAGGCACGGAAGATTCTCTGTGTGCCGTTTTCTTGTTAGCACATATGGCCTCAACCGAGGTGAGAGCTAACTGTTGGTATGAGCCTCAATAACTTCTTTGAGGGATCAATGACAATGGCAAGGCCGGGCAACATTACTCTTTGAGGGCAAAGCGTCCGGTGCGGGAAGACCGAACACCGTATCTCACAACCATTAGCCTCTGCAACCATCTCACTGCTAGATTCAACCCGTATCCTTGTATGGTGCTGAGGATTTGGAAGACAGACATAAAAATGTCAGTCGACGCTATAAAAAAGTTCGTGAAGAGAAGTTGCCTCCTTTATGTGGTGTCTTGTGACTCGTGGCTTCGTACAATCTACGTTCCAGCTCTTCTTCAAGGACATTCAAGTCTATGATGAACTACCTCCAACTCTAAGCCCTCTCACAACTTGAGCATCGTCAAGTCACCAACTGTAGCTAGCGTAGGCGGCAACAGCACCAATGTAAGTGGTCATATCCAACCTACATACTGAGCCTATAGCCAACGATATCTGTGGTAGATGTATGTCATGCAGTCATTGCCCTCTCATCTACGGTCACTGGCTGGCGGTATACTCGGCATGTTCACCCGACTGTGAGCAACCATTCTTTGGACTGTTGACCGGTATACACTTCTGTCAAGAATTCTCTCAAGACGCAGGTCAATATCTTTACGCCTTACGCGAGTGTCATCTACGTTTCGCTCGGGTTCGCTGCCTTGACTTGTTATTACGTTAATATTTCCATGCATTCGTACGCAGTGACACTCGCCACAAATGGAGTATGATAGTGAAAGGCATCGTTTGGTCTGTTGAGGACAACCAGACGCTTCACTCCAATCTCGTCGGCAGATGATGGTACGCAAATGTTAAGCACAACGCTGGAAGGTTACGGCAAAATTTGCCTGGCTTACTGGGCACATCTCTAATCGACGAAAGCACTAATAAAAGGGGGAGTGTTGGCATCTCTGGACACAATCCATTCCTTGGTTGAAAAGGGAAGATTTACCGGTCGAAATAGCGAAACTGAAGTGAGGTATCAACTCTCTGGTAAATAGCGAGCTTCAATAGATTTCGGCATTCGGCCTTCCCAAGCGGCGAAAGCCACCGTTCGTCTCAGAGCACAAGTGTACTTGACTTGGCAGTCAACCCATTTCGGGCGAGAGCGGCAAGGATAAGCGGCGAATGCGGCGGCAGATTGGTGACTGTTATGCGGGGGAGAATGAGGAATCTTGCCTATTTAGCTCAGCTCGATGCAGGACGGTCGCCCGATTATATAGACTATGTGGCTTGCCGTGAAGGATTCCGCCTGTTTGGACGGCGCTTATGCCGCATTCGATTGCTCTATAAGCATAGAAAAGACGTCATGTTGCGATGCCAACCAGCAGTGGGTGTGTAGCCTGTGAAGCTTGATATGACGAATTGTATGTGTAGTTTGGATATATGAAGACTTTATCAGGGGCAAGAAACTCTTCTTGATCCGAAGCAGTCTCAACTTTGACTAAGTTCTGTGAACAAGGAGAAAACGATCTCTGTACCGTGAATTATCACGGAAACACCACAATCATGGCCGCAGCAGTCTCTGGCTTGCAAGGATGGCATCCCGGTGAAATCGCCATGCAGACGAAGCTGGGGTATGCCGATGCCATGGCAACATCATGGCGGTACATCGAGAATGCCATGCGCGAACAGCATCGCATCTTCCACACATCAAACCTGCCGTTCATCCCCATTACAACTCTCGATGACGAAGGGCGACCGTGGGCTTCCATCGTTGCTGGTGCTGACGGAGAAATTGAATTTGTCGAGGGTCCCGACCTCAAGACTCTCATTGTGAATGCTAGACTCTGGCCTGGAGAACCGCTGCTGGATACTCTCAATCAGTGGGTTGATAGGAATGGCCAGAATCCGACGAGCCCTGAGAGATACTTGACTGCCGGAATTGGAATCGAGTTTCCGACTCGAAGGCGCAATAAGTTTGCTGGCTATATGGAAGATGTGAAGCGCAAGACGGAGTTGGACTTTCGGCTCAAGTTGAAAGTCAATCAGACAACCGGGTATGTATCAATACCCTCAATTGCTCAACCTTTCTCAACTATCCGTTCAACTGTGACTAACATATGATGGTAATTAGAAACTGCCCAAAGTACATCAATGTCCGTAAGCTGGTTGGGCATGCAAAGACCAAACCAACCATTGCCTACGAGAAGCGACACATGGCACAAGTTGAACGACTGCCACAAGAAGTCATTGATTTCATCACCGAAGCTGATACAGTCTTCATCGGGTCTGTGTACAGGTCCGATCCAGCAACGGCTGACAAGTTCCCTTCGCATACCGGCATGAACGCGCGTGGTGGATTGCCTGGATTCACTCGCGTGAGCCCGTCCGATGGTCGCACCGTCGTGCTGCCTGACTACTCCGGAAACAGATTCATGTCGAGCCTCGGGAACGTCGAGAAAAGCAAACAAGTGGCACTCACCATTGTGTCTTTCACTACCGGCGACGTGCTCTATCTTACCGGGACTGCGGAGCACCTCGTCGGCCCAGATGCACTTGCAGTCATGGTGAAGCACGCAAGCGTCACTGTGATGAAGACAACAGGCTTTATCTTTGTTCGCGATGCTCTTCCCGTCCGACAACAATTCAGCTCCGAAGTCGAACGCAGTCCCTACAGTCCCAAGGTCAAATACTTGGTAGAAGAGCCGGAGGGGCAGGCGAATGCTATTGGATCGCACAAGGCAAAGTTGACCAGTGCAACACAACTTTCACACGATCTCGCGGTGTTCAGATTCAGCGTCGATACCAAGCCGGGAGTAGATCCAATCAAGATCCGGCCCGGACAAGCTGTGGCTCTCGACTTCATGGACTGGATAGGACCACCAGCATACCAGCACATGGCCAACTCTGCGCCAGGATCGGTCAACGACGACCGAGTACGGACATGGACAGTTTCCAGTTCTCACGAAGATGAAGACGTGACGTGGTTCGATATGACGATGCGCAGGATGAAGGGAGGGGCTGTTACAGGAGCATTGTTTGATGTCTTGGAGAGGCACTCCTTGAACAAATACGAACGGCCAATCGCAATCACTGAAGATGTCGTTGCAGAGGTGGTTGGAGTCACGGGCGACTTCTTCCTTGGGCCGGACGATGTCAACATGCTCTGGGTGGCCGGCGGCATTGGCATCACGCCTTTCCTCTCCATGTTCAGTGCATTATCCGATCGCAGGGCCAAAGCCAACGGCGATGTTGTACTTGCGCTGTCCACCCGAGAGCCAGATCTGATGCTCCGCTTAATTCAGTCTTCTCTCCGCAATGCAGCCTCAAGCGTTCGCATTCGGATCGATCTATTTACTCATCAGGAGATGATCGACACGGAAGGGATAGACCAGAGGAGCATACAGATTGTGTTGCACAAGGGACGTATTGGGCAGGACTATTGGCCTCAGGTGGCCAGTGGCAGAGATGTCTTGATATGTGGCCCAGGGGCCTTTGGCGATGTGGCCATAGACGGCCTGAGAGCAGCAGGAGTGCCTGAACAGAACATGTTACGGGAGGGATTCTATTGATCTAGGTAACAAATTAGATAGCTGGAGTCGCAACTTACTGGCCCTCGTTATCTGATCCTATACGGGAGATGGCTCGGCGACTTTCCCTGTCAGTTGACATGGCACTGCTACAAGCCAAGCGCCAATAACGGAACCAGGGCAACGATAGAAAGAATGCACATGCAGGTAGCTTAAGGTGCTGTGCGATCGTTTCGCTCGCTATGTTGAAAAGGCAAGACCGTCGCGCTATTAATCGTGTAATGAATCCACAGGATGTACGTACGGTCTGTCTCCACGGCCACAAGCCCCCTCCCGACCTAACTTTCGGTGAACTTTCGGTAGACTTTACACAACCCGAAGCACCCGATCTGGGCTAAGTAAGGTAGGTAATATATTAAGGAGGGTTGGGTATATAACGCCAAATGTTAATTTGTAGATAGGGGAATCCTCGGTGATCTCCCTATAACAAACCTCATTGGATAGTATTCCCAGCCGCTGGATGGTCCTGATCCTGGCTTGGCACAGCGAAAATGGGTGTCTTCATATGTGTGATGCAAAAGTACGAGGATATTTACAGATACCTCACACTCTGCCGCAGAGCGGGCACCAATAGCCTGGCCGATGACCAATAAGTTTCCGAACTCGTCAGACAGAACATTGAGAAGCCGTTCTGCTGTTATCATTCATTGATGGTTGATGTCGGCTCGCTTTTGGCAAGCTTTTCCTGACACCGAAGTGGCTCTATCAATATCATTCGTTTGGTAAAGCAAGAAATCTGCCTCTTTTTGTGCTGCAGAGCTTGGCAACAACATTATTTCAGGTTCCCAGTCGTGAACTTCGGCGCCATGAACAGAGAGATCTATATCGAGCTTGGTTGGGAAGATGACCTTGAGTATCATTTGCCCAACGAGGTGGACAAATTCGGGCGCCCAGTTCCTCACCGAAAAGCAGTGACGGGTACTGACAGACGAGGAAATGCGAGCTTGATGTCAGTGGTCGGCATAATGCCAGTTGTCGTACACGGGTTCGCTGACAACGAGCCACACACGCTTGTGATATTCGAGTGGAATATCATCTCTGGTGTTCAAGACTTGCGCTTTAAGTCAGTGATGATCGAAGTATCATTCCTGGCCCATGGCCCTCGAGGTGAAGCCGAGAATGAAGCTCAAGAGCTACGCCACGCTGGCTTCAGTAGCCACTATTGGAATCCTGAAGTTGTGAAAGCCGTTCCATCCGGTACATCAACTTACAAACGCTCAACACGTCATATTGGCGGCAAGGAAACATATGAACTGGGTTTCAGTGTCGGCTTCCAGCCTTACTTCTCGCTGAGCCCCAAGTATTCTTTGGAGCGTGACACAAGCTCCGAGATCGTCGACGCTATCCGTGTCACAGGCCAGCCGTTTGTCATGAGCCCCGACCGCAACCGACCAGATTCTGTACGGTGGATCATGCTTGAGAACGAATCTAAGCGCTCAGGCGTGCCAGCGTATATGCGGACGGCTGTTCTGCTTAAGCGTCAGCCGAACGACAACGGTCTGTTTCTGGGCACCGTCAAAGTCGAGACACACATATCTTGGTGGGAAGACCTCAAGGAGAGAAAGCGGAGGCTCACTGGGCAAATAAGGCGGGATGAGCCAATAGTGTTTGATCCTCATGTGGTGCAGTCGTCGGCCTTTGACAGCAAGAGACAGCAACTTGATGAGGTGGACTTGGATGCCGAGTTTCAGATTGTGGACGAGGAGGTTACAACAGAGCCTGTGAAGCTACCTATGTATTGAACATGACAGATTTTCTTTTTTTTTTCTTCATTTTTTGGCATCTATGAAATGCGATGTTGCTGGCCCTGATCCTAGAATTGTAAGGCATGTTCTGGAGGGGACTTTGGGACCGAGTAACTCGGGCTGACCCGCGATAGATATCACTACCTTACTAAAGAAGAATTTGCGAGCAGTATCAAAATACCTATACTGAATTAATACATCGTAGGGAAAGACACCGCCACATTCTTTTGTGTATCAAGGTTAAAAAATGCAGAAATTTCCATGTCAGTCCTAATGTAAACATATCTTGAAGCTTCATGAATACCTGAGCCTCTATCGCCTATTTTCAGCATAAAGAGCTGACTTGCACCATTTAATAACTTCATCCACATCCTCAACGCTATCAATTCCAAGCAGATTCGCTACGTTGACCCACTTGTTTGGATGCTTTACCAGGCTCTGGAAGACGATGTGCATGCCGTCTGGGTCAGCTATGTCTTTGTCGCTCTCGCCTTTGCTCCTGAAACACCAGAGAATGAGGGCAGCGAAGCCGGCGGCGAGAGCAGTGGCGACCGAGCTGCCCTTGGTCTCTCCAAGATCAGGGATTCGCTCTCCGGGAAACAGATAATGGACTTGGGTGGGATCAACAAAAGTCGACTCGCCGCCTGTCTCCTTCGCTGAGCCAACAATCCTGATGTAAGGTGTCCTGCTGCTGTGCGGGAACAGGGTGTCATTCTTGACAAAGCCTGCTTTGTCGGCAGCCGCGCAATACAAGAGGATTTTCGCATCAGCGGCTTCTTTGATCTTTCGCTCCAATTTGCTTATCCCGTCCTTGTTGTCGTCTGATGCCACCAAACTCCAGCTCATGGAGATGATGTCGACTCTGTTCTCGATTGCCCATGCAATAGCCTGAGCCACAATTAGTCCTAGAAACCGAACTGGCGAAAGTAAGGTCCGTAGAGGGGGGAAAGGAACAAGTTGTTCAAACCTACATCTGCAGCCTTGTCGGCATTGTCAAGCTTCTTGGGATCGTGGAAGTCGGCCAATTTGGCAACAAAGAGCTCCACGCGCGGACACATCTTGTAGATCATCTTGGCCATTATGGTGCCATGGCCCCTTTCTGAATGATACCACAGTTTCTCATCGCTGTACGGTTTTGCAGGTGGCCATCCCGGATGATGCACGGAATGTTCAAACTGACGGATGTCGATGCCATCATCAATGAGTGCCACCTTGACTGGCTCCCATTTCTCAATCTCGGGTGTCTGTACCCATTTCCGGACAAATCTATAAACGGCTTTAAGCCAGCGATTCTCTTCCCTATCGCAGAAATCGGTTAGTTAATTGGCCGTTTGCCGGTCCAAAGTCCAGATGACTTTCCGACCAGACATGTTCATAAGCGAAGTGAGAATGCTAAGAACTTACAAGGCGGTAGAGACCTCAATTATCGTGCCATCGCTATTGGTCACCGTCCGCACAGTTCCTTGATGGCTCGATGTGGGCGATTCCATGAAGATTTTTGCTTCGAACTCGAGACTCACAATGCTTCCAGGGCTGTAGTCGTCCACTTTGGTGGTGGTCTTGCATAGCCTTGACCCCATAGTGGAAGCTACATCGTAATCAGCGCCATACAGCCATTTCCGAGATGTCGCAGTGGGTATTTCCCTGAAATTCAAGCCATCGAATAACTTGCCCTTATCCGCCGGTGGTCTATTGTTGCCATCAGAATTGCCATCTCCCCCGTTTTTTCCAAATTCATGCGACACAGCGTTGGCAGCAGTGACCGTAGCGACGCCGGTGTTACCCAAGAGGAGATTCAAACGTTGAGCTTCAAGATTCGCGCCCTCTCTTTCTAGTGAAGCCAAGTCTTTTCGATATGTTTCGATTTTCTTCCTTTTGTCTTCAAGCATCTCTGGGTAGGGGTCCGGGTCGTCTCCATTCTCGTTGGATATGGCAAGGTTTCGGACATAGTCTTCGAGGTCTTGAATTTCTAGCTCACACGTCTCCATGATCGATGCAAGGACCAACTTCCGTCGTATGAGCTGTATGTTCTCGATCAACTCTGTCTGGAAGCCATCCACTATTGTCTTATAGACACCGTATTCCTCCAAGCCCTAGCTTCTGATTAACAATCGCAAACCCTTATTGCTGACGTTCATCAGCTTCAGAGACGGTAAACTCACTGCTACGGTTTCCAGATTCACGCGCAGTAGCTAGCAAGGGGTTAGTTGAATTGTTAGCCAATTTGCTAGAGCACAGCCGCTGCTGGTTAAGTTGCAAGAAGCGGCCGGGTGTTGAGATTGAGTGGGAGAGGGAAGAAGTCCTACTTGTCGTAACCTGCAAAGGCCCGTATTGGATGCCCAGCTTTCCAGAACAGCTCTACGCCCGGAAGAATAGAGTGTCAACTCCGCAATTTTTGGGCATGAGGCACAAATGATGCTAACGCTCAAGTCCGGTTTGTTCCAGTCCAGATACCGGACGTCGAAACCTGCGAGGCATTGTTGAATGACTTGGTCGCTACATGGCCGTTTTGAGTTGTCCTTGATAGTGACTTTGAGGATTCGTTTCACGCCCTGCTGCTTCAGCATCTTGAAAATTTTGGTTAACGATAGCATATCGTTCTGCCACTGGGCAATGATGCGATCATCATCATCTCCATGTTCGTTGGCGGGCTCGATTTCTTGTCGTAAAACAGTGCTGCTTCCTCCTCCCTTCCGTACTGCCGGGTGGGTAGGCTTATCAGTTTGAGAAGACGCGGACCTGCCAATCTGCAGGTCCACGTGAGATATAACATGTGTGCCCTGAGGAATGAATTGTTTATACGTTTCGTGCGACTTCACCATGATTGGATAACCTGGTCTCAAAGGCCAACTCTTGCCATCCTGATCTTCACTCTCAGTCAGTAAAGGCCGCTTGTCAAACAATGTGTAGTGCCGAAGACAATACTTACCAGCTTTATCCCCAAAGAAACAGGCGCATGCATCTTTGAATCCACCAACAAAAAAAGCCGACTCGATGAGGTGACTCTCTATACTCATTGAGGCCTCGTTGTTGGGGCTTGCGCAGCAGGCTGTAGGCTCCCGGAATGCCGCTACAGAGTTCTTGTTCGCCTCTTCCGGTTGGAATTCTGCTTTGGTTCGGAGATAGTATAAGAAGGGTGACTCATCATTGTCATTCTTGATCTTCAATGCTTTGTCGCACCGCTCAATTAGCCTTATAACGAGCATTGTAGCGTCGGACACCGCCTGATTGTATTCCATGGTGAGAACGTGGCAGCGTTCGCATTGATTACCGTTCGTGGGATTGAGACAATGGGGTTTATTGATGACACCGCGTTCGTAACTCACAGCATCGTGAAGGGGCGTGTTGCCATGATCGGGCGATGCTTGGCCGATGTGCTTTTTGTTACGACAGCGCTTTTGGCAGAAGGCTGCCTCATTTGCGATAGATATGAGCTTTTCAGCAATATCAGGCCTGTGGTCAATTGCCAAGTGTAAGCAATTGTCCCCATCGTTGTTGGCGTGAGCAATTGCGCGTTGCAGATACTCCTTGCCCCCATCGTGATCGCACATCGTTTCAATTAGGGAGGAAACCCTGTCATCGTGTGAGGTAAGAGCATGGTGTAGCGCCGTTTCTCCAGCATTGTCGACTTCGCTGATCAACTTGTCATTGAACTTCATCGCCAATTGCACCATTTTTTGGGCCGCAAGCTTGAAGTCCTCGGCATCAGGCGCTTCGCGGTCTTGAGTCTCGACTTGCGTCACGATCCAGTGGAGCAGTGTTTGGCTTCTCTCCTTAGAGTCGATCACACATTTTTCCAGGCGATCTCCGTATACCTCAATGGAATCGATCGGTTGAGCTTTGGAGACTTTCGTCCGGATATCTGCCAGTAGGCCTTTACGAATGTTCTCTGTTGACTCTCCTGTTGCCCTTCCTCGTCGTCGTCCATTATCATTCTGTGGCTGCAGATGGTGCTGCCGCCATCGGGTCGCGTGCATGGCGTATGCAAGAGAAAACCATATGACTGACTGAATAGCTGTATGAATGGTAGGAGAATACTCTGTTGGACTTCATATGAAGGTGTGGATGGTGTTTTTGATGATTTAAAATGAATGTGAGCTGGCCGGAACTTTTGGCCGCCGAGGACGGTATTAGGAGGCTCATGCGATTCACCCATCCATGATCTAGTGCTATACACCTATTCCGACGTTAAGAAAGTGATCACGAGGGCCAAAAGAAACTTGACTGTCCGAAGGAGCACATCATTCAGCTGGCATCTTGCAAGCCACCCTCTCATTGATTGGCTCTAAGAGTGGCCTCATTGAAAGGAGTGTGTTAAGTAATTTACTCGGTGATATGTCGGTGCCACTCACTCTGTTATCGGCAGGTCTGGCTGGGGTTGCACCGCATAATAAGTAATGAGACTTCAGTTACATCCAATGAGAAACCTGCTGACATCGATGGGCGGCATACATGTAATGGGAGAGAAGGTTTTTCTTAGCCAGAGAGCTCGGAAAGCTCCTATTAAATAGCACACTAAAGAGCTTCAGATCCAGACATTGATTTAGTCATTGTCTATTTACCACATTGTCAAGAGGTCATTCATTGATCGAAGACTTCATCGCGACATGAGATCATCTATGAGACAATTTCAGCTTGAGCGGCTCAGGTTTGCTCGCCGCCAAGCCTCAGTGGCAGAGCCGCGCCCAGAGTATCATTCGACAGAACCGAAGAGTAACAATCTCGCACCAGAATCTGAAGGCAGCTCTGGGAACAGGGATGAGGTTCTCAAGAAAACGTCCCCAAACGACCCCAAGGTTGTAATTGAGCCTCAAGATACCGTATCAAGATCAAACAGTAGTCATCAGCGTGGCAACAACGAGCTGTATTCGTCGGAGGCTGAGTACAGATCCACCCATAGCATTGCCCTTCGAGTTCAGTAAGTGACCATTTGAGCACCAATTTCCGCAAGCGAGCTCAATACTAAAGGTCGCCTAGGGTTATCAGTATCAATGGGCTAGATGGCAAGCACGCGTGGCGTGGTCACAGCTTATCAGCAATGTCTCTCGATTCCTCCGAGTTTACGTTCGACTCTAGTCTGGTGCTTGATGAGGATTCGCCCGAAACGAAGATTCAAGAAGCCGCCTCAAAGCTCCTCGACTTTGTAACTAGGAAGATTGATGAGACGACACACGAGGTATAATGATCAGAACGGTTGAAATATCTACAAACATCTAGCTCACAGATACTATCAGGATATTGCCATCGTCTTCATCGCACGTGATATTGGTGGAACACTGCTAAAACAAGCAAGTTTCCCCCTGTCCCAATTCTACAGAGTACGCAGGGTGTCTAATGACTTCTTGTTCAGGCTCTTATAAGTGCTTTTGAGTCACCTGAGCCGCTGCACGAACGGATAATTAAGAACACTACTCATCTCGTCAGTTTGACACGTCGCAATACTACGTCCTATGTACCATGCTTACCAAGTTGCAGCTATTTTTTGGCACACCTCACCGGGCCTCAGAGCAACTACCATGGGACTATACCATCTCAAACTTGATCTATCAAAAAGCTCAAGGCACCTCTAGCAGATGGCTACCGAACGTAGTGCGCCGTCTTGCCATTTTTCACCAGCAACTAGCCGATCGGTTCGAGTCGGTAAGCCGCCAACAAGAGTTCAGATACGTCAATTATTACCAAGAAGAGTCAAAATCTGGATACCACAGCGTTGTAAGAAAGACCCTAATTTGTAGTTCAATTTGGCCAACGAGAGTATCCTAAACATAAATCCGCTACAGGTTATACCACAGTATGCTGCTACGTTCGGCTACGATGGCGAGAGGCAGATCGGTCGTGAGGAAAGCCATGGTACCCTCGCGAATCTGTCTCAACCCGACATTGAGAAGGACTTTCTCTCGATGCTACAAGATGCAAATGCTGGTATGACCTTAATAAGTTTGTTTGAAAGACCTGAATCACTGATTAATGGAAGCCACGAGGAGCGAATATCGAGAGTCATTGAGTCTACTATCAAGATGCGGCTTAGGGGCGTCACCGCCGAGAGTGTCCAGGTCAACGTATATGAGCCTTTGCGACGTAATACTATCCACCAGCAGCTTATTTGGCCAATGTGACCTTAAAGCTCAGAGCTCTTTGAACACAATTACGGCAATTCATCAAGGGCATGCTTGGGACTCGGAGCTGCGGCTTGATGAACAAGAATTTGCACGCAAACCAGAAGCAGTTGCAAGATCCATCCAGATAGTGGATCTTGAGGATTGTGTTGTTGACACCGCCGCCTTGTCAAGCTCTCTGATGACATCAATTTTACAAAAGCAACCAAGGAGCCGATACCGATTCATCACGCTCGTCAATTATCCGCCAAGACGAGTTCCGGCCACGAAACTGCAGCTCTTGGTGTCCCTTGCTCACCAGTACCTGACGCACTATCCCCGCGTCTTCCGACGAGTTCAACCGGTCTTCAAGAATGTTCAAGAATCTATGAAGACGAGTAACACATTGTGGAAGGAAATTTGCCTTGAACGATTGATTAAGACTCTCCTTCGATATCATGGAACTGACCTTCCCTTTATCATCATTGTCCGGCCAGATGATGAAAAAAGCGATGGGCCTGTTCATGAGGTAACATCAAACTTGCTTTCATGGGTCAGCCAGTCGGAAATCTACGCCAAAATATTGGTCGTTCGATATCACAGGCCCCAACCGGGTAACTTGGGCATAGGTACTGCATCTGATATCAGGACTGAGGGTTTTCGGCAACGGAACGCCTTGAGAAAGGACCACGAATCTGAAATGAAAGAAATGCTTGAAAGCAACCGCAGACTGTCAATCTTACGGCCTGATTTGACCAGAATGCTTGAAGGGATACGAATCATGACTCCCAGCCAATGGATCCCAATTTTCGAAAACCTTCTCTTTGCTTCCACTTCACTGGCAAATATTGTTTCTCATGCATCAAAGAACGATCAAGACATCACGGATCTCATGCTGGACACAGTTGCAGAATCTACCAATCCTTGGATTAAGTCTTGCCTGGGATGGATTACGCATGCGGTTCGGCCACTAAGTTATGCTGAATTTCAAGCGATATTGATCTACGAGACCGGAACTTCAAATCACGGTGACTTCTCCTCAGTCATTGTGGAGGAACTCCGAAAGTTACTGCCAGGGCTCGTTGAAACAGACGGCGACGTCATATACTTGGCAAGGTCCGAGATAGTAGCACTGCTTACTGCTAGGCTGCTGCGACAACGAGAACGAAGAGACTCCACCGCTGGTGTAAGTGGCACTCAGTTCGACGACTGGAATCATACGACATGCCATCCCGACCTCTATATCGCGAGGTACTGCATCAGAGTCCTTCGAGATAGCTTCAACAACGAAGCTTCGGAGTCTAAGGCATACGCCGATGTTCCCGATTCATTGGAGACAGTTGATGATAGCGAAACGGATATTTCGGCATCTGAGGAGGAAATGAAAGAAAAAGTGCCACCGCCTATGCTATCATATGCAGCTGAGCACTGGCTTACACATGTTCAACTCTGGATCGATGGTTCAGAAACGCCAAGCGAGCACTCACACGAGGAAGATGAACTGAAGTTCATCACAGAATTTCTTCATGATTCAAAGATTGTCAATTGGTGGCTACGATATCGGAGAGTACACAAAGGAAAAGATGCGGAATGCGGAGGCGAATATGACATGGTACAGGCTGCAGATATTCTCAGTCTTAATCCGCGTACTCGCCAGGGTGCTCTGAAGCTTGCGACGACTGTACAACTTGCCAGCGACAACAGGTCGACTAAGGAAACAGGAGACACTGAAGAGCCTCTTGCTTCTATCTTCATAACATCAGCTCAGCTAGGAGATTCCGGCATCTTGGCCAAAATGGATGGCGGCATGCTGGAAGAAATACTCCCCAAGATCTTCCAAACGGGCGCTGATACGGCACTTTGCTCTCTCGCAGAGGAAAAGAAAGAGTTCGTACGGCGGAATTGGTGGACTGCGATGAATCAAGCAATCAGAATGGGCAATTTGGGACTCTTCTACAAAGAAGGCGGCTGCGCCAATAGCAACTTTGAGCCATCCATATGGTACGAGATCGCGGAACACGGAACATACCTCCCGGAAGACGCGTTGAAATCGTTGAAGAGTGTATCGCTCGAGGTTAGAATGGAGATACTGCGTCTTGCAGCGACATCTGGACACTCAGCCCTCGTGCAGAAGTTGATCGAGGCGGGTCTGCAGCCGAACCAGGGGAGTTCACCGATTGACATCCCGCTATTCATGGCAGCCCAACATGGTCACTACCAGATTGTTGGTCAATTGCTCGCCGCCATTGAGGGAGTAGATGCTTCTGTCGGCCGGATGGAAGCATCACACTTGACGCCTTTGCATACCGCCAGCGCCAGTGGGTATCGTGACATTGTCGGGCTCCTCCTTGCACATTCCGGCGCAGCAATTGACCTTTCGTCCCAGGATCGTGGGGGAAACACTGCTCTTCATCTTGCTCTGGCAAATGGACATGAAGAAGTCGCTGTTAGCCTATTAATGGCACGCCAAGAGCCACCTACTTACACCACTGTTACGGATGCGGGTTCTGTTACTTCAGTGTCTGCTTTGGACTCTCAAAATCTGCAGTTGCACACGCCCCTCATGAGCGCCGTTCAAAGTGGTTACCTCTCCGTCGTTAAGATCCTCCTTGATCGTAAGGTAAATGTCAACCTTGCAGATGAGAAGGGTAAAACAGCTTTACACTACGCAGCTGCCCTCGAAATGCACGAGATTCTTTCATTGCTGCTTGGAGTGTCGGGCGTCGATTTGGAAGCACGCGATAGCAACAATACTACGCCTCTACACGAAGCTTCATCACAAGGACGACCTGAAAACGTCAAGATGTTACTCAAGTATAAAGCAGACCACACTGCAGTGGACGATAAGGACCGCTCTCCCCTTGAATTAGCAAGCGAGGCAGGACATACTGTGACGGCAAAGATCCTCCTGCCCTTGTATGGCCGTCGCCGTATTACAGCAAGCTTTCTCAGAGCTGTGTCAACAGGGAATGTCAAGATGGCTGAGCTGCTGATGGATGCCGGGGCAGACATAAACGCCGTGATGCCTCAGACCCAATTGACAGCGCTTCATCAGGGGGCTGCAAGATCCGATGCACGACTGGTGCAGTCACTGCTCCTGCGAAAGGCCGAGTTGAATCCCACGGATCAGCATGGGCGCACTCCGCTGTATGAGGCTGCTAGTCGTGGTGCAGTGGACTGCCTCAAGCTCTTGGTCGACGCCGGTGCCGACATCAACGTGCCTGACTCGTCGGGGGTCACGGCCATGTTTGCAGCGGCCACAGAGAACTACGAGCGATGTGTCGACATCCTGTTGGCCGCACCAATTCAGAGATCGACACAGGAAAAGAACGTGTACAGATTGGATGCGATATTGAGAACCTCGGCGTCTGTGTTGCGCAAAGTCCTGACACGTATCTCGGGTGATCACGGCGAGTGGGACGTCTCGAACTTCGCGCTGCAGCAGCTCTTGGAAAGTGGCACCAATGTCATGGAAGTCCTAAGTACTCTTCTTGACTATGGACTAAAGCATGAGGAGATCATTGGCAATTACGGCACAATGTTGCATTATGCCGTTTACCAGGATCAACCTGACATTGTATCATTGCTGGCGAAGGACGGCCGTGCTCGTCCGGGTGTTTTATATGCCGAGCATGGGACGCCGCTGCAGATTGCCGCCCATTATGCTAAGCCAAATGCCCTAGCCATCGTCAAGATCCTATTACACGAGGGCGCTGAAGCCACACTGGGAAGCGACGAGATCGGCTCTCCTCTACACGCTGCAACAGCCATGGCGGAGAGATCGTGGTACGACAACAGCGCTGACGCTCGGTATCTTGAAATAGCCCAGGCGATCATTGACCACGAACCCTCCACAGTCAACAAGGTAGCCGGCGCCTACCCTACGGTCCTTCAGTCTGCTGTTCGCCTTGGTACTGTCGAAATGGTGCAGCTGATACTAGAAAACCATCCAGATATGAGCATTGTGGAGGGGAAGTGGGGAACGCCGCTTCACCTTGCCGTCCACTTTGGATTCTGGCGAGAACTGGAATTGATCCTGAGTTGTAACGATTGCGACCTGAACCAAGGGACACGCGACAAGGAGGGCAGACTGCCATTACATATGTTGCCGCGAAATAGCTACTGGGGGATGTCGGACTATGACATGCTGAAGGGCGATGAGGAGGAGAACAGAATTCGCGAAGTTGACAATCAGCAGCGTCATATGGTCCATTTCTGCGCCGGACTCGAGAATGACAGATTGCTGGAACTTGTTCTAATACATCAGCCGGAGGCACTCGAAAAGGTTGATATCGACGGTTGGACACCACTTCATTGGGCATGTCGCCACAGATCGTATGATACAATCAGACTTCTTCTGGACCGGCAAGCAAACAAGAATGCTGTAACATATCGCGGATGGCGACCAATCGATGTTGCAAAGTATCACGGCCTCGGCGATTCTGAAGAGCTTAATCAACTATTGAGACCCGATAGTGGCGCAAGCAACACGGAGGCTCCGATACGGTGCTTGGAAGGGATATCATACGATGATGAAGAGGCTGTGCCAGTTACAGCCGCACCCCGTCATTATGGGTATACTTGCGATTCATGTGGTTGTGTCAGTATTTTCCCACTCCCTGACCCGTCTTTTGGAGAACTTTATCGTTGACAACTTCTCTGCTAGCAGATGATTTATGGGCCACGCTATCGTTGCGATAAGTGTAACAATTTTGATATGTGCTTCAAATGTTTTCGTCATGTCAGAAGCTGCCATTACAAGCACCATACCTTCCAGAAGTTCCAAATTGAAACTGAAACAGGGGCGCCTATTGACCCATGGAAGTGTGATAATCTCGAATAAGGGGAACCACCATCATCACAGCCTTAGAAATATGTAGCTTGAATGAAATAGTCTGAATAGGTACCTTGGGTTTCACAACGTCATAAGAAAATGTTTTCAACCGCAGAGACAGCTCATATCTCGGGTGATGTCGCATAATGATTTTGCAGACTCTCCGAGCATCCAAGTGGCTTGACTATTTTTCATTCGGGAGTATCTGAAAGACCTTTCTGGTCAAGAGGATCGTGGTCCGTGAATCTGTGTATAACTGTGGTTTAAGAGAATGTGAGGCATGTAATTGAGAGGTTCTCTGCCTTTGTTAAACATAACAGAAGTATCTGGCATCGTCCTTTTAGCATAAGATCTCACATCGGCGTCGTTGCTTTCGTTCCGAGTCTCCGCCAACGAGAACAAGGGTCAATATCGACATGGACAAGGGATATCATATCCTGCATTGGCAAGGACTCTGTGTCATAGGGAGTCGGGTTTTGAAGCACAGAAAATTTTGCACGAGGTATGGGTTGAAGAGCGATTCTTCAGTAGATTACACGAGAAACAGGTTCGTCTCCTCACGTCTTCGAACGGGTTCCAGGAGACTGAGCGTACGAAGCTCCATCACAGATGCATTAAGAAGATACATACCTCTACGCCTATGCTAGCATATCCTAGTGGAAAATCAACTTTGGAAGTTTCTGGTGTTTATATAACAGCTTCGGGTTATGCACACACCGAATCGACACGGCAGCTACTCAGCTTGCGTCTTCGCACGCATGCTACTACAAAGCCTATCTTCAGTGAGTCAACGGGAAGGAGTTTACAAGAAGAGAACCAGAAAAGCCAGCCTTTTCAACGATTTAGCCGATTACCGAATTTTTGAATACGGGCGAATTCGGTATATCTAGTCAAGTAACTAATGCGGCTCGCTAACATTCCCAGAAACAGCCACCAGGTTGCCAAGGGGACGCTGTCTGTCCTCCAAATAGTGCTTATCCAATGCTATCTTGGTGACGACGCACTCGGCTGAAACTCAATACCACCTAAGGTGTAGAATGCATGTATTACAAATGCAATTGGAGAAGTCAGACGGACGAGCTGAGAAGCTGGCGGTATGGCTTGAAGGTGGCTTGAGAGACAGCAGCTTGACTTGGGGGTCGAGGCAGCAAAAGTGCAAAAGGTGCGAGCGTCTAGGCTCTCCCCGCATTATAAGCGTAAATCATATCGTCAGCTCTGGTATAAGGGAATAGTTAGAATCTGTATATAGAACAAGGATAAGACTGCTGTTACATCATCTCACCATCAGTAATGGCTGGACGCATGACCGACGAGCCGTGTATAAATAGGAGCCCGTTCGCATGTACTTTCAGCTAAGGCCTGCTGGCTTTTCATACTTCCGTCTTTGACCACAGTTGATTTCTCACTCTTCACATCACGAACATTCTAATAGTCAAGATGCCTTCCGGTAGCTGCTGGTGTGGCAACGTCAAGTACGAGTTTGAAGGGGACTCTAGCAATGTGGTAGGTTTTGGTCCCGGTTGACAAGCAATCGGATAATGCATACTGAACAGTATACAGGTACAATGCCATTGTTTATCATGCCAAAAGATAACCGGCGCACTCTATACGGCGAATATTCCTGTTCCACGAGACAAGCTGAAAATTACTTCTGGATCCCCAGTGTCTCACACTCAGAAACACGAAGATGGATTCAACTTGACTGTAAACTTCTGCAGCAGCTGTGGCTCGGTCCTCTACAAGCAGGCTGATGCGGACATGTTCGCACCAATCTCTTTGGTTCAGTCGGGAACGCTGGACGGCCCTGCCAAGGACAAGGTTAGCCGACCATCGACGGAGTTGAATGTGAAGCTGAGGGCTTCTTGGTTGCCGGAGGTTAGCGGTGCTGCTCAAAAGCAAGGATTTGACTGAGTCTTGGATATGCTTGGAGAAGAATGAGTTCAACGAATGAGATGGGCTATGACGCGGATTTTTGTGGTATACAGAAGGGCTGTAGCATTGAGATTGTATAGCAAATTGGTACTTCTTCCAATATGAAGGACGTCAAAATGGCCCATATGATTGACTGGAGAGAATGAACTGCATAAGCTGATGTGCTTCGGAAAGCTAGCCCTTCTAGGTTGCGTCCCATGCCAATTGTCAACCGGCAATAAGAGGGCCCAATAAGAGAGCTGATGGAGTCAGACCAGCACTTTCACGACACTACCACGCACAACATACGGTCACGGGGAGACAAGGGGAGTGTCATATACAGCTTTGGAAATGGGAACCTTCAAAAGTATATGGCAACAGAGCAATCAACAACAACTCGATTGATGTCGCTCGTACCTTGAAGGGGGAACACGGTGTTTAAACATACATCGACCAAATATCTCTTCAAATCCCTATCGTATCCCAAGACTCGGCTCCCCCCATGGTAGTGGGGTAAAGCAAAGAGAGCCAGAATCCAGGATTGGCTACGGTACTCTTCATATTAGAGCTATTCATGGTAGATTGTTTTGGGAGAAGGGTGCTCTACCAACGGTTATGTACGTCGCCTTTGCCGGGGTCGTTTCCCCAAGACCTTTTAACCTTTTCTTCAACTTTCTGGTAAATAACCCCTCACCTTGAACACTCAAGTACTGCCACATGTCTACCAACTTTAGGCCTTCTGGGCCGATCTGGTCGCTAGGTGAATATCTGAAAGCTCGAGACTCGCTTGTAAGCGCTGAAAAGGCCCTCGGATATGAAAGTCTGGTTGAAAGGACACCCCTGGAATCGACAGCCGAAGAGATTATTTACCGTCTTAAGGAGTGGGAAGACAGAAATGTATACGGCATCAAGAGCGACGGCTCTGGACACGAAGCTGGACATCGCTTCTTACACGGCCTAGACCTCGTTTCTGATAGCAAACTGTTCGAAGTCGCTACAAAAGCTCCAAAAGGGTGTCTTTTGCATTGTCATTACGACTGCCTGCTACCTCCAGACACTGTGCTTGCCGATGCTCGCAAGCAACCGAATCTCTACATCAGATCTGACGTGCCGTTGATCTCAGCAGGGCTCTTTGCTCATGCTTTGCCACAGTTTGGCGTGTTCGGTCAAGCTACACCTCCGGCCGAGTCAAACATGTTCCACGAGACCTATGTCAGTGGATCATGGATGCGGTATTCAAGCTTCCTGCGAAGATTTCCTGGCGGTGCAGCGAAGGCAGAAACTTGGCTCCGGAAGCGGATGGTCTTGCAGCCGGATGACGCGTATCATCCGAAACAGACTGTGAATGGGTAAGCAGGGAAAAAGAATGAATCTTGACATTTGTTAGAGTCTTATGGATGCTGATGTGTATTGATAGCATTTGGCAACACTTTATTCGGGCAGTTACAGTCATCCGGTCAATGCTTGGCTACGAAACAGCATATAGAGAGCATTTCCGAAGAGCGTTGTGGAAGTTTGCGCAAGATGGTATCATGTATGCCGAGATTCGAGTGGCGCTCAATTACGGATTTGCCATCAAATCCGATGACGGTACTCGGGAGCTCAAGCAAAGGGAGGCTCTTCAGATCCTCCAGCAGGTGTTGCGAGAAGAAACACCAAAGATTCGCGCCACAGGACACTTGTTCTACGGCGCCAAGGTCATCTATGCTTGCATGAGATCTTCTTCAAGAGATGCCATGTTATGGTGCATGGACAATTGCATTGAGATGAAGCAATTGTTTCCAAATTTGATCTGCGGTAAGCTCTCTGTCTAGCATGTTTCTGCTGCGTTGGAGGCCTAACTGTGTGGTGCAGGATTTGATCTGCAGGGACAAGAAGACACTGGATATCCGCTCTCTTTCTGGATCCCCGACCTGCTCGATATGCGAGCTAAGATCACGGCGCTAAATATTGATCTGCCCTTCATTCTGCATGCAGGCGAGACGCTTGATCACGGCGGCGAAACCGACTCCAACTTGTACGACGCAATTCTCTTAGACACCAAGCGTATCGGCCACGGCTTCAGCATCACTAAGCACCCACTGCTGATGCAAATCTGCAAAGAGAGACAGATTGCTATCGAGACATGCCCTATATCGAACGAGGTCCTAGGACTAGTCCCGACGACAAAGTCCCATCACTTGCCGGTACTCTTGGCCAACTGTGTCCCTTGTACTGTCAACAGTGACGACCCTGGATCCTGGCAGTGAGTTATCCTTTTGCATTGCGGGTAGCATTTATACTAACAATAGCAGAGCAAGTATGCTGTCGCACGACTTCTATCAGGCAATGATGGGGAGCGAAAACATGTCGCTGATGGGCTGGCGAACACTGGCCGAATGGAGTATTGCCTATAGCTGCAACGATGAACCGATGAAGAACCAAATGTTGAGCGATTACAGCGAGAAGTGGAGGAAATTTTGTGAATGGATCGTTCTCACTTATGACCAGGATTCAAGTGAGGAATAAAAGGGAAACTTGGAGATAGTAATCACTGCAGGCGAGGGATCTCAACATCACTGTAGCACTCAGCCTCAACGGAGTGTGCTCATGGATTCTAGAGATTTCAACCCGTTAGCCTTGTCTTTGTTGGGAGCCGTAACTCAACATTTGGTAGCAAGATACCCAAATAACGCGTTGCCTTCCTGAACCAAAAACGAGTTCATCTTGCCTAGTATACAGGCATTTATTCAATCTGCTCTACACTTCCCAATCCTCTAAGGCACCATCAATCCCCACTAAAGCTCTGTATACCAATTCTACCAGACCATCTCTACCTGGATAATCAATGCCAACGAACTACACGGCGTGTCTAGACTTCGCTAAGCGATACCATGTTCCATCAAACTATCAACAGTATCGAGGATAGTATCACGAGCCGTTCTCGGTACCCAGCCAAGCACTGTCTTCGCCTTGTCATTGTTGATCGGCCGAATGATATCAAGAAGCGGCACCATATCTCGAGCTGCAGGGCTAAATATAGCCGCCAGCTTGACAACCCATGTCGGCAATTCAGCAGTTGGAACCCTTTTCGCTTTGTCAGGTCGCCCTTGAGAGATGATACGAGCAACATCAATGAGTGCCAAAGGCTTTCCATCGCAGCTGGCAATGAATCGTTCATTCTTTGCCGCAGGGTCGAGCATACACCGGATATGAAGGTCCGCCAAGTCACGCACGTCCACTATGTTGAAGTACGTCTTTGGACATCTTGCTATGCTTCCGTCCATGAGTTTCTTGATGAGGTCGACCGAGGCTGACATTTCATTGCTGATAAGGGGGCCAAATATGCCGACTGGGTTGATGACGCAGAGTTCCAGGTTGCCCCCTTCAGCTTCGATGAACTTCCAGGCAGCCTTTTCTGCTAGAGCCTTGCTTTTGTGATATGGCGGCAGGCCCTCCAGGACAGACCAGTCGGCCTCAGTGAAAGGTTCTTGTCGATCCTTGTAGCCATATCCGATAGCAGCAAACGACGATGTGAAAATCACTCGCTTAACGTGAGCGTCTCGAGCCGCTCTGAGGACACGCAGAGTCCCCTCTCTTGCCGGTCCAATCAGCTCATTTTCGTCTTTGACTGCGTGTCCTGGAAACGGCGACGCAACATGATGAACAAATGAACAGCCTTGAATGGCTTCTGCCCAGCCTTTATCCTCGGTGAGGTCGGCTGCATGAAATGATAGGCGGTCGAGGTTGATCGCGCCGGCTTTTTGTAGGGCTGACCTGACGTGTTGCTCTTTGGAAAGGCTTCGGAGGGTGGCTCGGACGGTGTGCCCATCTTTCAGTAGCTTCAAGATCAAGTGAGACGCCACAAAGCCAGAGCCGCCAGTGACCAGAATTATGGACATGGTAAGTGGAGATGCCGACAAATGTTTGTCAAAGAAAATATGTTGAGATGCAGTAGACGTATTTACCAATCTGAACAGAGAGTTGATTCTCATACCTTGGAAATGTTCTCTTAATATATATACGTTCTGATTCAGTCATCCCATTAATCACTTGTGTCTCCCTTCGGATTTCACTGCTTGCAAGATTGTCTGAGTCCCGTCTTCATGTCGAGAAGGATTACTTTGCAGATTACTGCAAACAGCTAGCCTTCTTGTCATCAAACACTTTCCGAGAACCAGGCAAGATGACTATGCCGAGACCCTGATCGGCTTCACTTTTATGTTTAAGTTGCACGACTCATGTTCAAAGATCGATCGGAAGTCAGATAAGCCAATCTGGCTAGCTTTCCGAGTGATCTAGCGGTCCACTGCATTGACATGGAGGCTCATAGCTCGAAATGGCTAGCTTTCCGACGGAGCCACTGTGAGAGGAAACTGAGACATTGCTCTTCCTTTGTTACATATATATATGAAGCACAGGGCGCTGGGAAGGATGACTTCGGTAGTTACACTCGGTGAATCAATCTCAATCAGTTGCCAGAGAGGCTTCTAGAGTGAAGTGCTGGCGACGACATTTTCTTCTCTTTGCAGAGGTATCTTCTCTCGCATTAAATTCTCATTCTATTTCCTGAACTTCCGGATGAGATACGTTCCAAGTTATCCATACATCATGATTATTATCTTCAAACTACAGGGATGCCACCCGATCAACCATCACCGACTGAGAAAACGAACTTCTTAAAAAGAGCAGACGTCGATGTTGGCGGGCGAGCCAGCCTTGCCCCAGTCCCAGCTCGGGTTCAAGACGGACGTAGGACGCAGGTTGTTGTACGCCCAGAACTGGTAGTCGGAGTTGCGGTAGTCATCACCGGAAGTAGGAGGGCAAGTGTTCTTGAAGGCGGCAGTGTACCAGTCCTGGTGGACGGAGTGGTGGAATTTGCCAAAGTAAAACTTGCCGTGGTCGAGGTTCTTCTGCGAGAAAGCCTCCCAGTCGTCGTCACTGTGGCAAGCCAAGGTCAGCGACTCTCTTTTCTTCTCCTGAGCGGGCAATTGATCACTTACCCCTGGAAAGTGTCGTTGACATCGGACCAGCTAATTGATGGGTGGTTTCCATCTACCGCGCAGTTAGCATGAGAACAGTCGCAGGCATCCGAAGGTGGGCGTAGACAAGACATACCTTGCTCCATGTTGACAGAGTCGCGAACGTAGGTGTTGCCGCCATCTGGGCTGGTGAACTTGATAACAATGCCCTCCCAGTCGCTCTTGTGACCCGTGTCCTTCTTGAAGTAGACGTAGTAGATGATGCGCCACGACGAATCTCCGCTACAGTAGCCCGCCTTCCAGTACGTGGGAATGGTGCCAAAGGGCTCGCCCGCGACGTTGCCGTAGAAGGTGTTGGCTCCCTGCCAGGTGGGCTGCTGAGGGCAGCCGTGTGCCAGCGCGTTGATGTTGCAGTTGTCGGCATCTACGCCGTTTGTCTGGTTGCCCTCGCCATCCTCGGCAGCGGAGGGCATGCAGGTGCCTGAAGCCATGTACCACATAGGGGCTGCGGCCTGAGCTGCTGCCAGACCACCATTCTGTGAGAAGTCGCTGGCGGCAATGGGGGTGTTTGCCAGAGCGGACTTGGCGGCGAGAAGCAGCAGGGGAACGACCTTGGAGAAGCCCATGGTGACGATGGCGAATTGTGCAAAGGAGGCGGGTTGTTTGGTCGGTGGGGGAAGATGAGGATGAGAGGCCAAGATGTCGAGGAATCGGCGACGCTGGTCAGTCTTTTATATACTGCTTCTCCTTTCCATGCCCTGAGAGACCATCTTTGCTAGGTCTCACGTCCGACGGGTGATCACCGCCATTCATCTCAACAATAGGCTGGAATAGGAAGGAGACTTGTTCGGCCGTGTCGATCCGTGTTCACGAACCTCATTCTGCCACCTTCTGCTTTGGCCCTGCCCGTGAGTCGTGGCTTGGACAGACGTCTGTCTTTGCCATTGCATATACTCCTCATACTATCACCGGATAATTTCCACGTTCACGCTTTCGAACCCATGTCCGATAGAGGGATCTTGAAGTCTTGCCGGAGAGCGGAATGCATCTCGAGTGGGTAACAGCTGAGAGAGGGGCATGCATGGTTGCCAGGGTATCTCGGGTCGTGGCTCGCAAAGAACCACACGGACGCTGCTCTTGGCTGATGCAAATCGAGGTTCAGATCCATCTGGTGGAATGAGACAAGATGCTGCATGACTAGTGAAAGCTGGAAGAAACATTTCACCGACATCTCTCGTGCTCGTGTAAGTCCCCATTGACGTTCGCTTCGCGCGCTAGGGCTTACTGTCGAGATGTGGCCTTGTGGGCCATTCCAGATGGTATGCGATGGTCGCTGGCACGTGTAAAGGACCATTGTCTCAACGGCAATCTGCCTCGGGTGTTTTGGTGGAGGTAAACATGCCGGATTTGCCGTGGAAGATTAGATGAAAAGACAAACGGATAAAGAGACCATTCTTACCATAGCAATTCACATCTGGTATGGAGTTGACTTGTTGCTAAGCAACGGGGGGGGCGGGAAGCGTCGTGGGAGAGGTTGATGGCCCTATAGGCCTTTGGTAGAATTAGGGAAGAGCTACATATACTCGAAAGCAGTTGAGAATCGATCATGAGCTGTTAGCGTGGCAGCTAAAGAGAGCCAAGATTGAACCCTGGCCGAAGCTGAATGAAGAGGGAATAGACTGGATGATGCTCTGTATACAGTTCGTACGTCAGTCGACAACTCATCTGCCTAGCTCACGATTCGTGCACCCGGTACTCGCAACGGATGCAAGGGTGACACGCTCGTCGTATGTTTCAGCGGCAACTCTCACTGTCTCAGCGGATGGCAGGGGATTAAGAGAGACATCTGAGGAACCCTGATCCAGGCAATTTTCCTTTCATTGGGCCTGTGTTTTCTGAGGAGAATGCGAAGCCTCGCGTGAACAGCGTGAGCTAACGGTAGCGTAGCATACCTAACTTTGTAGAGACGCTGGTAACAAGCTAAGGTGGTATTCAATCCTGTTGAGCTTCAGGTTCCTGCATTAGCAGACCTAGGATGAATGATCAGCGGGCTTGACTGAACAAGGCAGAGAAGGGGAAATATTTCTATTTGTCCATGATTGGTGGGATAACGGCAGGAAGGAAGCCATCAGAGCCGTCCAATTCCCGAGCTATCACCTACAAGGGTCAGAGTCGTGGAGCAACTCGCGAGCGGGCATGGATATTGAAGACGAGGTATGTATGCGCCTATGTGTTGAAGATCTGGTAATAGTCGTAGCAGTCAACTCACGCAGCCTAGCGCTAAGAACATGTGTTTGTCGAGAGCTTCTGTTTGCCAATGATTCGACTCTGCCCTTTTTCCTCCCTTGTAAGTGCTCGAGTCGATCTGACTTCTACATAAGCATTCCACCTGACTAAGCATGAAGCTGAGAGCGAATGATGACATAATCGGCGAAAATGCTCCGTTATCACCCAAATTCTCAAGATAGCCTCAACTAATTATCCACCATCAGGAGGCAACTCACCCCTTTGCCAAAGAGTGGCTCCCCGTGGAGCGTCGTCAGCCATATCCTGCCTCCGGATATGAGCTCTCTCGAGGAAGCATCTCCGCTAGGCGCACAATGGTTCCCCGTTGGGCTCGCCTCGACCTTCCCCGATCTCGGCTACGATGAGGAAAACCTGGCAAAGTACAGAGCATGTGGTGGAGCAGAGCTGAAGCCGGGATGCAAAGTCTTTCAAGTGCCGAGAGATGATAGCTCGCAGCGAGCGGAGATTGAGATTCGAGAAGACGGGACTTTGCAGCGTTCGGAGATGAAGGGGCTCAAGGATCAGGTTCTTGTGTTCCAATACAAAGGAAAATTTCACGCCGTTGATCATGTGAGTCCGAGCTGTAATGTGATCGTAAAAGAGATATGTGTGGAACCCATAATGACTGGTATATATTCAAGAAATGTCCTCATTCATTGTATCCCCTCTCTCAGGGCGTTCCTTTCGACATTGAGGATTTTGGCATTGTTTTCAGTGCCGGGTTGACTTGTCCGAAGCACGGCTGGTCATTTGATCTGTTCAACGGCGCGGCTGATCGTGGGAGTTATGAACTTGGCGTCTGGGAAACGCAGTTACGAGAAGTCAAGATCTCTGAAGAGTCGCAAGAGGCCAGTGAGGAGATCAGCAAAGGCCCAAATTCCGTTGACAAGGAGGTATGGGTAAGAAGAAGACAGCGAGTGGGATAGATCAGTGCTGTCGTGCAAGATGTCCTGATAGACTTCTCCTTCACGAAAATCACATCAGAATTAGCATAGAGAAGATAGATTTCTGACTATGGGTGCATCATAGTAAACTAAACTCCTGTTCACAAGCCTTATGATCGAACACCCATGCACTGAGCGGACATAAATTGTCTGGCTTGAAAGCTGGAATTGGTCCATGTCTTGACATGCCGGACACATTGCATGTATACATCTTCATTCCATCTAGAAGAACAAAGACAAGCCTCCATCAACTATAATGTTGGTTCCATTGATGTAGCTGGACAATCCGCTGGCGAGGAACATGACAGTGTTAGCCACCTCTTTCGGTTCACCCGTTCGCCCCAGCGGCACAGAATCCAGTAGCGACTTGTAAAAGGGATAGTTGTCCCTCTTGACAATCTGATACTGACTCCACTGAACCGTACCATCAGGCCACGTGATGTTGGGAGTCTCGATGGACCCAGGCGCAATGGAGTTGATTCGAATGCCCAGAGGGCCCAGCTTGCGAGCATAGTCTTTGGCTAGGACCGCCTGAGCTCTCTTAAAGGCAGAGTAAGGAGAGCCGGGGACGTGGTGTCTCGCTTCAAAGCCCGCCATAGAGCTGATGACCACAATAGAGGCATTCTCGGAAGCTTTGGTCCTTTCTTCAAGGTAGGGAATTGATGCCTCGATGAAGGTGACCAAGCCCATGATGTCTGCCCGGAAGCTCTTCTCCCAGGCTTCGGGGGTTGCCTCAGCAATCAAGGGGGATGCTATGCAAACAAACTCTGTTAGATGCAGCACACTCAACTGGTCGTCTTATACGACTTACCATTGGCAATGACTGCGTCAATTCGACCAAATTCTTTGGCCGCTTGGTCGACCCAAGCCTTGATCTCGTCAGGGTTCCCAATATCGACAGCCGAACCGACGGCACGAGCGCCGTTTGCAGCGCCCTTGAAGAGCGAGAATTCATCTCCACGAATCGAGCGAGCACAGAAAGAGACGTTTGCTCCTTCGGCTAGGAAAAGTTCCACGATAGATCTGCCAATGCCCTTTGAGCCGCCTTTTCAGGATTATGTCAGTATTGGTACGCATAACAAATCCATAGGGGGTTTCATACCTGTAACCAAGACATGTTTGTTGGTAAAGTTGCTGGAGAAGGGAGACATTTTAGCTTATTTTAGCAAAGCAAAGCAGGACTATTATCAAGAGGATGTTCGCTGAGATACTGCTCGATGGACAATGAGCTGCATATTCTCAGTGATGATTGGACTCTGTTTATATATGCGTGCGATTGACCGAGCCCACATGTCTTCTCCGACGTTCTTTTCAGTCCCAGTCAGTATCCACTTGAATTGTCCGTTATTCAAATCTTTTTGATATCCCCGACCTTTCCATCTCTATCTACATGGGCTGTTTTGTCTGTTTACCCTCTGAGGTAGCGGAACGTGTGGGGTTGGTGTTTGCGCATTAATTTGACTACCTCCGAGAGGACTTCACCGTACCAACCTAAGACGAGCATTCGATGTAACTTCAAACCATCAAACCATGCAATTGCCACGTCAAAGAGTCAAACTCCGCTCGTTTACGACTGAAGAAGCTTAGAATGTCCGCCTTTGAGCCTCCTTAACCGAAGCGTATCGTACGGGCATTACTCGTGACTGCTCATTCATAGCTATAAAGACGCCTTTTATTGGCACATGCCGAACATGGCTTGCATGGGTATCGCCCATTCTGAATCAGCTAAACCCAGATGGGTGACCGCGCGGAATGTGCTTTGGGCGCAGCAGACGCTCCCCCTTTGCTGACGCAATGCCTTTATTTCAACAATCCTTCTTTTTTTCATGAGACGGACAATAACCGCTGTTGACATGCCGTTTGATTCCAGATCTTTGTGCTCATCATCGCCAATATGAGCCGCTCATCCGAAACCTGCTGGACCTGTCGGATCCGCAAGAAGAGATGCGATCGAAAGCAGCCGGCCTGCAGTGCCTGTCATTCGCTCGACATCACCTGCTATGCCGGCAACAGCCGTCCAAGATGGGCCGATGATGCGCTTGAGCGAGAGAAAGTTGCGGATCAGATCAAGGCCCAGGTCAAAGAAAAGTCAGAACGTCGGCGCGAGAAGAGCTACGTGAAAGTGATGCCGTTGGGGAGAGCACGCAAACCAGAAGATACCGGCAAAACCACAGCACATCGCGGTACTCATCGGCATTCGCAAAGAGAAGAGTCGAGTCCAAATGCCAAAGCGCAAGAGCAAGCAGATGCTGTTCCAACCTGCGAGGGGTGTGCAAACAATGGTGCACCATCCTCAATAGAACGAAACCGACCTCAGACATCGTCCTCTAACCCCGGTCTGCTCGGCATCTTCGAAGATATTGACTTCGACCTCGAAATCACCTTTCTGGATTACGCTTTCCCCTTTCTCTTCCCGTTTTATCGGCCCTCATTGTTTGAAGGAGGACGTGGCTGGCTGTTGACAACCCTGAGGAAGAGCATGCCGCTGTTCCATACGGCCATGGGCTTCAGCACCTACTTCTTCACGCTCGCTATGACGGATCTTGCAAATGAAGGACATGACACCTGCAGAACCATTGTCGAGGGAAAGCTCACGTCTCATGTGGACACCGCAATCAAAGCCATGAGACAGGGGATCGAAGAACTTGGAAGTGCTCAAAAACCCCCGTCAATCTTTGACAGGGCGCACCTCATGGAGGGCGTTGTCCAGCTGTTGGTATTCGAGACGAACATTGCGGGAAGTAGAGAATGGGGTATTCACCTCAATGCTGCCGTCTCACTCTTTAAAGAGATATTCGAAATGCCCAATGACCAGGATAGCAGCAGGCCTGATCTTCAATCAGTGCTAGCCATGATGCAGAGATCTGGATGGTCCACTGTGACTATGAAGCACAGATTATGGAATCCTGACCAGGGTGCCTTTCTCTTTCACGTCGCTTTCCTTGCATTTGCGGACATCATTTCAGCAACTATCAGGGGCACCTCTCCAATACTACAAGACTATCACTTACTCTTGATCAATGGCAACCCGGATGCAGAGAACGCACGTCAACGCTTGGACTTGGAAGACTTTGTCGGCTGCCAAAGTCGGATCCTCCTTATGATTGCTGATATTGCTGCCTTGGTGGAGGGGAAAAAGCAGGGCCGAGTATCTCGCAATATCTTGTCCATTGAAGGCAACAGGATTGCGGAGATACTACAGGGCAGTATAGCCAATCTTCGGGCTAACATGGGAAAGCCGGTATCTTCAACGAATTGCTTCTTTCAAACCTATCACAATCCCGAAGCTCCTGCACAATCTGAAAATGTCACATCGTATAGCTTGATATGGGCACACGCAGCAGTCCTGTATCTATTCGTCACCACATCCGGATGGCAGGACAAGCACGCCATTGTTCAGGAGAATGTGACCTCGGCTCTCCAGCTTTTGGACGGGTGTTCTTCGCCGGCAGTCTTACGTAGCCTTACATGGCCATTCTGCGTCATCGGCTGCCTAGCCTCCCCGGATCAAGAGGCAACATTGCGGCGATTTGTTTCCAGAATGGGTCCCTTATCATCATTCGGCACACTCTACGAAGCATTGAGGATTATGGAGCGGGTATGGAGTACTCGCGAGGAACGAGATGTGGAAAACTGGGACTTCTCATACTGCTTCCGTATACTAGGATCAATGCCTTTACTGATCTGATAGCCCCTTTAATTGCAGATACAGCCATTCCCATCTATGACACAAGCCATCATAATCATCAGTCAGACGCTAGTGCCCCTTCCAAGCTCCAACAATCTCGCTCAGCTTGGTAGTCTTGATCTGAGGAAACTTGGCATTTAGGCTCTTCTCCTCGGGCACGTCCAGCCTGCCCTCGACAATCCACAACGAGAAGAGTGCAAAGAGACCCTGTAGCATCGCCTTTGGGAAAACTGGGTAGATCTCATGATGCGAGGGCAGTTCCGTAATTTCTCCCTTTGCGAGCTTCTCCACGGAATCATACGTGACATCAAACTTTGTGCCTGCAATACGGTCAGCCGTTACCAAATGCTCTGATGCGTCCGATGGACGTGAGATGAGCGTACCTCTGGCTTCCTCTGCAAGCGCAAGGAGCTTGTTAAAGGTGGATCGCTCTCCGTAGATGTAGGTCACTTCATCCCATTTGGGGAGACTCAGGGACGCAACGGTAAACTTGGCCACGTCTTGCGTGTACGTAAAAGCCAGAACCTCGTCGCCCGTACCAGGAATGGCAGCAGCCTTGTTTGGCACGTCGACAACGAAGAAGAGCGGCTGCAAATACGTCTTGACATGAGGATATCCGTAATAGTCCATGAAGTAGCCATTAGCAACTCGGGTCCATTCCAAGTTGGTCTTGCGAAGCTCAATAATTGTGTCCTCGCGAACTTGATAGATCGGAGAACTATAAGAGAATAAGCATTGTTAGGTCCCAGACTGTGGTACTGAAGCCGGAGATGGGCTCTTACGCCGGAGTGTGAGGGGCGCCCCATTCGCTGGAAATGAAGCGCTTGACTGTGCCAGACTGGCTGGCTGCCCTGACCAGGTTGACTTGAGCCGCGCCAGAAGTTGCGTCCATGACGGAAATGGTGGAGATGATGACCTCCACGTTGTTGCTTGCAAGTTTCTGCGCAGTCTCTGCCACGTTGCTGTAATCCACTGCAATGACTGGCGCTTTCTCATCTTGCTGCTCAGGGGCCTATGCCCGAGTTAGACTTGTCATATTTCCATCCGGGAGACTCCCATATGAAGCTATATCTCACCTTGCGGGCCAGGACAATGACACTGTAGAGGGGCGACTTCTTCAGCTCGTCGACAAGAGTACGGCCAAAGCTGCCAGTACCGCCAGCGACTGCAATAACCTTCGACATGGTTGCGATCTGTTGTCTGGCAATGAGAGGACTTGTGAAATGGTAATGCTGAAGCTGCTTCTCTGTTGTGTCTGACTCAAGCAAAGTTGTCAGTATACGGCGGATCTTCTTTCATCTTAAATAACACCTCGACTGCCTTGAAGACGTTCAACGCGCGTCCCTGCACCATCGCACACCATCTTTTCACCATCCTCTATTGATTTCTAATGTCGGTAATTCATGATCCGATTCTTGTTAGTTTGCCGATGTCTTGAGGATTCTCTGTCGATAGTTGCTTGCGACAGCTTCGCCGCGCGGAGGCCCAATCCGGTAAGGGGGCGGCAGGATCCTGGCATCCTGGTTCCGCGTCAGTTGCCTCGCTACCTGCTGCTCAGTCTAGAGCGATGGATTCGCACCCTGCTAGCAAAATGATCTGTGCGTTGCCTCTTTCACTCTGCCCTTCTGCGTTGCGTACATACGCTGAGAAAGCTAAGCCTATCTGATGGTATTCGAGATCTGGTGATGGATTCGATCATCCCACAATGCGTCCGAGCTACCGAGCTGAATACATGACACGCCGCCACTCATTGAAGTTCATGCGTAAGCGTTTCTTGAGAATGGGCTATTGAAAACATGCAAAAGTAAGAGAGGAAGAAACGACTGTGTGTCATGATTAGATGCCTCAGCAGTGGGTTGAAGGATGACTCGGTACTCAGCCGTCGGCTAACTTCGGCGACCAGTTCGTGTAATATCTGCATCTTCCTCGTCTTGCGATAAATTAAGCAATGAGCAAGCTAGCGACACAGCCTCATGGATTGGTCAAACATATTGAGATTGTCTGTTGCACCATTGTTTTGCCGGGCGACATATCCCATTCCGCCCTGCTATGCTTAAGGTGCAATACTGCATCTCTACCTATATTCGGCGGTTAGACTGTTGCTCTTCCTGATCACCCGAATTTCTCATGCCTTGGAAAAACGGCCAACATCAACGCGTAGCTTATCATCAACAGCGTCTACCCCTTTAACAACATCCGAAAGGCCCATCTAGACAGTTTCGGCCCACGACCACGAGGGGAATTCTTGGAGAATAGCAATATCAGCAGCAGCATCTATCTCCTCAATTAAGGGAAGCGGCCGAGCTGTAATCAAGGAGCCAAAGAATGGCTGACCAGCAACAATGCACAAAGAAAGTTGGAAATAAGTAGAAGAGGCTACGAAACTGGGTGTTGTGGCGATGTCGCGATTTATCAGTCCCGACATAATCTAGGGTAGGAGAGAGAGAGAGAGAGAGAGGGAAGCGTAGAATGCTACCAGGCTGGTAATAATAAACAACTTCCAAGAGCCGAAGCCCCAACACTTGACGAGATGAATAACGTCATGATATGAAGGATCATACGAATCGAAACGACTCTATCGGCGTAAGAGCGAGATGGCCGCGTTACAATGCACTAACTCCTAAGCTCTCTCAAGTTCCATCCAGTTCTCTGTTTTTCGAGGTATGGAGATCCTGCTGAGCTCATAGTTATGTATCGCCTATCTTCGAGATAATTGGTCGATACGAACAAGATAGAAATCTGACCATGATACAAGTTTATCTCCGATGGAGACTCCGGCCAAGTTTGTAGTAATCGCCGAGACGCCGGCGCCTTATCTCCACTTTCCGCTCGAGTCCGCTCGAGTCCGCCCCCGTCCGCTCCCGATCCGCTCGCCTAGACAAATAATTCATGCCAAAACATCATGAGAGTTGCTTCATCAGGTGAATCTTTCATCAGAAAGGTGGAGGAAACTAGAAGAAAACGCGACGCGAATTGAGTCATACCGAAGCCTCGAGATCGAGATGATGGGGAAACTGGGGAGATGGGGGAGATGGAGGCGTATCTTCGACTCTGGAATGGCTTGAGCCACAGGGTATAAAGGGAGGACGACCGCCTCTCTTGGAGCTGGCATGTGCATCAATCTTCAATCACAAACAGACAAGAACACTCAAGCAACCAGCTCATTACACTCATACGTTCTTACCAAGAAATAAGAAACAACAGCCCCCAGCAATGGCTCCTCAAACCTGGCTCATCACCGGCGCCTCGTCAGGCTTCGGTCTCCATCTCGCTCTCATCGCCGCCAAGCACGGCAACAAGGTCATTGCCACAACTCGCGCCCCCGGAAAAGTGCAGAACATCCCGGACAAGAACATCACAGTCGTTCGTCTCGACCAGAATGAACCTCTCGAGCAGATCAAGGCCGACATGAACGCCATCATCCGCGACCACGGACCCATCGACGTCGTCGTCAACAATGCCGCCTACGTGCACAGCGGCATCATCGAGGACCTGACCCCCGAGGACACCTACGCGCAGTTCCACACCAACGTCTTTGGCGCCATCAACGTCTACCGGGCTGTCCTCCCTCATCTCAGAGCCAAGCGGTCAGGCACCTTGGTGACCATCGGATCAATGGCCGCTTGGTTCGTCCACCCCGGCGCAAGCTTGTACAACGCCTCCAAGGCAGCTCTGCGCTGGCTCACCATCGGACTTGCCAGCGAGGTCAAGCATCTTGGCATCAAGCACCTGCTTGTCGAGCCCGGCCGCTTCCGCACGGATCTGTTGAATCAGACTGGCAACTTCAGGACCGCCAATGGCGACAATGGCATCGAAGACTACAGAGAACTCAGCCTGGCGGCCAAGGAAAGCCTCGCGGAGGGTGACCACAAGCAGCCTGGTGATCCTGTCAAGGGTTCCCAAGTCATCTACGACGTCGTTACCTCGACTGGTGCGGCCCAAGGCAAGGAGATGCCCCAATTCCTGCCGCTGGGACCTGATGCTATCGAGGAAATCACCGCATCGGCACAGGCGGCGATTGATATCTGCCGGGAATGGAAGGAGATTGCCAGCTCGACTGATTTGGACGAGTAAATGAAGAATCGTGTATTTACTGGTACTGAGCCAACATTGTAAATGAATAGATAGCCCCCAATTCGATCAATCAAATTGATTCTTCTCAGCCAGTTCCATAAGCCTCTTCGCCATGTCAAGCCTCAACTTGGCCTCCCTCTTTTGCAACTGCTTCGTATAGCCCTCACCCAACTCTTCCATACATCCAATCCGTCGTACCACAATCTCCCCGGATTGCATCGGGATCTTTTTGGCCCATTCAAGTGCCTCTTCCGCATCCTTGGTTCGAACAACCCACCAGCCACAGATGTGAGTCTCAGTAGTGACGTCGAAGGGGCCTGGAGTTACCCCCGGTAGATTGTCAGTTGAGTAGTGCAGCCGATAGCTGTCAACTGAAGTCGGCCGGAGGCCTTCAGCCTCGAGTAAGATGCCCGCGTCGTTCAACTCTTCGTTGTATTTGCACATAGCCTCAAATATCTCCGGCGATATCTCGCAGGGTGGCGCTTCGGCCATGGAGTTAGCCTTCATGAGATATATGAACCGAGGCATCATGGAGTGCGTTTTATCATTACACTGTAAGTGTACAGGATAATGTTGAAACCGTCGCATCGTGACAAACTGAAACAGCTGCAAAAGGTGATATGCCTATATAACAATTATATCATCGTGCCGTGCCATGGGGGCAAAAGCAGGCAGTGACCCCTCAAAGTGCGCGAGAGGCGTCGAGTTAGAACGAACATGACGACAGGTGGCGGCGATGGTTCGTCGTATTGCTTGAGAACAAATACACGTTTCCAAGGCTAACTTGGGCTCATTGATTCAGAGATTGATCATCGATCCGTCCGCTGTAAAAAAACAACGACATGCGATCCATCCCCATCTCCCAATATAGTCACATCCGCCGATGTCATTCCCAAGCAAATAGCCTTAACAACACAATTTGATCTCCCACATCTACCAGAGCTCACCGCGCCTTGCAGAAAATGCGTATCCATAGCCTAATCGCTCCCACACGTACATGCTTTGTCAAGGCGGTACTCAAAGGCAAAGTCATAGTTAGAGTCTTCATCGCTGATTTTAATCTTGCGAGTTCCTAGCGAAGATATGGTGAGAACTTGATCCGCCAAGAAAGCAAACTTGCATTAACATACCTCTCGGGATCTTGAATGACCCCCAAAATCCGTCATTCGCGATGCTTCGTAGAGCACCGGCAGCTCCAGATCCCACGTTGACCCTGTTGATGTGGTCTGTACTGTACTTGTCTTTTCCTAATGTGAGTCTCCCATGTGTACTGCCGATTTCCTTACCGTCGGCGTAAATCGTGTATTGTTCAGAGGTTGGCTCCGTGATAGCAATCGTAAGCACGAGATCAGTGTTGTACTGCGATACATCAATCTCTCCTTGCTGGCCTGATCTCTTATTGGAGACCCCTCGGGTCCAAGGCACAACTTCTCTGCCTACACAGGGATTATTGGGGGAGCATGATCCGTAGAAGAGGATCATGGTGCCGCTCTGAGACTCGTACCAAACATCGTCTGCGATGGTCCCTGATCGTGTTTTGTCAGAACTCCGAGGCCTGGTCTGCGCGCTTTGGGTGACCACTCACCAGCAGGGATTAGAAAGTCCACGCCGGAGCCATGCGGTATGATTTCTTTGCCATTGATGTAAAGGGTCAAATCGCCTCCACCAACGTTTGTCACCCACATGTCAAAGGGGTAAACGTAATGTGGAAGCTGCATGTTGGGATTGGGCAAGATCATTTTCTCATGCCCTGTCGAGATCAGCCTCTTGGGGTGACTGTTGTTCTCCAAAGATAACCATTTGCAAGGAGATCTATCGAGCGAGCAATCCCACCCATCTCTACCAGGGCTAGAGGGTTGAGACTGGCGTTCCCTCCGCACTAATTGTTCATCCTGATGAATCTTCTCAAAGAGGTTGATGCTCATTTCCAGCGAGTTCAAGTGGTATCGAACAAAGGAGTCCAGATGTACCTCGTCGTGGGGAAAACATTCGGCAAAAGCTTGGCGAAGGAGCCTCTCCAATTTGAAAGACTGCATGGCCTCTGAACAAACCGAAGACTTGCATAGTCCTGTCGGCACGGGCGTACAAGGAGGACCTATCACTCGTTTGTGAGCGATACTGAGCAGAAATTGTGGTGGCCATTTCCTTACATTTGGGTGACGGTAGTACGCAAGCATCGTTTTCCACTCGGTAACCTTTCAAGCAGCAGCCCCATTTTCCCGTATCTCTATCTCGGTGAAACGTGTCGAAGTCCTCGCTAGGACTGCATATATCCGAGACCATGACGCATTTCCACGCTCCGTTGACTTGCTGAGCCATTTGGCCTACTCGTAGGTCAGTAAATTGATATCCTTGAGGCTCTTCTCAAACCGTATTACATTCCTCTTTCGCGACAGTATTCGACCTAATATCACAAAATGTCAGAACCACGACATCTTAGGTGACAGACTAGACTCACTATTCCTGCAGGCCAGGATGCTGTGATTGATTTGGCCGTGGGGAACAGGGCAAAGATCCCCAGAAGCGGTAATACCTTCATGTTGAGTATAGTCTTTGAACAGAGCTGCTTGAGGAGAACTGCTGATGGTAGTAACTTGAGGCGGACTAGTCAACATGTCTTATATCATGCATCAGGATCTCCATGCAAGTGTGAGGCAACGGCTGCCTTGGCACGGCGGACAACAGGCATATTCGAGTGTGCCACATCATCAGATTGCGTGTATTGAAAGTGGCTCAGATTGGTGTGGCTGAATGGAGCTTTGCATTCCGCCTCAATCTGATATATGCAGACACTGGTTTGGTCTACAGCCCTGTTATGATTGGCGACGCGCGTAATAGCTCTTTCACCTAATGCATGAATAGAGCCGATAATGAAACCAACAACAGCAAGAACTAGACCCCCCCCCCCCCCCCCCCCCCCCGGAGCCGTCACTGACAGTAATTTCATGTAGAACAGTTCGGGCGTTATCGCTCACCGAAAGGCATCTAAGCCCTGCACTGAGTCTTCTTCAATGTATCGAGGCGACTATTATTTACTGCCTAGATTATGAGCACGGCATAAGCGTATGAGGCTCTGCCTGTGTATCGTCACCGAAGAGCGCCTCACTGGGCACCACAAGATGCGCGACACGTCAATGGAGAAGTTCAGCCTCAACGTCACACCACATAGTGTCCTTCTTCTAGTGGTTGAAATAACCTTAGGACAGGGGACAGATGCCTAAGGTAGGGTGTCAGTCCATGCCTCTCGGCTCTAGAACCGTTGTGTCTCGGTGTTCGGGTGGAGTTCAGGCAGCAAGGCTGAACGACCGTGTGGGATTTCTCCGAAGACCCTGTACTCAATTACAGGAAACAATGAATATCGTACATCATGGGAATCCCCAACATTGGGCCCTAGTAACCAGTTGCTGATATTCGACACAATGCCAGAATGTATAATCCATGTATATTCTATCCATGGTTATTTACATTATCCCGATGCCCTTTCGAAAACGGCCGCGATATCGAGTAGTTTCCCATCGCAACCACTACCAGCTAGGAATGTGATGCCAAATGGCAGCCGTGCTTCTCCCTCCTCGACCCATCCTGCGTTTACGCTAACGCCGCAGAGGTCAACAACGTTTGCAGGATGTGTAAAAAGCCCAAGTTTAGAGTTGACTGCCAGTGGATCGTCCAGTACTTCTTGAATTGTAGGATGAAATGGTGCGGTTGGCACCACCAAGACGTCGATGCCGCCGTCGAGTTTGTCAAAGGTCTTGCGCACCGCCGCAATGCATTGCATTTGTGTGGCCTGATCGCGAAATACCTCCCAGGCGCTCAACTTGGCTGAGAGAAGGCCCTGGAATACCGTCTTCGTGGTTGGATGGAGCGTCTCGATATTCTCTGTGATAAAGTCATGGCCTATCGACGCAAGACGTTCGTGAACCAGAGACGCACCATATATGAGGTCGCCCGCTTGCGCAAAAGGTGTGTAGTCGATGTCGACCAAGGTTGCTCCGCAGGATTGCAACCTCTCAACAGCCACTCGAAAGAGCTCTTGATACTTTGCGGAACACAACTCTATCGCGGAGTCAGGCGGTATGCCAAACGTAAAGCCGCCCTCCCCTGGCCCTCGATAGTCCACCATCCAAGTTGGTAGGCTTTCTGGTGGTTTGGCATACGGGTCCAGCGCATCATACTGATCCATGACATACCAGACTTGCCTGGCCTCTTCCACCGAACGTGCGAAAATACCCATCGTATCAAGGCTCTGACATGCAGGGACCACTCCTCTAGCCGAGATGGTGCCCTTGGTGGGCTTGAAGCCGACGATGCCGTTGAATGCTGCTGGAATGCGAACGCTTCCCGCCGTGTCGGTTCCAATAGCAAACGAAACAAGTCCAGCGGCCACGGCCACAGCGCATCCCGAGGACGAACCGCCCGAGGCATGTTTCTCGCTGTGGTAACTGTGAGGAATTCCGTACGGTGAGCGGCACCCTGTCAAGCCAGTGGCGAGCTGGTCAAGGTTCAGCTTCCCTACGTATATTGCCCCGGCATCGAGGAGATGCTGAATCGCTGGGGCTGTGGCAGTAGCAGTGTAGGCAAACCTGTCGCAGGCGGCGGTGGTAACCACTCCTTTGACATCGATATTGTCTTTTACAGCAAACGGGATGCCGAAAAGTGGCGGCATAGACTCGTCAGGGAAGGTTGCACCTGTGGATTGCTTCCTTGCGTTTGCTATCGCCTCTTCCGGATTTTCTCTTGAAATCCAGACAGCTGGATTGATGGTGTCGTACCTGGTTATTCGATCCAGTACATTTAGCATGAGAATCTCTGGATCTATCAGGCCTGCTCTGTAGAGGTCTTTGAGCTCGGCGTTAGAGGGAAGAACTTCAAGCACCCGTTTGGCATCCGACAACGTCGGCTTCGTGCGGTTTATCTGCCTTCCGTATTCATAGAACTCTGAGCCGTGGCTGACGTATCCGAGAAGGCCATCTCGACCCCAGACGAGATCCAGCGAGCTAGCTACCATATTCTCATCGAACCCTGTGGTACAGCCCGAGAGAATACAGCATTCGTAGCCTCTGTCGTTGCCATCATGCAGCATGCTAGTGACACAACATCTAGACGGGTGTAAGTCGTTTATGCGGTCAAAAATCCCGTCATACATAGGTACTCACTCAGTGTTGACGCCCGTCAAGATCAAATGAGTGATTCCTCGAGCAAGCAGCAGCCTATGAAGCCTCGTGCCCCAAAAACTCCCCTTGCCCGGTTTGTCGACAATCAACTCTGTAGGCCATGGCTTTAGCTCGTCGATAATGTCATGGCTTGCCTCTCCCTTCACCGAAAACCTTCCTGTCGGACGCTCATCACTGATGTTAACCGATTGGCCGCCAGTCGGGGCTTTCGTCTCTCTCAGTCTCCTCGCGGCCGGCAGATCCGCAAGGTTCGGAAGATAGCCCTCCCGCGTGTAAATGATATGCAATCCCAATCGTCGTGCCACGCGCAGGAAGTGAGGGAGAGGTGGGACAATCCTGCAGACGGGCGGGAAGATGGCGGGGTTTTCGTCTATGTTAGACCCGAACCCATTGGAGTCGAGGAAATCCCGCTGCATGTCAATCACGACGAATGCCGTGGTGGACGGAGAAAAGGTAAATGCGTATGGGAAGGCAGTCGAGAGTGTGAGTTTACTTTCTGAAGCCATCTTGACGTCTTGAAGGTTTCAATGGGAGTGCTTGAGGAGGAGGGAAGAGGGGAGGCCATATGGCATGCGGCTCTCGAGGTTTGGGGTATGCTGATTGAAGGATCCGGCCAGTTTGATTGGTCGCCTTGCATGATCAAGAACAAGACACTCAGGCATCAGTTTGGAGGAGATTGCGACTTTTACCCATTGAAGAACCCGCTGTTCCATGTTACGCTGTCCAATAGATAGAGCACCCTGCATTATGCATCTCTTCAGCTTCAACGGTAGTCAGATGACTTTCAGCAAAGAACTGGCCAGTCGTCACCCTCCTTATGCAGTCCTCTCCCACACCTGTCGCAACAAAGAAGAAGAAGTCATCTTCAGCGATGTGATCGCCGGCACGGGTCCAGAAAAGTCTTAATACAGCAAGATCCAATTTTGCGCCCAACAAGCCGCCTCAAGTGGTCTATCGTTCTTCTAGACAAAAAATTGTTGCATCGACAAGTCGAACAGTACTGGACTTCAAAAGGGAGATGATTCCATGTTTCGGTCCTACCAAAGAGTAGCTCGTTGCTACGCTTATGTGTCTGATGTGACCAAGTAGAGAGACATTGGGAAGCCAAGTTCATCCAGCTGGGAGTCTTGCTTTCGCGCCAGTCGATAGTTTACGTGAAGTTGGATGCTGCAAGAACACCTGGATTCTCTTAAGATTGGCTTTCACTCGTCATAAGGATTTCATCTTGATAGCAAAGAGTCATTGGAGGAAGCTTGTTTACGGGACCACCTGGTTTCCAGTCAATGTGCTCCGAAAAAGGCAACTCTCCGCGAAATCAATTGGAGGGCGAGACTATGCATTTCAACGTCTTTGATGAGCAATCAACGACTACGGTCTATTTTCTTGCGACTTCTGTTGTCTGCACAGGGACTATCGAACCCTCCACAACCTCACATGCACTCTCTTAGCACAGACGTTGAAAAGCTCGTCACCAAAGGGAGATGCCGACCCAAAAGCCGTCCCCACCAAGGGATCCTCCGGGTCTCACTGCCGATGCGGGGGGTTTCTGACCGAAGGCTGAGAGACCCTCAAACAAGCGATATTGTTGCATCGAAGAGACTGTTATATATATTGGCCTAACATAGGATGTTCAATAGCGGTTGTAACAAAACTCCTTCGACTACCGCGGCGTTAACCTTCAGCATGAAGGCATCATCCATACCGACCACCCAAATCGCCGCCGTCATTAAGAATCCCGGCCCGGATGGAACCGTCCACATCACTAACACGCACCCCGTCGAAACCCCAGGCAAGAATCAAGTCCTCGTCAAGCTCGCCTTCAGCGGCATCTGGTATGTAACTATCAACGTTCTCCTGCTCTTAAGGCTTTACCCGGCCTCACTAACGCTTTCATCTCTCAGCGGATCAGAAGTTCGAGCCCTCCTTGGCTGGAGCAACTACAAGCCAGTCGTAGGCCACGAAGGCGTCGGCACAGTCGTCCAAGCAGGCCAGGATGTGCCCGACTCGATCCTCGGCCAAAGGGTAGGAGTCAAATGGCTTCACAGCGCATGCGGCCAATGCTCGCACTGCAAAGCTTCTTCTGCCCATCACTGCGCAACGCCCGTTTTCACTGGACTTCACGTCCAGGGGACCCTACAGCAATACGTCGTCGCCGATGCGCGATACCTAACGAAGATTCCTGATGGTTTGCCTGGCGAAGTGGCTGCACCCTTACTATGCGCAGGCTTGACCATGGCTGGCGCAATTGCGGAGCTAGACCGGCAGCAAATTCCCAGCAATGGCTGGGTCGTGATATCAGGTTCTGGTGGTGGCTTGGGACACATCGGAGTGCAGATGGCAAGCAGGCTCAGAGCATACAAGGTGATTGCCGTCGATTCGGGAACGTCGAAGCGCGATCTCAGTCTACGATGCGGCGCCGAGGCCTTCATCGACTTTGAGACGGAGAATGTCGAGAAGAGGGTCAAGGCGATAACCGGCGAGGGTGCTCATGCTTGCCTCATTGTGTCCGGGTCTGAATCTGCATTTGAACTTGCGCCAAGATTGGTCCGTAACGCAGCTTTATTGGCGGTCATTGGCCTTCCACCCGCTACCTTCAATTTCCCCTTGGCAGCCAGTGCCTTGGCTTCAAAAGGTACCATAACACTGACCCTGCCCTTATTTACCCCCGTACATCAGATCGTACAAGTTGCTAATCGTGTTTCTTTTCCAGCACTTACCGTGACAGGGGTCATGGTTGGGAGTGAGCAGCAGATGGTAGACCTTCTTCAGCATGCGCTCGCAGGGGTCATCGATCCCGTGGTCCAGGTTGAGGAGTTTTCCCAAGTGCCTCAAGTGTTTGAGAAACTCGAAAACAACCAGGTAACAGGGCGGATAGTGGTGAAAATCCCCGAGTAGGAATACGAGACAGTGGTGAGGGTAAGTAGGGCATGCTTCTCCACCAATTATTTTTGCACGAGGCTTGCACATTGAGAGTGAGATTCATGTTGTATGTATTGGTATATATAAGCCACTGCAGGGCACGCTATAAAGCTACCTATGTACACTGAAATGACATGCTCGAAGGCCTCCCACGGGACCAGAGCTGAAACCTCCTTCTCGCCATCAATCGTTTAGCACTTCTGGGGCCTCCAGTTGGGGATAATGTAGCCGCCGTTAGGATCGTTAATGTCAAAGGTATCCTCGCCCCTCCAAGCGTGGAGGAACCAGCCGACGTTCTGGCTCTTGAAGTAAGCGCAGTTGTTGTCAAAAGTCTTCCAGTAGTTGGTGTACTGCGTGCGGCCGAGATCCGTGTGTCCGGGGTAGTGGGACGTAGGACCCCAAGCCCACTGCGTCTCGGTGACCCAGGTGGGCAGACCGACGTTGGCCTTGACCCAGTTGATCTGAGACTGGATGTAGCTCCAGGCCTGCGACTCGGGCTGGTTGAAGTGGTAGAAGGGCATGGGGTGGATGTGGGCAACGTCCGAGTTGGCCTTGACGCCGGCGCCGATGGAGGCGAGGCCCTGGCCGTTGCTGCCGCTCATTGTGCCGGGCCGGTCCCAGTCCTCTGAGATGCCGACCAAGATGCCCTTCTGGTTGAGGGTGGCGCGGAACTTGCCCAGGTCGTTGACGAAGTTGCCCTGGTCCATGCCGTCGCCAACGGGCTCGGAGCCGAATTCGGCCCAGTGGACGACGTAGGGGGCAATCGCCGCAACGGAGGGGTCGTTGAGGGCGTTGTAAATGGCCTGTTGGGACTGCTGCCAAACGTTCTGGAGAGTGTGTCAGTATATATATATATATATATATATGATAATACATGTATGTAGGTGGTTGTTCAAGTTGCACTTACGCCACCGCCAAAGTTGGTCCAGACCTGGACAATCAGGCCCATGTTGTTGTTATACGCAGCCTTGATAGCGTTGATGAAGACGCTGGGCTGAGTGCACACGGGGTAGTACATGCGGATGATGCTGGCGCCAAAGTCCCTCTTCATCTGGGCAAAGTCCCTGTTCATCTGGTCGTAGCCGTTGGACGCGGCATTGCAGTTGCCGTCTTCCAGAGGGTACGAGAAGCCCAGGAAGCCGTAGTAGTCGGACTGCGGGCACCACCACTGGTTGAGGGGAGTGCTGGGAGCAGCAAAGTTGCCGGGGAGAGTGGCGTTGCCCATGGGGAAGCAGTTGCCGGCGGCGGCGGCAGCGGTAGTAGCCGGGGCCGCAAGAGCGGGCACCGCGGCCAAGGCGGCGAGGGAGAGCAGCGAGGAGATCATGGCTGCGGATCTTCGTCTCTCGAGGGGATTCAGAAGAGGATTGAAGGCTGAGGAAGCTGGATATCGGCCAACGGAGAAGAGATGCCAAGCCAGGTATTAATACCTGATGTACTTGACCACTGAGGCTACAAACAAGCATAAGCATGGGAGGCGGTCCCTGATCGATCTGCCTCAAACTACAGCCAACCGGCTCGAGGCTTCGACGGCAAAGTGGGAAGCCCTATGCTCGTCCAGGGGGTTGTCGGTTTCTCGCTCTCCATGGTGGTCACTTCATCAGCCGTCCGTAGGGAGAGCATCCAGGTAGTAAGGAGAAGAGCTTCTCCAGCTTTCACCCAAATAAGCAGCTGAATTAGATCCAAGGCACGCCCTCTCCACAAAGACAAGGTACAAAGTATCATCCAGCTCATCAGCTGTCTGTTATGTGGACGGACAAATTATCACTCGGGCTCCGAAAGCAGATGCCCGCCACCCCCAAAACGGCGAGGCTATCCGCTCGTTTCCTCTTGTTTGGCAACTTTCCCTACCAGCTGGACAGCAAGAGGCGAATGGAAAAGGCCCGACTGAATGCCGGCTGGACCACCTCCCCGCCGGCAATTACGGCAGCGTGCAGCAAGCATAAACATATGCTCGGAAACAACAGCAAACGTTCCCTTGAGCCTTGATTGATATTTTTGTCCTATCCAGTTATAGCAAGTGAAGTTGAAACAGGGGTGGTCCCGCAGCGTCGAAGATGCCAGCTTCCCAGATGAGAAATCGAGGCTGTTAAGGCTTGGGCTAGCAGGGGGGTCTGACACGCGCTATTACACATGTCCATGTGCCGCTGGACAGGAGGGACCCATCTTGTTGAAGGGGGTATTCGTATTCTTTGTTCGAATTGCTGTCACTGTTCCATTGGACCTTGGATCGTGCAGTTGTCAACTCCCGAAATGGGTCGTGTTGCATTGAAGGAGACCGCTTCGGCCGAGAGATGTATTATAAGTCAACACAATCGAGGTTGTGAATACTACATGTAATTGACATTAGGGAGCCTGCTAAAAGAAACAATTGACCAGACAACTAGAGGAAGAAGGCGACAAGTTCTATCAAACAGTACCACCAATGACCAGTTAACAACCATCACAAGTCAAATCTCATCCTCGGTCAAGTCCTCCCTTGCCGCCGATCCATCTGGGCCTCCTTGGCACAAAGCCTTGTCTAGCCCGTATTTCCTGCACCTTGACGGAGCACAACAACAGATGCTAGGATCGAAGTTTAAGGTTACTCCGCGTTCTGCTTAAACAAGCAGGATCATGAGAATACGAGCTTGACGTAAGGTAAGCAGACAGGGCTTCTACATACCTAGAGTACCATGCCTACAGCATTAAGAAATAGAAAGTTTTCTCAAGTTGCCTTGTCGAAAAGGGGCAACCCGGATGTTGCAGACAGCTCAGCTACTTATGCCTTTTGTGGAAGCTGCTTCTAGAATGCCTTGCTTCGAGCGCTAGAAAGCTGTCAACTCTCCTCAGGTTGTCCAATGACTTTACATTCCGGGGTTGGCGCTACAGCTTTACGACCATCTGAGCAGCTGCTTCAAATGGTCCACTGTGGCAGTCCATTGTGCCTCAATGGAGTCCTTCGCAACGCATCGTACTTGTATACGAGGATCAGGCTCTTACAACCGACAATGAAGGCTGTACAGGAAGCAGTTGGCTAAATGAACTCCATGTACTCGTAGACATTGTAACGTCAGATAATGCAGTCTTTCGCAGACCTGCTCCGGCAGAGAAAAGCACTGTCCTTCTGTCATGGGTAGTGGTGCAAGGTTATCGAAAGGTAGGTAGGTGAGCTGTGACCCCGAACTTGTGGCGTGTCAATGGTTCGATGCGTCTGAATGGTGGCACAACTCGTTGACGGACAAATCAAGCAGTTGCTGTACATGACAAGCAACTACCTCGTTAAGGACAACCTCGACATCGCTTGACATAATTAAAACATTCTTTGGAAACATCCAGTTAATCATATACATTGTCGACCTACAACGTTGCAGCGCTTGTGTCACCAGCAGACACTTAGCCTAGAGAATGTTCCACTGAAGCGCAGCTCGTGATATCCTCCAGAAGGGTAAGGTACTCGGCTGCGGAGACAAGGCGAATGGTAGATATGCTCACTGCCAATATACTCCAAACAATTTCAGCTGCCGTGACAGGCAATGACAGGGTTTATAATTCCTCCAGTAGAATGTGGCCCAGCGGCAACTCCAGAAGCAAGACATTAACGGGATAGCCGGCACCTGTCAATTGTAGACGTTGATTGCAGAACAAGGCTACTTCAACAGACTCTGGGCGAGCTAAATCATCAAGGTACTAATATATACAATTGCTCTTCTGCGACACTCATATGAATGTTCAACCGATTCAATAACCCCCCACCCACCTTTTTCTTTTCGTACATGGCTCATTACAGACAATCCTTGACCACTTAGCTGCTCTCCACCTGCTTCAGAATACCCTCGAGGTTGATGCTCTTGGGGCGCTCAATGGGCAGACCCAGGGCGCGGTCCCAGATGAGCTGAGCCAGAGGACCGAGACCACGCGAAACACCAAAGGTGGCCGTGTAGTAGAGCGTCTCGTGGAAGCCGTAGTGGTGGAAGAGGACGCCGGAGCTGCTGTCGACGTTGGGGTAGGGGTTCTTGGTCTTGCCGTGCTTCTTGAGCACCTCGGGGGCGATGCGGCTGTTCTTCTCAACCAGCTGGAAGACGGGGTCCTTGGCAATCGCGGGGCGGGAAGCGGCATAGTCCATGAGAGCCTCGAATCGAGGGTCGGGCTTGCGCAGAACGGCGTGTCCGTAGCCGGGCACGACGCGGCCCGAGTTGAGGGTGGACCAGAGGTAGTCGTGGACATCCTGCTCGGTGTAGTTGGCGGGGATGGCCTCCTTCATCTGCAGGATCCAGCGGAGAACTTCCTGGGCGGCAAGTCTATCGTCATAAGCGCGAACGATTAGCAATCAACGTTTGTATAGGAAGATTGATTGTAAGTATAAGTGGACAGCTTACCCGTGAAGAGGACCGGCCAGACCCTGGAGACCAGCGCTGTAAGACAGGAAGGGGTCACTCAGGGCACTACCAACAAGGTGAGTGGCGTGGGCAGACACATTGCCACCCTCGTGGTCGCCGTGGAGGGCAAGGTAGAGACGGAGGAGGTCCTGGAAGTCCTCGTTCTCCTTGCCGCCCTTGCCGAGCATGGCAGCAAAGTTGTATGACCAATCCTGCTCAAGGTCGACCTCGGCAGGGAGGGCGCCGCCGCCGCGGTAAGAGTTCTGGTAGATCTTGGCGGCAATGGTGGGCAGCTTGGCGAGCAGCGAGATGCTGTCGTCAAAGGTGGGCTCCCAGTAGTCGGCCTTGGCGAGGCCCTTCTCGTAGGCCTTTGCAAACTTGGACTCGTAGTTGAGGGCCGAGACGGCAATGGCAAACTGGGTCATGGGGTGCAGATCCTTGGGGAAATCGTCGAGCATCCTGTTGACGAAGGCGGGGATCTGGGTCTGGGAGGCCAGCTCGCGGGAGAACTGGCGGACCTGGTTGACGGAGGGCACCTGGCCGGTCAACAGCAGCCAAAACATGGCCTCGGGCAGCATCTCGGTGCCCGTCTTGCCCTTGGGCAGCTCCTTCTGGCAGTCCTTGATGGTGCGGCCGTGGAAGCGGATGCCCTCGTTGGGGTCGAGCACGGAGCCCTCCCAGACCATGGCCTTGAGCCCGCGCATGCCGCCAATGGTGTTCTCAACCTTGACCTCGCCAATGACCTTGCTGCCGTGGGCCTTGACCTTCTTCAGCAGCTCGCGCTTCTCAGGGATGACGCTCTTGAGCGTCGTCTTGAGGTCGGGCTCAGCGGTTGAGTAGCATCGCGCGGCGTTGGCGAGGAGGGCGGCGCGGGTGTAGGGCTGTAGACGGGAGGAGTGTCAGTCTATGTCAAATGGGTCTCGATAGAAGGCTATAAGAGGAGACTCGACTGACCTTGAAGGAGCGCAGGGCTCGAGCCGACGAGGTGAGGTTGAGAGCCATGATTTGGTGTGGGCAAAGGTGAGGATAAATGAACAAGGCGAGCTGCTCCTGAATGGCGGGGCAGAAGAAGCGGTTAGCTATGGGAGCTGCATGATGATGCTATCGCCGATAAGCTCCAGGAGTGACATTCACTTACACAGCGACAAGAGGCAGAGGAACGCGGGGATGCCTTTGCAAGCAGCGGTAATCAGGGACAGAATTGGAAGTATAGAAGGGAGAAACAAGAAAAGAATGAGAATGACAAAAAGACCCCGAGATATTGATCCCAGCAGTTCCTCCATATCCTCCTCCCTCTTCCTCCAGGTACACGCCCAGAATGATCCGTCACCGCCCTCAAATCAGCCGAGGAAAGCCGCCGCTCGGTCCGTCGGTAGCCCCGCGGGGCCCCATTGGTCAATTTGGGCTCAGCCGCGCCTTTATCGGCCCCTCCTCCGCATTGCTGAGGCGATTCAAGGTCGAATGGAATTATTAAGCCGAGCACTTCATAAAGTCGAGCGACGCCCTGGAAGAGGAAGCAGAAGAGCCGCATGGCCGGAGGCACGAGTGTCTTGGCTACATAACTGGGTTCTTGAGTGACGAAACACATTGTTTGCCTCGGTAATTCCAACCTCGATCCGCCGTCTCCCAGAAGCTACACACGGTTCAAGATGATGCGAATAGCTTCACGCGCCTCTCAGCGGGGCTGCTCTCTGACCTCGTCCTCGGCGGCGGCCGCTCTTCGACGATCGATGCCGCCCTCTGCCGCTATACGCGCCATTGCAACGTCTGCTGCTCGCATGGCTGCTCCCTCCAGCTCCGGCCCGCGCGCGGTGCCGCCGGCAGACGCGTATCAGCTGCTGCCAGAGTCGCAAAAGACAGGCCCGGCCGAAGATGCGCTGTACGAGGCCCAGGTCAAGGAGATTGAGGAGTGGTGGGCATCGCCTCGCTTTGCCGGCATTCGACGCCCGTACAGCGCCGCAGACGTCGCCTCCAAGCGCGGCAGCCAGTTCTTCAAGTATCCGAGCTCTGTCATGGCCACCAAGCTGTTCAACCTGATCCGCGAGCGCGAAGCCAAGGGCGAGCCCCTCCATACCAGTAAGTCCATACCATTGATGCAAGTTCTTGTGAAGAGTCGCTAATCTGTCTTCCTCAACCAGTGGGCGCCATTGACCCCGTCCAGATGACCCAGCAGGCGCCTCACCAAGAGGTCCTCTACATCTCCGGCTGGGCCTGCTCATCCGTCCTTACCAGCACCAACGAGGTTTCGCCTGACTTTGGCGACTACCCGTACAACACCGTCCCGAACCAGGTCCAGCGCCTGGCCAAAGCGCAGTCTATGCATGACCGCAAGCAGTGGGACATGCGCCGCAAGATGACGCCGGAACAACGGGCCAAGACGCCGTACATTGACTATCTCCGACCCATCATTGCCGACGGCGACACTGGCCACGGAGGTCTTTCGGCGGTGCTCAAGCTCGCCAAGCTGTTTGCTGAGAACGGTGCCGCAGCGGTGCACTTTGAGGACCAGCTTCACGGAGGCAAGAAGTGCGGCCACCTGGCGGGCAAGGTGCTGGTGCCCACGGGCGAGCACATTAACCGTCTCAACGCCGCGCGCTTCCAGTGGGATGTCATGGGCTCGGAGAACCTCGTCATTGCCCGTACCGACTCCGAGTCCGGCCGCCTCCTCTCGTCAGCCATCGACGTCCGCGACCACGAGTTCATCCTGGGCATCGCCGACCCTTCCATCGAGCCCCTGGCCGAAACGCTGCAGGCCATGGAGGCCAAGGGAGCCACAGGCGCCGAGATTGACGCCTTCGAGGCCAAGTGGGTGAAGAGCAGCCGGCTCGTGACGTTTGACGAAGCTGCCGTCGAGCACATGCAGAAGGAGGGTGTCGCCCAGGCCAAGATTGACGAGTACCTGTCGGCCACGGCCGCGGACCGCGACATGGGCATCTCCCGCCGCCGCGCGCTCGCCGCGCAGTACACCAAGACGCCCGTCTACTTTAACTGGGACGTGCCTCGCACGCGCGAGGGCTACTACCACTTCCGCGCCGGCATGGAGGCGGCCACCAAGCGCGCGCTGGCCTTTGCCCCCTTTGCGGACCTGCTCTGGGTCGAGACGGGCGACCCCAACGTCGAGGTGGCCGCCAAGCTGGGCCGCACCGTACGGGCTGCCCACCCCGGTAAGGTGCTCGTGTACAACTTGTCGCCATCGTTCAACTGGATGGCGCACGGCTTCACGGACGAGACGCTCAAGTCTTTCATCTGGGACATTGCCAAGGAGGGCTTCACGCTGCAGCTCGTGTCGCTGGCGGGCCTGCACTCGACGGCCACCATCACCAACGAGCTGGCCAAGAAGTTCAAGACGGACGGCATGAAGGCGTACGTCGAGCTGGTGCAGAGGCGCGAGAAGGAGCTCGGGTGCGACGTGCTGACGCACCAGAAGTGGAGCGGAGCAAGCTACATTGACGGCATCCTGGGGGCTATCCAGAGCGGCAGCTCGAGCAGCAAGAGTATGGGAGATGGTAACACGGAGGGGCAGTTTGACTGAAACTTCATAAATTGGGGGGAAAGGGATTCAAAAGACATGGGGAGTCGAACGACGCGGAACTGAACTTTTGGCCTTGTATACCTACAGAGGCATGTAGACATGTATATAGATAGACAAGGGGGAGGGAGGCATCTGGACGGAGTTGGGTACATACGTTCTTCTTCGAATTTCATACATGCACCTTGTAGCACACCAATCAAAGTCTCAACGTAGTGTCATGATCTTTCGTTAATTCTTTCATCTATCTCCCCTTTCCTTCATGCAGTCCCATTACTCCAATGAATCCTTCAAGGCATTGTTGACCGGTGCCGGCGGCGCAGGTCCCTCAGCAGTCACGTACGCCTTGGTCATGCCGCCGTCGACAACAAAGTCGCTACCGTTGACGAAGCTGGCCTCGTCGCTGGCCAGAAACACCACGGCATGCGCCTGCTCGATGGCCTCGCCGAACCGGCCCATGGGGAAGTGCACCTCGCGGCGCTGCCTCTTGGCCTGGTCGTCGCCCAGCCAGTCCTGCAGCAGGGGCGTGTTGAGCGGCGCAGGGCACAGGCTGTTGAAGCGGAAGCCCTCGCGGGCATGGACCATGGCAAGCTCGCGGGTGAGGGCGAGGACGGCGCCCTTGGAGGCGGTGTAGGCGAGCTGGGGCGTGGCGGCGCCGACGAGGGCGACGACGGAGGCCGTGTTGATGACAGAGCCGCGCGTCTTCTTGTTGCGGCGCAGGGAGAGGACGGCGTGCTTGCAGCCGAACCAGACGCCCTTGACGTTGATGTTGTGGGTGAGGTCCCAGATGTCCTCGGGGGTGTTGACGGCATCGTCGTCGCGGGCGTGCATGATGCCGGCGTTGTTGAAGATGACGTCGAGGCCGCCCCAGGCGTCGAGGGACTCGATCATGGCCTGGACGTCAGACTCCTTGGAGACGTCGCATTTCTGTTGGGGGGGCGTAGATGTTCTTGTGTGAGCTTTCCCCTCATAGCTTTCGATCTCTTTGGATCATTGGTAGCGGTCATGTGGTGGAACGTACTCGGATCTCCAGGCGAGGGGCATTGGGGACGAGCTGCTTGACCTTGGCCAGGGCCTTTTCGAGAGCGGGCTCGGAGATGTCGGCGAGGAGGACGCTGGCGCCTTCTTTGGCAAAGAGGATTGCCGTCTCCAGACCAATGCCTCTGTATATGCTGTCAGTATCTGGCTGGGCTGGGTGGTTCCATGGGGAACGGGATTTGGGCTTCGACTCACCCCGCAGCACCGGTGATGATGGCGTTTTTGCCGGCCAGACGTCCAACCATGGTGATGATGTGGATGATGATGTATTAGGGAAGTACAGGGGGTTGAGGTCGGGAACAGAAGCAAGAAAGAGTTGCTAGGAAATGATCAATGATCAAGAGCTGTGATGAGGTCGAGGTTGGGTTTTATCTTTGGGCAACGGTTGACTGATGCAAGGGATGGTTGGGATGGATGGATGGAGGGGCACGTCGATGGAATTCCGTAATCTGTACTCCATGGCATGGTGGGGTTTAATCTTGGGGAGACACCAGGTAGCGGGTACTTGGACATTGCTCTCAAGTCTGGCGTCGATGTCTGGTTATCATAGTCTGGGTCAAGTCGCGGCTACTAACCTGCTCGACTCAGGAACCAGGACGCAGGCCATCACGAGGAAACGCCCTCTCGGAACCCATCACTCGTAGCGTTGCCAGAATATTACCTAAAGCATTCGAATAGAGAAGGATAGCTGGCGCTATCTGACGGGCTAGAAGACGGTTCGGCGTCAGATGGGGCTGCGTTGGAGCTCGGATTGGGCGAGACAGTGACACTTTGTTCCATCCATGGCCCAGTTGGAGGGGACCCTAGATGGGGAGTTCCGATAGCGGTGGCCGAGGTACGAAGTAAAGTAGGTAGGTACTAGGTAGGTATGTCATTACGAGGAGGAGTGGCAGGCAGATGAACAAGTCGAGATATCACAATCAAGTCGTACAGTGACATCTATACACATCATCCTGTCTTACATTGAACAAGTAGATTAGACACTGCAGCGCCTCTAAGGCTCGAGACCAAAAGTCAACAACCACTGCACACCATCATCACTGATAACATCAACTCGTGATCCTTCTGTTCCCTCCATACTATCATGATCCTGCTTCTCCAACTGATAACGATAGGCGGTCTGCCCCTCTTCAACCCCCCCCTGGTCCGCCTCCAGCGCATCAGCCGCCCCCGCATAATCAGTCAGGGCCAGTCCAGCGTGTCATCCATTAAAAGTCGCGAGCGTCTCCCATGCAACAACGATCTTCCATTACGTGCATCTCAGACTGCAACTCAACATCAAGTCGAGAAAACGAGGCTCTGTCAGCTGCTCCGGAGATTGCCCATCTTTGTTGTGATAGTTGTGTCTCTTCTTGCACTGCACTCCCCGTCTGCTTCTCTTCTCAACTCTTCCGAATGCGGGGTGTCTGTCTGTCTCATGCCATTTTCATCATCAATCCTGCTTTTCCTTGATAACGACAGCCGCGGCATGACTCGTGAGAATCTCTGACCTTGACCTCCTTCTCTTCTCATCCCAAGCCTCGAACCTACAGCAACCATCTCATCTAGAGATTGAATCAGCATCTTTTCAGCAAACAAACACAAACAGCAGCACAGATCCATCGCTACCACCACCACCACCACCACCACCATGTCCAAACAAGACATCACCCCCGCCTCCCTCGAGGCCCTCCTCGAGCACGACACAAAGGTCAAGCTCGCCGGCCTCGACGTCGACGGCATCCTCCGCGGCAAGCTCGTCTCCAAGAAGAAGTTCCTCTCCATCGCCACCGCCGGCTTCGGCTTCTGCTCCGTCATCTTCGGCTGGGACATGCACGACAAGACGTACATGCGCGAGCTCAAAATCTCAAACGCCGCCAACGGCTACCGCGACCTGCTCGCCATCCCCGACCTCGCCAGCTTCCGACGCATCCCCTGGGAGGACAACGTGCCCTTCTTCCTCATCACCTTTCACGACCCGGACACGAAGCTGCCCGTGTGCGCCTGTCCGCGCGGGCTGCTGAGGACGCAGCTCGATCGTCTGCGCGCCAAAGGCTACGGTGCCATGGCTGGTGGTGAGACAATCGCAACTTGAAAGACCCGTCTTGTAGGAATCAGAATGTTAAAATCCAATCACCTATGACTTCTCTAGCCGAATACGAATTCTACACCTTCCAGACCCCCGACAACTCCTCGTCCCCCGCCGGCTTCCTCCAGAACAACCCGCCGCACCAGCTGCCGTCCCTGACCGAGGGCATGTTTGGCTACTCCCTCACGAGGCCCGTCCACAACAAGGACTACTTTTACGAAATATTCGACACCTGCTCCGCCTTCTCCTGCGACGTCGAGGGCTGGCACACCGAGTCCGGCCCGGGCGTCTTCGAGGCCGCTCTCGAGTTTGGCGAAGTCGCCGAGATGGCCGACCGCGCCAGCCTGTTCAAGTACGTCGTCAAGAGCGTCGGCGCAAAGCATCGCATCACGCCCTGCTTCATGGCCAAGCCTAGACAGGGGCTGCCCGGAAATAGCGGCCACATGCACGTGTCCATTGTCGACGAGAGCGGCAAGAACCTGCTGGCCAGGGACACGGTGGACGAGAATGCGCCCTGGAAGGACGTCGCGGGTCTGTCTGACCTGGGACGCCATTTCCTCGCCGGCGTCCTCGAGGGCCTCCCCGACATCATGCCCCTGCTCGCGCCCACCATCAACTCGTACAAGCGCCTCGTCGAGAACTTCTGGGCCCCCGTGACCGTCTCCTGGGGCCTTGAGCACCGCGCCGCCTCCATCCGCATCATCGCGCCGCCCACGTCCAAGGCCTCGGCCACGCGCTTCGAGATCCGCGTCCCCGGCGCCGACTCCAACCCCCACTACGTGCTCGCCGCCGTCCTGGGCTGCGGCTGGCGCGGCGTCGAGAAGAAGCTCGAGATCCCGTGCCCGCCGCTGGCCATGGGCGAGGACGTCGGCGGCGCCTCCGACCAGGGGGCGCGGCTGGCCAAGACCCTGAGGGAGGCCACGGAGCGCTTCATGGCCAAGGACAGCATCGCAAGAGAGGTGCTAGGTGATGACTTTGTCGACCATTTCGGGGGCACTAGGGAGAATGAGATTCGGTTGTTTGACGAGGCTGTAACAGACTGGTATGTTCTACCGAAGACGAAACAACCATCAACTGCTCTTGTTTGCAGATCATATTTTCTAACTGCGTGTGAATCCAGGGAAATGAAGCGGTATATCGAGACTGTGTAAGGAGCAAGGGGGATATGGCGCACAAGGTACATGACAGTTATTGCGTAGACGCTCATGGTGATGAATATCCAAAGAGCCGTAGATACCAGCGGAGATGAATTGCTCTGTCTAGACTTTTTGTCTTTTCCTTCTTCTTTCTTCCTTTTTTCCTTCTTTTCTTCTGTCAATGGGTATCTGTAGCTGAATCGATAGCAGTGTGCTGGCGCGCTTCGCTTTGTACATGCTTTTTGCTTTTTTTTTTTTTTTTTTGGCAGAACTGTTGAAGAAATGAACAGATGGAGTATATCAAACATTGTCGAATATTTGCTTCTCTCGTCAGCGTCACTGCGAGCTCTCCGACTTCGTCCCGTTCTCTTTGCCAAGGGGTCTTCGCGCGGATATAAATGTTCTGTGTCATCCAAGCGTCAGTCGACACATGGTCGAATCTCGGCATTCAACTAGGGAGGATCGGGATCATATATTAGCAGCACATACGCTTTGATGCAGCTCCTCATGAGCGGGTCTTCGTACTCCTGCATCACCCTTGCCAGCAACTCGCGCGTCTTGGCTTCCTCCCAGCCAGCGAGCCCAAACATCCTCAATGTCCAGTGATTACAGCCTACACATTGAGGACAGACCATCGTCAGTATCAAACAAGGTATTTGTGGCGATATAAGGTTTGGGGAAAAGCTCACCCGTATCCAGCATCTTGTGCAGAATCTCGCCCTTCTTTCTCGTCAGCGGATCCCGCGCCCAATTCCGCACCG